GAGCGTCGAGCAATCGTAAAGGATATGCTCGATGGTCTCATCTTCTTGTTCGCACCCTCTGCAGAGTGCGTATTATGACAGCCCCATGATATGGAGATGCTTTCGTACTTGGCAATGACCAGTCAGAATGCCTGTGACTAGGCGCAGATTCTGTCTAGTCATAGTCAAATATTTGTTTGCTGCAATATTGTCAGGATAACTTAAGAGCTTCCTGGCAACTCTGCAGTTTCTTGTTTCATCCCATCTTTATTTGAATTTCGCAATGGAATGTTCTTTGATTAGGTATGTCACTACCGATTTTGACAGGCCAATAGTAGGGCCAGGTCCAAAAAGTATTTGGTTGGCTGCTTTCTTGGCTAGTGAATAAGCAAGACGGTTTCCTTTCTATGTAGCGTGACCTTTGATCCATCTTAAGGTGACCACATTGTTGATGGATACTTCGGCCAAAGCTTCGTGACATTCTAGTACTAACCCTGAGTAAATTCGTGGTCTATTCAGGGTGAGTAGTGCTTGTCTGCTATCTGTATAGATGAGCATGTTCCTTTCAGTGATATTGTTTCTGGTTATTTATTTTGTTGCTATGAGAAACCCCGTTGGCTCTTTTTGAACTACACTGGCACTATTACTTACAGCCCATTTTATGTTTAGGTTTAAGAATCTGGAGTATATTCCACATCCTGAGCCTTGTTTTGTTTTAGAACCGTCGGTCTAGATATGAATCGTACCTGCCACTTCCGGCTTTCCTATTTGTTCTATTATAACTTTATATGGCTTATGGAAGATATATATCGGTGAGATGGAGCCCATGTTCGTTTGAAGCAGTGGAAGCGTATCGAGCGCCTCCTGCCAAAAGCGACGTCTCGCCTCACCAGATCCTACATCAGGTTCTATTCCAACCGTGCGGAGGCGTGTCATTATCGTCAGAGCAGCCTCCTTAATGTAAATATCAAGGGGAGGGAGACTAAGACTGACTTCCATGGCTCTGGTCGGTGTTGTTTTCATAGCTCCTGTTATGTTGAGACATGTTGTTCTTTGATTTTGTTCTAGTTTACGAATAGCTGTTAATTTTTGGGTTTTCGGTACATGCGACGACTCTGGGGTAGAAACCCCAGGTGCGCCCCACGGTTCGGCGGTATTGTTCATAAGCAATGTATACTCTTTTAACTCTATTTTCTAAATGCGAGTTCCATGTTAGGTGAAAAATAGAAAAAGAAATAACCGACGAGTACTAAATGAAGAAACTCAAATTGACATTTTGGAAATATTTGTTGCAGTGCCAACTAGCTCCATACGAACAGGAGCAGAACAGATGGAAATATCACGTGCGACTGTAAGCAGAGCACTGAAAATGCATAATTTTCTTCCCGTCCCACAGTGGTTAAACGAGAGATTCCCAGACAGTTGTATTGGCAGAAGGGGGGCAATTGAATGGCCCCCAAGATCATCTAATTTAATTCCCTTGGACTTTTTTTGGGGACATCTTAAATCCGTTGTTTATGAAACATAACCTGCTGATATTTATGATCTTAAAAGGCGAATTATAGCAGCATGCCGGTAAATTTCCAAGGAAGTTTTCCGAAATGTTAGAGAGGAGTGAGGAAACAGACTTTATTACTCTTTACAGTACAATAAACATTTTGCAAATTAAAAATTATTTTTCTGAAAGTAACCAAAAAACTAAAACTGTCAGTGTTTTAGAAAGGTATATTATAAACTTTCTAAAACACGGAAAGTTTTTTCATACATCTGTCACTGTGAACAACCCCACGAGCCGCCACTGGTCTCGGCTACCCCCCTCTCGTCGGCCCTGATCATAACATTGTGTTCAGTTGATAAATGTATCTACCAAAACCAGATAATAGGCATATAACTTATTTTTGTTAAATATATTTAGTCCGATTCCTAATAGTGTTCCTGCCAGAACCGAGGGAAAACCAATAAGGTTAAAACGTACCTGTATTTCGGAAATCACATAAAAATTTTACTGAAAATCCACCTTAATTTTATACGATGATCTTTTTTCTCGCCATTTCGGGTTGTGAGCGACGAATTGATTTCAACCATGATTTTAGATGATTATTTTGGAATTTTCGAGAAAATGTGTAGTGATTTCCAGTGAAAACATACCAATATTTCGGGAGTGGTTTGCCGCTACTTATTTTTGTTGAATGTGTTTGTTGAAATATTACAACATTGTGTCCACGCCATTTGTTTTGTTATGTATGACTAGAGCCGTCTCTAGCCTTTCTCAATTATTTCGAAATCCACGAGATGATTACGTCACCCTTTCTTTCCGCGATACAGCTAACCTTAAACAACCACTAGATAATAACACGTGATGTTCGAATCTCCGTGGTGAACGAGTGATTGGTCAAGATGTAACGGGTGATTGGTCAAGCTGTAACGAGCGATTTGTCAAGCCGTAACGAGCGAATCTTTGTGAAAATTCGTAAATAAAAGTATTAGTGGTAACAGGTGAATTTGAATTTTACCCATACTTTCTAATAGACAACGTATAGAAAGATTCAGCTATCCTAAATATACATTCCACCAGAAAAATAGAATTAATTTATCAATGGGCGAGGGTGGGGAATGTGGCTTTATATGCCAAACTCGCACAGTATTTATTCAGAGGGATGCATGAAAGGATGAAACAAAGTTTTAAAAATACTTACAAAAAAGTGCAAGAAGAAAAATTTACTAAAATTTTGCAAAATCAGATACACCTGATGAATTTCACCATCTACCTGTATCCAATAATGTTACTGAAACGTCGACTAAAGATAGTGACACATACATTGAATTATGATTTGTATGTAGAGCTAAAATAAGCTAAGTGACGTTTTTTCTCGTGACATTATTGATAGATTATTAGTTTATACTTTGTGAAAAATGTTTTCAATACCTTCTTCATTGAAGTTAATAAACGGTTTGAAGCTTTTACTGATTTTTTATTCAGTTTTAAACGTTTGAATATTGTTTTATCGAAACTCTAAAAATGTGAGTTATCTTGTTTTTGCAGTAATACAACGGGATATATTTATGTTTTGTGTTTTATTTATTAGAGGTCCCCACTAACTAATTTTAGATAAATGTCCTAAAAAAAGGTCACCATCCAAAAATATTGCGGCCCGTGTAACATAGCACATATACGAATATGGCCCGAAGAAAAAAAAGGTTATGGCTGGTCTAGACCTTAATTTGCTCTTCTTGCTGTCTTTAATAAAAAGGGTACTTTCCCAGCAATTTCGTGGTCGCGTGCATAGAAGGGGGTCTGAATTTAGTGTTATTTTGCACGCAATATCCAATACCATTCTACGATGAACATGTTCTATGCTCACTAGTTATCTACTTCCCTAATCGCGTGGAAGGTATATTCTTTGAATAGATGAATTTGAATGTAAACTCCTATGGAGGTGCAACATCTTGCGAATCCTGATGTCGAATCGGCGCAGCTCTTCTTGTGTCCATTTTTTTATTCCAAATGAGTAAAGGAGGATCGGACCGGAAGGCATATTCGTAGCACCCACTTTGTTTTTTCCAGACAGTTCTGATGACCAGATCTCTGCCGGATGAGGTTCTGGTACTTTTATGAGAGCAACCTCATGCATTTGACGTTGTTGCATCCCCAGGTAGGCATAAGACTCTCCGACGTTCAAAATAGCATGGTGTAGTCCTGTACCACCGGCATAAGACTCTCCGACGTTCAAAATAGCATGGTGTAGTCCTCCACCCGTAGGGATTGTTTGAATTTCCTCTCGTTGGATGCATAAGTCGTCCAAGTAAAAAAAGATGGATAACTTTATGTCTTTGATTTCCAGGTGGACCACACACGTATCCCCGATTTTTTCGTAATGCCACAGATAACGGCATTAAAGAGATACAGAAAAGGGGACTCAAGAAATTTTCCTGAAATACTCCTCTTCTGAATGACTCCAATTCTGTTTCGACTTTCGCATTTCCGGATGTTATGGAAAAGCGAGTTTTCCAGAACGGCATTAGTTGTTGTATGCATGTTACTACAGGGTCTGGTACCGAGTGGGTTCTGAACAACTGTGCAATTAGCTTGTTCGAAGTTGTGTCGAACGTCTTACGATAGTCTATCCAGAACATTGATAGGTTTCGCTTGTACCACCTGGCATCCTCTGCAATAGTTCTATCTTTCAGTAAGTTTTTCTGGCAGCCAGTTATGCCTTTTTTAGATCCACGTTGTTCGTTGATCTGGTTGTAGACTCGATCTACTGCTTCGAGAGTTCTTGTGTATGAGATAAGTGTGAACAGTTTGTAGCACCTGTTGAGATATGTTATTGGCGTATAGTTTTTTGGATGTGAAAGGTCTCCGTATAATTATTATTATTACTAGGTCGTAAGTTAACCAAATCCTATTTTTATAAGACAATCTGCCATTCTTTGATATAAACTTTCAATAATAATTGATTTTAAAACCGGAAAAAGGTTTATTTTTAACAGTTTTCTTTTCGCAACTGGTGACATAATGAACTTTCTGTAATCATTTTGACGCTGCGATTTTAAAATGTCACTTTATATGTCAAAATTAGAAAAATGCCTTTATGGTACGCTTTTGTGATTTAAACACCTCCCTTATACTTTATATACTTCGGTTTGTTAGTCCTCTGACAAAATAAAGCCTATGTTAAAAGTGACAGATATCTAGTTTATTAATTTATTCATCTGAGGGTTTTCATCGGAATTAGATGTAAACAAATAGATATGAGACTACATAATATAAATTTACTTTACTTTTTATAGAAATTAAATAATAAAAAAAGACTTTATAGAAGCTTGTACCGAAAACCAGTTCCTTATATAAAAAATTTTTCAAACAAATAAGAGAATGTACTTCAGTGTGTATGAAAAATTAAATCATAAAAACTCTCTACAATGTCAACAGTAGTTTTTTTTTTATCGGCCAATACGTAGGTAAGGTGAAAATACAATGGATATAATTGATCTCTATTGTAATGAAAAGTCACACAACACTAGTTTTCAATTTTATTTGAATGCGTTTTCTATAAATCTACTAAAGCTTTTCATTCATTAGCGGATCAATCAGTGTGTTGAGGGTCAAAAGTATCGTACGTTTTTAATTTTTCGTAATCTTTATTAATATTTAAAAATCAAAAAGAAAAACACAATTATATAGAAAACAATTATTTAACATTCTTGAGTAAAAACGCCATTCCATGACTCCTGTAATGTGTATTTAATGTGGCACCATCCTCAAATTCCGCCAAACAAACACTGCACTGATTATTTTTAACGGGTTCTTTTGATTCACCTGGTGCAAGTCGCATAATATTTTCTAGTTCTTTAACAGCGTTTACATCGTAGCAGTCATTTTCATTCAGGTAAGATTGATAGTCAGAAACGTTATGGAAATGAAGAAGGTGCTTAATAAGTGTTGGTTTAACAACAAAGCATTCTCCGCATTCCATGCATTGATAAGACGTTGAAATGTCTCTGTGAGATCGAATGTGTATGTGAAATTCGGAACGCACTACATTCTTGTAATCGCATAATTTACAATAGTAAGTACCATCGAATTCTATAGGTTTATCAGCAGTTAAATCGGGTTCTCTATCCTTTTCAATTTTCCTAGTTCTCATAGTTAAATTTTTCTTTCTTTTTTTCCTTGAATTTTCATCAGACCTCGGAGAATCGCCATATCTTGATGACCTCTTGATATCTCTATCGCTACGAAACGAATCACTAGAAGACGATCCAAAAGAAATATTCAGATCTTTATCACTTATTTTGTGAAGTAAAATTACTGGGCAAGCATATCGACATTTTTTCATATGGATAAGTTTATTTTCCAATTGAATTTGTTCGGAACATAAGATACAGAAATATTTCTTAATAGTTATAATGGATTTCTTAACTGATCGCTTGGATTTAATAATACAAAACCCAAACGATTTCCTTGCCTCACAATAATTATGATTCTTGCAATTATCACAATTTGGAAATGTTCCAGCATCAGTACAATGCTTACTATTACATTTCAGTAAATGTGTAGCAAATGTAGCTGTTGATCTAAAGTAGTTACGACAGTGACGACACATATAAACATATACACCAGTACGAGTACCATCTATATGACTATCTAAATGGTCATTAAATTCATTTTCATTTAGTGGCCCTTTATCTACACAAAGAGAGCAATTGAACACTCTTTCAAATGAACAATTACCATTGTGAAATACAATATGTTTTTCTACACTTTCATTATCTGAAAAGGCACCACTACATACTGTACAAGTACAAACACATTGAAAATGTTGTTTAAAATGAAGCGCCAAATTAGTTTCCGAAGCAAATAGTTTCCCACATCGCTTTCCAGCACATCGAAATTTTACGTTCTTTGCCAAATGAAAACACACATCGTCTAAATGCTTCTGCAGCTTTTCAGAATCCTCAAAATCTTTTCCACAATCTGGACAAACATGTGGTGCTTCAGCATTATGGATTCTAATATGTGCTTTAAATGAACACTTGGTCGAGGCCACGAATTTGCAAACAGGACAAGTTAAATTAGGATCTGTTGGTTTATTATTACCTTGATAGTGTTTAGCCATGGTGCCTTTTTGAATAGATTTGCATTCTAAGCAATGAGGAATGTTATAAGTTTTTTCATGTAAGGATTCAACTTTGGATATAATAGGTAAAGTAATTTGATCTATGTAGTCGAATAATTCTACTTTTATATTAGCATTCTCGCCGTCAGTCTCATTTTCCGATAAAAACTGTTGTTTCAGACTTAATTGTTCTTCTGCAGTAATAAATCGACACTTTGGTATGGTTTTACAAATTTGCTTTAAAACTAAAGTTTGATTAGGTTCTTTATACACAAAGTCAGTCGGTTTTAAAATGATAACCTGTTTTCCATGATCAAGAATGTTCGGAGCGTAAAACTGAACATTAAAGTAAATATCATCACTAGCTGCATCTTCTTCACATTCATATAGTGTTGGAATGTCAGCGATTGGTAAAAATCCTGCTAAATGTAAAGGTAATGCGAAAGTATTTACTTCAGAAAGGTTAATTTGTCCTTCATTTTCGGTGAAGTGTAATCGTGCGTGTAATAGAAGAGAGCATCTATTATAAAAAGTTAAATCTTCATTTGGGCAGTTGTAACAATTGTATTTCAAGACTATAATTCTTCTGTTAACATGATCCTGCAACGATGATAACGAAGAGAATCTGGAAATAAAAATATGCATTAATAGTATAATAAACATTCATATTCAGTTTTGTTCGAACTTATAAAAGAAATAATTAAAAAACTGGTCAATACGAAAGACTATCATTTTAAGAACACAATAATTATTATTGATATTGTGAAGATTATGCGGATTATTGCAAGTCTGATATAGTATAATTCAGTGCGCGCGCGGCGAAAATCGGAATGTTATGGTGTTAGTTAAAAGCTTGCCTACTAGATTTTTAAAGATGCTAGAAACTAGAAGGTTTGATATACCATAAACACTCTTTAAAAATATACCGTGCTACTTAAACTTTTATCCAAACATGTTACGTCAACTGGTTGCATATAAAGATGTCTTTCTTAGGTTACTTTAGGGCATATAGAAATGAGAAAATAAAGATATATTTTATAGATAACTCAGTTGTTCATAAAATATCTTATTTTCAGATGTATGTCTTTTATCCCAATTAAATGTTAAAAATAGATCTTTTAAGTTTACCATCAATTCATCAAATAGAGAACGTACTACTGAATGTTATATATTTCTGAGAATACTTTCGCAAATACCGTTACGGGCATGTACCACCCTTAAGACAAAGAAAAATTACACATCTCCACCAAATAAAAAAGTTCAGACTCAGAAACTAGACCTACCAATTTTTATGTATTTTGAATTGAATTCGATGCCTCCATTAGAATTTAATTTTATCGTTGTTGTTTTTTTATCCTGAGTACTCGATACTTTGCTTTCTATACTTCTTTTGTTTTCGATACTAGTACCTTCGTTTCAATATTTTACTAGTTTTGACATTACAATACATACAAAAAGTGTATTGTAGGATCACTTGCGATGGTATATTATGTCTGCTTACCCGATGACCTTTTTTATACTTCCCGATCCCGATATCGGTATCGATACTTTGGTTCCGATACCCTTTCGATACCAGTATCGATACTTTAGTTCCGATACTCTTTTCGATACCAGTATCGATACTTTACTGGTATCGCAACATCCCTAAATATGATATGCACTCAGGCCCGTTCCTAGCGGGTATGCAGCGAATGCACCGCACGCAGGCGGCAAAAGTGAGAGGCGGCAAAAGTGAGGGGCGGCAAAAGTGAGAAGCACCAAATCACCTTATCGATTTTTTTTTACAAGCAACCGCTCCAGACGGCCGCCGACTGCTGCACCTTTAACGACTGAGGCACCTTTGAGATCGCCGGCGCCGCGCTAATTTAGCGAATTCTTTTAGCTTGCTTTTTTAATATTCGTTTGTCGGAAAATTGTAGCAAACAACGACTTACCGCTCAACACTCTGTGCCTCATCTGCTCTGCCGCAGTGCCTCATATTACAAAGTGTTCATTTTATTTGATTGCGCTAGTCTGGTGAACTGACTAAAGGTCTATTTATACTCCCTTAGTATTAGTAATATGATTAAGCATTAAACTGGACCAAATATTCAAAAAGGGTATATGGGCGATTCTCGTGTAACTGCGATTTTTACAACTTACATTTTTCTAAAATTAAAAATGTTTTAAAACGTATGTGTTACGCGTTTTTGTTTTCTATTTATGGACAGAAATAAGCCTGTAAAGTGGTTCTACTACAGCTACGACAAAACGAAAACTGTGACAAAATTTAAAAATTTTAATGCCACGGTACTGTCATTATTTCCACGGTACTGACATATAAATGATTATTTTTTTTTACCAAACAAAAGATTGGTATAAAATTGCAATAAAATTCAATGCAGTATGCATTAGATTGTAGTTGTAAGAGGTACATTTTATATTAAAAAATGAATTTTGATAGAAATTTATATATTTAATTTCAAAAATGAGAATCGAACATGCCACGGTACTGACATTTCGAGTATATTTATATGCAGCTTAAAAAAAATTACGAAGGTTTATGATCTAATTCATAAGGTCGGTTGTAAAATACCTCTAAATTTATAATATTAATAACTTTTTGATGAGGAAAACTTATGCTAAACGATAGTGCTGAGTGCCTTTTAAAGGAGATAGAAAACTCCGCCATTTTGAACACTTATTACGTGTTGCCTACATCTTGGCGTAATATTTTTAATAGGTGCGTTTTAATCATCCGCATCTGCTTCGGAATTGTCGGTTTTCTTGTTTTAATCTGACAGTGTCAGAGGGTTCAAAATGGCCGCGCCCTATGTTGGGCGTGTCGGACCTCTCTCTTGCCCCGTATAGTAATCAAATGTGATAAATACACATACTTTGATTACTATACGAGGCAAGAGAGAGGTCCGACACGCCCAACATAGGGCGCGGCCATTTTGAACCCTCTGACACAGTTTACAGCTAAAGAATCAGATCGCTCACTCTGCGTCGGCACTTTTGATCTCAATGTTTCAGTTTATACACTGTGCAACTCGGATAATACAATATATGACAACCGCCTATAATAAAACAGCAGTCGTCTGCGTATCCTGAATTTGTATCCCTGGAGTGGATGTTATTTTGGAACTTTCAACTGGTCCGAGTGAGCTAACTGATTCTTTAGCAATAAACTGTGACTTCAAAAATAATATTCACCGACACTGACAGCAGCAAGCAAAATATCAGGTGCGTTTTAATCATCCGCTTCTGCTTCCGGAATTGTCGGTTTAGTCGTTTTAACCTGTCTCCTTTTAAAAGGCACTCAGAAAGCTGCGCAGTACGACCATTCTCCGTATAGTAAAAGAAAATCAAAGTAAGTGGGTATTTATACTCGTTTAATAATTAGCATTAGTGCTTCTTTTTTAACAATCTTTTTCATAATAAGGAATAATTATGCAGTCAACAAAATGTTGGTTACTGAAGAAATGTGTAAGAGGCCAGTTGTGTTCTTAGAATATTTTTTGAGATGTTTGAGTTTTAAACGTGTTTTTATTAATATTTTTACTAGTTAATTTTATTTAAAAATATTATTATTCGAAAATTGGTTTAATTAAGGACATTTTAACGGATTTACGTCTCAAATTTATAACAGATAAAAAGAAGCAGACATTTGAGACAAATCAGACAGAAAAGAGGCCTTTGCTTCCTCGTGGTAACATGTCATTTGTCAACTTTATACTCGGTAAACATTAGTCGTTTTCTTTTTACAAGCATACTTGACTAACTAAAAGTTAGATTCTGATCTAAGCTTAACTGTAAAAAGAACGCGAATTTTGGTTGACAGGTGACGTGCCCCATGTCATCCGTTTAAAAACAATCCATATTTTAATCAAATTTTATAATTTTTTCAACATTCAACACTACAAATCTCACCCCCTGTTATCATAGTCTTTTGTTCTCTCTAAAATAATGAATTCATGGGATATGTTTGTTCATGTGATGCACAGAACACTCACTTTCTGTAATGGTTTATGGTTGACGTAAGTACCGTGCACCTTAGCATCGGTAAGGGGAGAAGAAAGATTCTGACTTCATAAAAAGAACGTACATCTCAGCTTAGTCGATGTAAGTTAGCTCAGATTAGTTGTAAAAAGAAAACGACTATTGCTGATACACAAATATTGTATACACCGCATGATTTGTACCGAAATATTATCGTTTTGGAGCCTGTTGGAACAAACCTATAGACAACATCTGACAACATAATCATATGTGTATTGTCAATTGTCATTATCCGTTGTCTGTTAAAAGCAAAGGCCAAATACGTCACTGATTCATTTGAGACAATTGCCGCGTTTGAGAATCCACATCGGATGCATTTTTTACATCTCAAGCGTTTTTTTATCCACATCGGACACATCTGTCCCATTACATTTACGTATTCGCGATTCAAGCTAAGGGATACGCCCTCTGGAGGAAATTAGTAGAAGGTCCCTATAAGTAGGATGACGTTCAGTGTTGCCAGAAGCAGCAAAATTTCGTACGTCGTCGGATTTTAGTTCTTGAAGAAATGGATAAGACCTTTTATTTAAGAATCAAAATTTGTGTCTCAGTAATATGTAATCATACTCTATATTTATTTAAGGATTTTTTTATAAAAGCGATTTATTATATTGATTTTTTTTTTAAATTTCAGTTCATTTATTAATTTTAGTTTTAAAATCAGTCAGAGACAAAATCAGTTCATCATTTGGCAATAGACATGGGTAACGCACTAAAATTCTTTGCGTTGATACACTAACTCCGGCGCACTCTATTGCGCCAACTCATTGCGTTAACGCAATTGCGTTATTGCGTCACACCACTGCCTGCGCCGAATGAAGTCGATGCACCTCGGTGTATCGCATGATACCGGTGTTATTCAGCGCGGGCTGTCCTTTTATAAGGGTCAAACCGTGTTCAAGGCAAAAACGCAATTGGGAATTTAAATAAATTTTTTTTATTATATGTTTAAAAATAAACGAAAATATAACAGTGTAATGCACTCATTTTTTTATTTCATTGTGTTCGGATTTTACAAAAAATACAAAAATTCCAATTTATATAAAAAGGATATAACTTTTGTATACTAGTAGCCAATCAAATTGGGAAGAACTAAAAATTGACAGTGTAATGATGTGACATGTTGCAAATAACATAATTACTTGATAGATTTTGGGTAATCTGCATTACGAGTTGCATCAATTACGTAAATTAAAATTCTCAACTCGTCACGGAAAACGGAATCAGAGCCTGGCGCATGGCGCACCAACAACTCGCGATCCTTTCGACTCAGGGGTAGTATTCTCGAATCACGAATACCGACATTCGCATACGTGTTTTACAATGTGTCTCACTTTGTTGAACGTAAACCAAGTGAGACAAATCATAAATCTCGCATGCGAATCTATATTCGTGACTCGAGAATACTACCCCCAGTATCGAAAATTGCGTTGCGCTGATACAGTAACAGCTGGTGTATCAACGCTCGTAACGCATACAACTGCGTTAACGCAATAACGCAACGCAGCGCTGCGTTACCCATGTCTATTTGGCAACATTGGCGTTCATGTTCATTGTTTACATTTTAATTTGTATCAATTACAATTACAGTTTTTTGTTATTTTTTAGCTTTAAATTTGTTTATTTCTTATAGTATGTGATAGTATTTAAATTAAAAATGAAATCTGCGAAAAAGCCTCCAGCAAATTGCAATCTATATGGTGTTATTGTCAAAATCAAAACTGAAGTATTCATTATTTTTCAAGTGCAAGTCATAAAATTTTGTTTCTTACGATAAATGGGTATCTACAAATTCACAATATTGAAATTTTGCAAAACGTTGTTTAGAATCAAACTCCAATATGAGTTGTGACGGTTTTATTACCATTTACATGTATACAAAGTACTACACAATTCACTTCATGATATAAGAATAAGGATAGTAAAATTTTTAAAGAAGTTCATCAATAATAAACGTTTGGTACCTGATATGTCCTTTAAACCACATAGTAAAACATGTCCTGGGTTTAGTAAATACATATTTCTAGATGTTCTTGTAGCAACCAATAGGTCAATATTTCCAACAAATTAGTTCATACTACACATGAAAAATATTACATTTATAACGAAAGCACGAAAACCAAACTTAAATTAACACTAAATGAAACTCAAAAACACTATTATAATAAGAATTATCTAAAAACAGTTAAAAAATCACAAATACAAAATCCACAACACGTAAATAAACTAACATCCTACTTATACGTGACAAATGACAGGCGCGCGAAAATTAATTTGAATCGCGAATAGAGAATCACATGATCAAAGATTTACTACATCTCAGATGCATCCGATGTGGATTCTCAAACGCGACAAATGAAGTGGAGAGGGGTAGAATGATAACTGTCAATGAAAAAGTCTAGACCAGGGGCTGGTAACTCAAATGGAAAAACATGAGGAAGGTAAATTAGTACCACTCCAATTAACGGGATGGCGCTCGTATGTCAGTTGTCAGCTCGTCAAAACTTCAAACTTCAGAGAAATTTAAAATGGCTATTGCATTATTAGAAGGTGTATTGAATTTTGATTCATCTAGAATCTAGATTTATTTTTCAACGCCTTCCCATTTCAAGCATGTTTTCAAAAGATAGGAAGATGGATTTCAGTAACAAACAATAAAGCACTCCCAGATATTGGTAGTGATGCAATTTATACCACATTAAATATGCAGTCGTCATATTAAGGATAACCAAATAATTTGTAATAAGTGTCTTAAGAAAAATACTCCATCACTGTTTGGCACCAACGGTAAGTAATATTTACAAACTTGTTTTTGATTCAGTGTTAAAATAATTGGTTTGTTATTTAAATTTCTTTTTGTTTTCCGTTTTTATATGATCATTGTTGTAAAGAAAATGTTGGCCCTCCAAAATACCCTGTCGATTGAGCCTTAGCCATCAATATCAAAAACTGATTCAATGCCATTGACATCAAACAAGAAAACGCCCTAAAATCTTCAAGGGTCCAAATATGTTTTTAAGTTTAATTTATGCTCAAAAGTTAAATTCATTTATCACAGTGCCCACATGATGAATAAAAATTTGATAACTGCTGTATAAATGAATCAAGAAAACAATTATCGGATGAAGAAATGCTCCTCAACCTAACTAGTCGACTCGATAACCGTATGGCAAATTTTATCCACACTCAAATTTGCCTCGATAGTAAAAAAGGATGATGCTCCAACTTCAATTTTTTCAAACTTATTTGCCACTCCATATCGCAAAACTTTTATAAAGGTCTTGAGCACTTATATATGCTCATTTTGTTATAGAAAACATTTTTGATAGGTTTGTTTTATAAATATTTAATTATTTAAATGGTGTAAATGCATATTTGTTTAGAGTATTTCCATGTTTAAATAGACAAATTATATGATGCGGCGTTAATTTACTGTAATAAAAAAAATAAAAAAAATTGCATTTTATTTCAAGTTTGAAATTAATGCAAAAATATAATGAAGTAAAATCAAATAAAGATATAAATTGGCAGAATATTTGACTAGTTTCAAATCACAAAACAGTCAATATGGTTGTTTGATGATTTGAAACTAGTCAAATATTTTTTTTTGCTCTATTTGATTTTCTTCATTACATTTTTGCGCTACTACAAAGTTAAATTTCAAAAAGCCCGCTCGTGGCGGCCATATTGAATTTTAGTACCACTCCAATTTGATAGATGGCAGCACATCGACTCAGAATTTTACCATTGAGTTTCCCATCTATTCACATTAGTAATCTATGGTCTAGACACTATGCACAATTTCGTTTTGCACATAATAGGTCTTTTCCTTTGCATCGACAGTGTAGCACTGAGCTACGTTACTTCTGAAAATGTCGTTCCATCCATACAATTTGTATAAATGGAACGATATTTTCAGAAGTGGTGTAGCTCAGTGTTACACTTTCGATGCAAAGGAAAAGACCTTTTGTAAACAAGATTCAGGGTCGGTTTAACAACATTTTGTGCAACAATTATAAAATAGTGCATCGGAAAATAATTAACAAGTATAATTTAATACTAAATTGAAATAAAAGCACAAAAATCACAAATATACGCAAGATAACAAAGAATTGACGCCAAAGAAGCTTACAACAGCCACAAAACCAACATAAAAAAGAGCTTTGGGGCAACCTCTCCTTGTCATTTACATGTATAAGAGTGGAAGGTTGAATCACCCATAATTTCCACACTCGTGATGGATGCGCAGACGGTACCTTATCGTTCTACCCTCTCTACTTCTTTGATTTGAGAGAAAAAAAGAAATTTAAGATTAATTATTAAGCATAAATATTAATGCTAACTAATCATAAATCGAGTATAAATGCAGCCATTACATTGTGAAGGTTCAACTTAATCATAATACTAATGCAAATACTAATAATAAGGAAGCATAAACAGACCCTATATCTACAAAGAATAGTTATATTTTATTCGCTAAAACTGCGCACGTATTTTCATATGAATATAAATCTTGTTTTATTTGATATGGATGTAGTGTAATATTGTTTTTGTATAAATAATCTTTATCTTTGCAATAAAATTTTTCAAGTTGTGTTCAGATTATAAAAGGAAGCATTATGACGTGGCTGAATGCCATTTGTCTATATGTGTATGTTGAAACCACTAGCACTTTTTTTCTTCTCTTATTTTGAAATGAGTGACACCACAAGAGGCATTAGAAAAAAATTATCAGGTGCTCAATATAAAAAATGTCAAATGGAACGGGAAGAGAGAAAAGAAAAACTAAGTGGATCTTTGTCAAAATTTTTAAAACTCATTCTAATCCGACTCCATCACCATCAAATGCAAAGCCCTTACCTGAGCCTATTGTGCCCATGTCCGAACTTGACCCATTGATTATTGACGATCAGCAGCCATCGACTTCTACTGATCATGATCATATTTCTGAGGTAAGCAGTGATGGTAGTGATGGAGATAAAAATAAAGATGCTGCGCTCACTGTCGACATTGATGATTTTGATCCTGTGGATCCCGCTACGTGGCACACTCTTGTAATTCACCGTTTAATAGAAATAATTGTGTTAAAAGACGTTGTCCAAATTAAAGAAAACTTTCCAGTTGATGAAACTGGAAAAAAATTTTCAGCCAAGCAGTATATGCGAACGTTAGCAAACTTCGAGAAAGTAGATAGGGATTGGTTAGTTTATTCGACGAAAATAAATGCTATTTTCTTGTAAAATATTTAGTAAGCAGTCTGTCTCATAAATTAATTTCAGGTTATTCTAATTGGGGACAATCTGTTAATATTTTTCGCCATGAAAATAGTGCTCAAAAATGGCATGAATTAAAATTCCGTTTGGTTAAAGAATGCACTATTGATAAAGAAAAATAGAAATTTTGAAATTGAAAAAAAAACGATAGCGTGCAATTATTAAAAGAATGATTTATATTGTGCAGTATTTAGCTGGCCAAAATTTAGCGTTTAGAGGGGATAGTGAGAAACTGTACGAACCCAATATTGGAAATTTTTTAAAGTTCGTTGAAATGTTGGCAAAATTCGATCCATTATAATGTATAGTATTATGTAAATAATATTCAAAAATCTAAAAAGACAAATCAAAAGATACCTCAATATTTGGGAAATCATTTTCAAAATGAATTAGGCATTCTAACGATCTGTCCAAATGGCTACCAGTGGGGACTGACAGTTTAGATATGGCAAACCTGTTGGCATGTTGTCATTAGGTCTTTTCCTTTGCATCGAAAGTGTAGCACTGAGCTACACCACTTCTGAAAATATCGTTCCATTTATACAAATTGTATGGATGGAACGACATTTTCAGAAGTAACGTAGCTCAGTGCTACACTGTCGATGCAAAGGAAAAGACCTATTAACAGGGTCAATGATACATATATAGTTTTATAGATTGTTCAAAGCTGGTCGTTTGCGAGCGACCATATAATATACCTTTTTACGCTCTATTTAATGGACTAAACCCCAGTTATTGATCATCTTCATGGGTGGGTAAATTAAGGGGGGCTTAGGGTAAAATTGCCTCTGAGGAGCCACTCTAGACCACACTCCCTCTTTCGGAGGAAAGGATGGTCAAATACCTCAAACGCTTCCCAAATTTCAATGGGGGTTCGGGAAGCAATTAAAGAGGAACAAATTAAACAAGGTAGCTTGCAACACAAAAGGGTGGCACGACAACATTATGCTGCTGCCTTGATGAGCTGCAAGATACAATAGCACTCATGCAGGAACCCTGGATAATAAAAAGCAAAATTGTAGGTCTAAAAATCTAAATGGTTCGATTTTTAGCTTTCCCAGTAACCAACAACCTAGGACAGCCATTTGCATTCCTAGGAAATATTTACACTGAGGGTTCTAAAACAAAATAAAGCTCAGGATGTGAAATATACTCCAGACCCTTAAACCTAAACATAAAATGGGCTGTGAACAGTAGTAGTGCCTGTGTAGTTCAAAGCCACGGACAGTTTTTATACTTTGTGGCAATGGGTAGTTTATTTGTATTGTTGTATTCTCATAGCAGCAAAAGAAATCACCAGAAATATTATCACTGGAAGAAACATGCTCATCTATACAGATAGCAGACAAGCACTACTCACCTTGGACAGACCATGAATTTACTCAGGATTAGTACTAGAATGTCATGAAGCTTTGGCAGAAGTATCCATCAACAATGTGGCAAATTTAAGATGTACCAAAGGTTACGCCACATCGAAAGGTAGCCGCCTTGCTGATTCACTTGCCAAATACTTTTTGGACTTGGCTCTTCTATTAGACTGGCAACATCGGCAGTGACAAATCTAATTAAAAAACATTCCCTTGTGAAATTCAAGAAAAAAGGGATGAAACAAGAAGCGGCAGTCATGCCAGGGAGCTTAATTCTTGCCCTGTAGAAGATGGTACCTACTGTGAGCCGAATTTCAAAAAACTTTTCCTGACAACACTACAGCGAATAAATACTTGACTATGACTAGACAGAATCTGCACCTGATCACACTCATTCTGACTGTACATTGCCAAGTACAAAAGCATCTCCATATCATGGGACCGTCAGAACCCACACTCTGCTAGGGATACGAACAAGAAGATGAGACCATCGAGCATATCCTCTACGATTGCCCGAAGCTCTCATTTATTAGAAAATTTGTGTTCGGCGAGAATGGACCTTGTCCGTTATTGATGATCTCTATTTCTCATGCGCAAATTCTACTTCCGCTTAAAATCATCAAAATTTATTGTTATGTTTCCTACCCTGAGTTCCAATTATTATACATCCGCAAATGCCATTTTGTTTTTGAGTTTGATAGTAATGGTAGGGGAATTAGTGACACTTTTAGGTGTGTTATTTGTGAAAGGTAAAATTTTAATTATTACAAATATACCGTTCATTCTTACCTTGTAGAACATGGAAATAGTTTGCTACGCAGCGATGGAGCCCTCGACGATGACGTTTTAAAAAAGCCTGTGTATAAAATGCTGTCATATAAGCGCAAACTTCTTGCTTACTGACAAGGAATTTCACCGCTAGTTCGATTGCGACAAACTATTTTCATCTTCTACGTGGTAAGAATTAACGATCATTTTTAATTTAACCTTCTGCAAAAGTGTACTAAAAAAGTTTCACTGGCTCCCTACTATAATAGAATCGATGACAGTTGTTTAAAGTAACAATGACATAGGGGAAATTTGTCGTAGCCAACCCAACAGTTGTAAGGCGAGGATGAGAAAGAGATAGCAGAAAGTGTTTAGAAAATTACTAGATTCAAAAGTCCCGCGCATGAGTAATATGAAATTGTCAAATAATGGGAAAGGGCACGGCTGATATAAGAGAAGCATCTCTTGGCGATGTTGTCAACTACATTAAATCTGTAGGCTGGTTCACGGGCTAGAAGGTACCTATCTACTTAGGAGGATGCACAATCAGCCTAGTGAGGCCTAAGTGCCGTGGGTTAACCCACCCTCCACACGTTATAGATGCTTAATAGTACCGCAACGAGCTGCTTATTGGTGCCAAAAGTGAATTATGATATTGGCGATGTACTCGATGTATATATTAGGCATCCAACGATCTGACCGTGGGTAATGACAGGTTATGATATGGCAACCCTGTTGGCCTGCCGTCTTTGACATGTAGTGTTATTCGTAGTTAACATATCCAATGCTTACCCATGTGCAGATGATAATACGAGAATACAGTGTTACGTGAGACTTTTTATTTCAATTTAAGCTGTGTTGCCGTTGGAGTTTATGCCGGTCGGCGTAGCCTGGTATGGATTGATATTTTCTGGTGGCGGCGAAGTCGCCATCCTACGAGAAACCTTTGCTTCGTCTTCTTGTTGTACATTCACGGGCCAACATGCGCATAGAATGTGTTACTACGAATACCGCTACGTTATCTTTAGGCGATTCTTTATAAGCTTACACAACATACTAGAACATACTCATGTAACCAGAGCATATGCAGCTACATCTAACGAGGCATTTATTTATAAGCTTACTAGAACATACTATAAAAAAAAAATCAAATTCCGTTTAGAAATCCCCAAACTTAAATTAAATTTGACATTCAATAGTATGCTTACCAAGCTTTGTTCCAACACACACACAAACCGTAATATTACGGTCATCGTCATGCGCAGTAAATAAAAACCTATCAATAAAGCCCAAAGTCGAACGGTTTTTATTTACTGCGCATGACGATGACCGCAATATTACGGTTTGTGTGTGTGTTGGAACAAAGCTCCAGTTACCACAGTAACCACAATACTGCAACCAAGTATGTTGTAGTAAGCTTATAAAAAGGTATTTTTCTCGGCATAAACCAACATAAACGTTTATGATAGATTCTTATTAACACATTTCTAATTGGTCAAAATAACATAATCTATCATAAACGTTCATGTTGGTTTATGCCGCGAAAAATACCTTAAAGAAATGCCTTTGACAGTGTCAATGCTACATTTATATAGTTATATAAGATTATTTCTTTCGCTGTTGGTGCAGTGTCCACCAGTGTAAATTACACCAGATACACCACCTTTATTTACCTAGTTTACTTTCTTCTTATTCCTGATACACATGTCGAGTGTAATTCACTCCTGCTAAATAGCTGGTGGAGAAAATATCCACCGGTGGACACCACATCGCCGACAGGAAGGTGAAGTTGATTTTACACCAGGCCAAACCAATGAACTGGAGGGGGGTAGAATGCCAATGTACATGTAGTACTATTAAAACTAGGTGCGACTCTATGGGCGCAGCCATTTTTATTATTCATCTCACTCGGGACTATTTATAATAACCATTTTCTGTTTCACATTGTTATTGTTCAATCCACAAGCTGGTGGATCAGCCAATAACAAGGTGAAATAGAAAATGGTTATTTTAAATACTCCCGAGTGAGATGAAAAATAACCTATCTTCGCCCATAGAGTCGCACATCAAGTCTATTGACAAGCATTCTACCCCACTCCAGTTCATTGGGCCAAACGAAAGGTATGGTGTGCGTTGGTGCAGTTCATTCCTACACCAGTGGGACAAACGAAAGAACCTATAGATTGCTCAAAACGGGACGTTAGAGAGTAAGGAAAATGTTTGGAAATGAACAAATAGTCTATAATTTTAGAATATTTGACTTATTTTTTTCGTGAAACACTGATTTTCCTTACCCTCAAAATTCAAAGATAAAATTGATAATGCAAGTATTCCGACGCACGCGCATAGTGGTTTTCCATTGTTTTAATTATAAACGATAAAAAAATATGAACTAAGATAATGGGTACGATAAAGTACGATAATTTTGACCACAGTGTAGGATAATTTGGATCCGAGTGACCTGGCAACACTGTACCTAAGATTGGAATGGAAACCAAACCACACCTCTGTCTGTCCTCCGTTTATTATTGATTGAAATGACGTCATGTTAATTAAATTTTAAATCCTCTTTCACAAATTTAGGTACACAAACAAATATATACATTACTTTAAGCAATAGACAAATGATTGACATAATGTTGTATACTTACAAATTACGGCAAGCATAGCAAGGGTAGACATATGCCCCTAAAGCTGGCTTGAATCCTATCCACTCTTTAGGTTGATCTCCAAATAATATATCCCACATAGATATCAAATGATTTCTACGTTCCTAAAATTTCATAAAAGTCTAAACGTGTAAATAAAAATAAATGGTTAAATACATAACCTCAAAATTAAAATTTGATTACTTAGGTTGATATTAGAAAAAGGAAACATATTAATCTGGATTTTATTATATTTGTAGAAGTTGTTTAACAATATTACATTCAAAATAATCGAACGTACATTTTAAGTTGTCTTAAGATGACTTTTTGTACATGAAAATTTTTTTTTAATTGTGTCAAGGGATCCTTAAATTTCCACAGAAATACTTCAGGCATGTACTAATAGGTATATTTATATTGTTTTATTCATATCCTTTATTTTAATTGTTTTATTTTTATACGTACCCCAAATATTGAATTATTTTCATTATTTATTAAAGAACAATTCATCATAACTGACGTCCTCATTCTATAGTTCTGCACTGTGAAGGAGACGGAAGGAGCCGTTAATTTAACCTGCAAACAGAAAATATAAGAATTCAAGTTAAATATAAAAGTATACAACAATCAATTTGTATTACTTCATTGTAAATAATTTACACATTAAACTTACCACTTAAGTACATTATCAGCTATAATTAAAATTGATAAGGGAAAAACTGTGAACAAAGAACTATCATATGGACTTGACACTTCTAAACTGTCAACACAACTGTCAAATTGCCACTGATGTCAATATGTCAACGTCAGTTGGATACATAATTTGAAGAAACTATCCCAGCCCAGAATTCCAAACTAATTATTGCTCTTAAAATACTTGAATATTTATATAGTGTCTTTATGATATAAATAAAATTATACATAATTATGTATGTATCCATAAACAATGTAGTTAGATTTACAATACATAATGAAACACTACAATAAATATTAACTAAAATTCACAAAATTTTTATTTAAATTATATTAATTTTTTCCTAAAAAAATCTTTTATTTATGTTTACACTAATCTTCAAATAGCTTAGGCAGGCTAGGTCAGAGATGCGTATGATCGATTTAAATTTCCAAAATTTCATTCATATCAAAACTAAGTATTCAAAAATGTGTTCTTTGGCTTGCCTCTTTTCTACCTTTAACGTAAAACACTGCCACTTTTCTAAACTCCTAAACGGTCCAATATAACTTTGATTTCCTTCTAACTGGCCATAGCACAGCACTCAACTGGCATCTCTTCACCTCATTCTTCATACAGATACTGTATTCCTGACATTTTAATTCAATATTGCATCTTCCTGTTAAAACGTTTCTCAAACAGATAAACCTTAAGTGCCTCAAATTCTGTTTTCTTTAGCTCATTTAAGTCTTCCACTAAATTGTATTCAATATGATGAAAACCCATAGTGAAATAACAAATAAAAAACATGTACCTAAAAATAAATATCAAAAGTTTTTAAGTATATTAAGGGTGAAATAAAATCTAGTTCAATTTGATGGAAAATAAAACAAATTATATAATCAGTTAAGTCTGTTTTATTTTTTATATTTTTGTAATCACATATTTTACAATTCACGATATATGCTTTCAACTGGCTTACAACAATTTTTCTTTTTTAATATGGACATCTGTAAATTTATACTTCTTCATGCATATTGTTTTCATTTTAACAAAAATCAGCAGACTCGCTATTGAATAAACTAAGTAATACAGAAGATAATAAATTTAGTGTAATCTATAAATCATTAAAAATATGACCAAAAATACTTATTGTTTATACTTATTGTTTTGAACAAAAACAGAAATTACATACAGTTCAAATATTAAAGAAATCAACAAAGTACAAATTTTAGTATATTAGGTATTTCTGAAGATATTTCTTTTATATATTTAAATCAGATGGTAAGTATATATATATAGGTACTTTGATAGCCAAAGAATAATTCATGTAGAAAACTAATAGTCTTATATAAAGACTTACAAATTACTTCTGATAAGTTTCTTTTGTCCATATTGGTTTTAAAATCCTTATTTTATTACGTGAAAGAAACTCATACTGCTATTTACAACCAGAAACATTTATTATTTTAACAATAACATATTTCCACTTTTTCATGAAAATATAAAAGTAATACTCTTAACAAACATTAAATTATGTGACCAATATATTCTGATCTAATATTTCTTCCTACTTTAAAGGTAAAATTAAAACTGCTCTAAATTTATACATCAACAAAACAAAAATATTTACAAATCATCAGGATTGAACATGCCCTAAAAAATAAAAAAAGCATAAATTAAAAATTGGTTTAATAAAATAATCATGTTCCTTAGTATCTTTTAAAATTCATATATATGAGCTCAAGCCACTAAACATGCAAATTTCATAGAGAAGACCTTAATCAGTCGATAATCTAAATAAAAAAGAAGCAAGGCAGTTAGGGTTGCCACCTTTTTGAAAAGTAAATAAAGGACAATGATGCTAATAGGAGATCCATTATAGAAAAGATCCTCATCCTTCTACTGGACTGGAAAAAAATAAGATTGACGAGTGTGTAACAAAAAAGTCCTCATACTTCTACAGAGCTTCTAAAAAAAAGCTTCTTCTCAGCTTGTATATTTTTGTACAAACCAGGTCCCTTTCAAATAAATCAGGACATATGCCGTAAAAAAAGGACATTTTTAGCTTTAAAGAGTCAAAAGGACATTTTGTTTGAAAAAAGGACTGTCCTTTTCAAAAAAGGACAGGTGGCAACCCTAAAGGCAGTAGCAATTAGAAACTTTCTTGGGTGGAAACATAGCACAGAGGGGAATCAGACTGGGTAAATTCGTAAGCACAATATGTGTAGGGGCTTGAGCAAATAAGAATATTTAAACAAATTAATAAAAGTTACCTTAGCTCTTCTCAAAATTGAATCCTTACTAGCATCATATGGATGATCTTTTGAAGGAATTTCAAGGACAGCTGGAATAGGAGAATTGTGGCTATCAATTACATGTCTGATAATTTCCGCAATGTTCTGGTTAATTAAAATAATATCAACATCATCTCTTTTAAGAAATCGTTTGAAGGTATCTTCAATTTCACTTACAGCAGTATCTAAGAAATAATGTTTTCATTAATTATATTGATAAACTCTAAATTAAGTATATGCATAACATGTTTGGATAATCATAAAAATTATTGTTTAATGAGAAACGTACTTTTATCTACAACCAAAAAATTGGGGTGCCTGTTTTTATTAATTTCACCTACTCCGCCCAGAAGAAATCCTACACAGGTATCCTAAAAATTGATAAATATAATGGTACTTTTTAAAATGTTGTAAACTCACCTCATCTCCTATGACTGATATTAATTTTCCTTTAATAGCGGAATGTAATGCCATTTTTGAAAAGTTTTTCTTTTAATTTTTAGACGAGATCAACCCAAAAAGTCACCTGACATCTAAAAAAAAGAGTGACTGACAGATGCAGCAAGCAAACACCTGACTTTGACACTTGTCTATGTGGATGTCAATTTTCATGCAGCATGCAGCCAATACTGAAATACTAAATTTCCTAGATGAGTCTAAGATTTAAAATTATTATTCCTTATAATTCATATAATTATCAGGTATTTACTATTATATAATAATATAGTGTTTAAAAGTTAATTTATTACGGATTAACTAGAAACCTATTCGTTTTTTTAATTGTGTTTGCATTGTTTCCTTGTTTTTGATAACTATACAGTTACAGCGCCACCTATATGCTATATTTAATTTTCAGTTCTTCTAGTTCTTACTTGGCTATTTTGGTTTTGGAAATTTTAAAATTTTTTAGAATGAGTAATATTTTAATTTTATTTATTATAGTTCTTGCTTCCCCTCAAATATTAAGTAAAAAATTTCAAGACGATCAAAAGCCAGAATGGGCTAAAAAAGATATTAGAGATTACAATGAAGCCGACTTGGAAAGGTTATTAGATCAATGGGAGGTAATGTTTTAATTTATTACAAGAATATGAATGGTAGTAAAGATATTTCTGTAGGAAGATGAGGAACCTTTAGAACCAGATGAACTGCCTGAACATCTTCGTCCAATGCCTCAATTGAACCTCAACCAAATAGATCCGAATAATCCTGAAGCTATTGTACAAGCTTCAAAGAAAGGCAGATCTTTAATGACGTTTGTTCAAGTAGGTGGTAATCCTTCAAGAGATGAAACTGAGGAATTAACTAAACTCTGGCAGACAAGTCTTTGGAATAACCATATACAAATTGAAAGGTAAAATAGTGAAAACAGCTGATGCCTAGTAGTGTATGTTTGGGTATCAAATTTCAATTATAGGAGTCGGTGGCTTAGTGGGCAAGAAATCATAACTGAAATATTTTGTTTCAAACCTATACTGTGGCAATTTTTTTTTTCTAATTTTCTTATAGCTAGATAGAATTCAGCAATACTATTTACGTCATCTAAAATTGTAATTATAAGTCCCTTTCAGAGTTCTTCAGTTTTTAAATTGTGGTTTGTATAAAGTTCGACTGTTAAATGGCATTTGATTTGAATCAACTAACTAGGTATTGATTTTGATTATCTTGAGAAAACAACTCCAACTTTAGAGCACTTGTCAAGTGAAAAGATGAGCTTGTGATGTATAAGATTCAGTTCAAGTTCAGAGTCTTTATCCCCTAAAATTAATGGGCCCAGCAGTTGTCACTGATATATGATGAAAGGTCTAAACTTTAAACTATAAAACTGATTTCTGTCATCTATGCTCCTCATAAGTTGATGTAGGCCACAAAAACATCACTTTTGATATATAGGTAGTTATAGAAAATTTTCTTTTCTAAATGAACATTGTTTCATTAATATATTACAAGTAATGTTAATATTTTGTTTTAGGTATTTGGTTGATGATAATAGGGCTATTTTTTTGTATAAAGATGGTTCTCAAGCATGGGTAGCAAAAGATTACCTTGTAGAACAAGAAAAATGTGAAAGTGTTACAATTGAATCCAAAGTATACCCAGGAAAACACTCAAAAAATATAAAAGAAGATTTATAATTTTAGTTGAATAGATTTTTGTTACTTTTTTATATTATTTATTTAAAATAAAATCCAAAATTGTCATACCTATTTATCATGCAATTTTTTGCCTAGGATAGGGTGACCATACGTACAGCATTTCATTTTATTGTACAGCATTTTCAAATCCTGTCCAGCATTTGATCTTGTACAGTAAACGTACAGCAAAACACCATATTTGCCCAGCAAAAGCCCGTTAATGTCTAGCATTGTAATACATAATTTAATGAAATGTAAGGAATAAGAAAAAACTCTGTTGTCTCTACATGTGACTTCTCTGTTTTTTATTTTTTCTTTGAGGTGCTAAAATAAAAAAGGTCTTTACATCTTCAAAGTTGTTCATCAATGTGTTCAGTGTCCATCATTGGGTCAAAATAAATATAGTCACCCTAGCCCAGGAAAGTAAACCTAAGTCAAAATAGTAAATAATAAAATATATGTGGAAGTCCCTGTGAAGTAGTATGTAACTGATTACAATCTAAACAAACTATGTAGGAGGCTCTGGTTTAAAAACGAATTATGTTTAAATCAATTTCCATATATTTATGATTATAAGGTATATAAGAGGTGGCTCATTAGTGTGAGGAAGTCCTATCTTTCTTTTATCTTTATTATTATTTATTAAAAATTTGTCAAAAACAGTCACATTCGGGGTCTTTATTATAATAAATAGTGAAACCGAATTTTAGATGTTTAATAATTTTTTTGAATGGTGAAAAAATATACATACAGTGTCATACATTTAATAATATCGACATTTAAGCTACCTCGATGTTATAAACAACTGTAATGTAACCGCCCACCTCCCGGTCTTGTTGCTAATTATTAAAAGCCCGTATTTTAACTATCTCACTCCCCTTTGTGGAATTCAAAGTAATTCATACTGATTGTATTTGGCCTTTTTCCTCTAGTAGTGTAGTGATCGTCTAGTTAATTAATTGATAATTCAAATACCCACGTTGTGATAATCTTAATTAAGATAAACCAGGATTCGATGCAAAGTTTGAATGAAATAATGCTCAAATATATATATTTAACTTAATTTATTTTTGTTCTCAAACTAGCTGAGTATTTTTTTTTTTTTTAATATTGGGTAATGAGAAATTGTATTTCTCACCTAGACCTAGTCCCGCCCAAACAAACAGGTCACTTCCCATAATACAGTCGTTGCAATAACAGACGGATATCCCTTATATGTTTCAACCTCACCTAGGAGGGTTTTATGTAGTGTAGTCCTACTAGAATAGTGCCAGATCAATACCAGCGAACTACCCCTTATGTTCAGAGCTACCTATGGTGCGAAGATTGAGAGTTAATTATCTAAGGACCGATTCCACCGTTGTGTTAAACGGAGATTAAAATGACATTGTTAATGTAAAAATGTCACTTTAAACTTCGTTTAACACAACGGTGGAATCGGTCCTAAGATAGTCCAACCCTGTAGTAATATCAAGCATATTCGGATAAAAATCTGAGTTTAGTCACCAGATGTGTCATTTACCCCAATCAGCTGAGCTGTTATTTAGTAGATATTTGCGAAGAGTTCATTGACAGTTCGGTAGCCAGACTCTTTGTTATATTAATTTGAAGGCATTGTGGCCCATAGCATACACATCTGAACGAGCTAAATGCGATGTCGGCGAGCATTAAATTCCTCAAAAATACAAAAGTTGACCATTATCGTCTGTTTCTATTTCAAATATTTTATATTGTTGTATTCGGTACGGAAGCGTTATTTTGTGTCCGGATATTTAGAAGGGACGTTGAGACGTAAGCGTCGGAATTTAGAGCGGCGTGACAGAGAGGGAAATTCGTGACGTAGAACGCCAAACATAGAGAAGTAAGGACGTAGGGCGTCAGATGGGATATTGGGCGTTGGATATGGGATATTGATCGTCGGGATGGAGGGCGTCGGATAAAAGAGATGAAGTTGAGACGTGAAACATTCGGGAGATAGGTCGTCGGGCTGAAGAGCGTCGATAAAGGTAGGATATGAACTGCGTGGGTTTAGGAAAGGTACTTAACTTGAATTATATTAGATTTGAAGAATAATACGACTGGAGCTCGAAATCAACTGAGCTGAGTTTGATTTTTTAATGAATCTCGAATCCCCTTAAATCGGGACTTTGTACCCGATTTAATATTTGTGACGTCAGATTCTCGTGTGAACGAATTTGGGTGGATAGAAAAGGGGTGGTCGATTTATTACTAGTCTTGAAAATTTTGTGTATCGAAAACAATGTTCCTATTCAAAACTGACCCAAGATAAGTGCGTTAAGTGTTTAAATGATAATTACTTTATGACAACTTATGTTGTATGGTGGTTTTTAGATCGGGTTGCCAGACACTTGTAAGAAATTGAATCTCTTACGGGCAGGGTTATAGATAATATTTATTAAATGCCGTAAATAGGATTTAATTATCTGGGAGATTTTTCTTTAAATGAATGATTTTGAATTTAATAAGAAAGCAACTTATTTTCTTTAATAAAATTGAATTAATAAATTATTAAAGGTACCTGGGTGCGGTAGGTTACAGTAATAAAGTTATTAGTTTGTAAACACCATTTTTATCCATTTGTTTCATTTTTACACCACACTAGCCATGATAAAGAAAACAAGGATTGTTAACATATTTTGTATTTTTGAGATTTTTTGTTATAGTTTTATATTCTCTAGCAACTATATTTTTAAAGATATAAGTAATTTAAGAACATATAACTAAAATATACAAGTTTTTGTTAAAAGATTATATCTAATAAAGATTAATAATGTGTACCATAAACATCTACTGTTCTAATTCTCGAGTTACGTACATATTTGACATTTGAGCATATATAATTTCTACAATGACCTGTTCTGTTATTTTATCGTTTACGAAGATTACATTTAGTTTTTTATTTACATTTTATTTTTACTTAGTTTCGAATTTTATTTAAATTTTTTACGATTCATTTTATTTTTGCAGATATTTTTTTATTTGAAAAAGTTACTTACCCGCCACTGGTATTCATTACGAGGTAATGTGAGTTGCATAAAACGGATCCAATCCAATCCTATTATTAAAGTAGTGCCATCTGTCTCTGTTAGATTTACTTAAACGAGACATTTTGACATTTTTTATTACAACTTACATAATTTTAAAAACACAAATAGAAAAATATGAATTCATCCTTATTGAAAATGTGTATAAATGTAAGTTTGAACAAATTTATTAATTAAAAATATAGGGAAAATAATTTTTTTATTGTAGGGAAGGTATTTGAGGTTATTGTCAACACCAAATACCAAATTTTTCAGTTCTCAAATAATTGACCCACCGGATGATTTATTTACAATCCCCAGGCCTTCTTCTAGAGAGAATGAGACCACAGAAATCCGTAGAGCAAGGTTCTAAAATTTATCAACTTATTTTAAAGCAGCATATTTTAAAAAAATTGATGATAGAAACTAACTATACAATTAGTATTGGATATTCTCAAAAAAATTGAAAGGAAAAACTTCAAGAATTCAAAATTAATACATTCATGTTTCAGATTACTTTATCAATCAAGAAAACGTGGGATGTTGGAAAATGATCTATTATTAAGCACTTTTGCTGCTAAATATTTAAAAACATTTAACGACGAACAACTGGCTAAATATGACAGGTAAGAAATATTATTAATTACATTTTTTAGATCATTGTTAATGTAGTTGATGGTCCCTTGTAATGTGCATATCCACACCACTCTGCACTGCTATCTAGTATTTGAATTGGACACATGTCACCTCTTGCCAGATCTCTTATTTTCATTTTATCATACTATTTGTAAAGTAACAGTTTGTTATTGTCCTGTGTATTTTCTTAGGTTTTTTGTTTTTATAATAATTATTAAATATAATTTAAATAAGAAAATACATGACAATAACAACTACAGGATCACCTAATATTTCATTTAAAACGATTATATAAATAGGTTACAACCCGACATGCACAAATATGGTCTACAACAACTATAAAAAATATCTATACAAACAAATTAACTTACTAACTCCAATATCTGGGGCACATGTTACAACCCTTGACCAAACGTTAACACCGTGATTCAAAATACAAAAAGGCTATAAGCCTTTGTGACTCAATTCACCATGTGAAGGATGTCATTGTGACACTTTTATTAAAAGAACACCTGTTTTTTAAATAAAATGTCACATTATACCTGACAATATTCTACTTCTTAAGATATTGTGCTTTTTTAATAAACTACAGTAGTCATAAAAGAAAAAAAAATAGACAATGTAAACAGACATTACCAAAATGAAATATTTAAGCACCACTTTACTTTTTAAATTAAATTTAGTATTGATTTTCTTTAAGATTAATAAATGGACCATCAAATGACTGGGAACTCTATTACTGGGCTACAAATCTTAAAAGAACGCCAGAGGAATATAAAAATGATATAATGGATTTATTGCAAGATCATTGTAAAAATCTGAATAAAGAAGTACGAATTAGACAACCAGACCTATATTAAAATTATATTTGTGAATATTATCTATATTATCAGTATTGTAAATTGTAAATAAATAAAACGTTACATGTTTTAAATAAGTCTTCTACATTTTATTTTTACATTTCCATTTTCGGCAGAGAGTAGAGACGTAGTATATTTGCTCAGTGCGAAGTTATGGTAGGGGAAGCAAAAGCGATAGTAGCCTAGCTGCGGATAATTCGTGCATTTTAGGGCGATATTTTTAATTTTGACATGTCAAATATACATATTTATTTTACTTATTTACAAAAAAAAATAGTTAAAAAGCAATTTAATGAGCAACCGGAGTTGCTGTGTTGTAAATTGTAAAAATACTAGCAAAAAAACGGTGTAAATTTTATAAATTTTCAGCAGCAAAATAGATATTAAAGAAATAAATGTACCTATAATTGCAGTAAGGGAAAAGTAATGAGAGTCGCCTATGTTCATAAAAAGCAGTTGTTTATATTTGTGTACTAGGCAACCGAGTATACATTCAAATTTTGAAAATCAATAAAAGTTAAACTGGTTGTATAATTTTAGGTGTTAACCTTGATCCATATTTTATAATGTTGGCAGTTCCGCCGATTGGAAACATAAACATTTAACATAACCTTGAATTGCAAACGTCATGTCAGTAAGATATGTAATCTCTAAATTTAGAAATTCAAGAAGTTTATTGTGATTTCAACCCTTAGGAAACCGAAATGGTTTTCCAAAGTGCTTTGTCTTATGTCCTAAATAAGTACCTGGGAGAATTCGTGGAAAATTTGGATGAAAAACAATTAAATGTTGGAATTTGGGGAGGTAATAAAAGGACAATTTAAAGAATTTCTGAAGAATTTATTTGATTTATCTTTTTTCAGGTGATATAGAGTTGAAAAATTTAGTCATAAAACCAGCTGCCTTAGAAGAATTAGATTTACCAGTACAATGTGTTTATGGAAAAATAGGTGGGTGAAAATCCAATGTTTATGAATATCTATTAGTGTTATTAGTAATTAAGGTAATTAATTATAGAAGGTATGTAATTTGATAAGGTCATCTAAACTGACCTTTACCGAGATGATAGAATCAAGTCGCTAGTCATTTTTATTAATACTAATTTTATTCTGTATGGTCTAACACCAAATAAACTTTTAATGGCTCATAAAATACTCCAATAGTCTTTATGATTTCTAGGAGGAAAGGAAGTTGACTGGTTGACATATTTATTACATTTTCACAATTTTAATATTCTTAATTTTGTTTAGCAAATATTTTAGATCTATGAATTAGTTAAAAGTATATCCCTATTAAGTATTAATATAAATTAATAATGATTTATTAAAAGTTATCATTTCTTAAAATTATTTTCTTGAAAACACAGAGGAAGTACCAGAAAGATTGTGGTAGGTATATTTTTGATTAGCTTATCTTTATACTGATTAACTAACCTCCAAAAATGCAAGAAAGGTCAACATTAAAAAAATCGAGAAGGGGGAACATGTGTTAAATTTTGACTTGAGACTTAAAAAAACAAAATTATAACTGCTATGCTAATTTTTTTTATATAAACAATTAAAATTAACGTTCTGATAATGAAGCAGGATTATTAATGCAATTGATATCAAAAACTCCGAAAATGACAATGGGTTTAAAGTTGATTAAGAAATAAATCATAATTTAGGTTTTGAATCCACTCTTTTACAATCTTTATTTTAATTTTGTTAATCTTATTTATATTTAGATGAAGTGCCTCATAATTTACTTAGGGTTTAGTTTATTCCTAAATTTGTAGTTATTGTGATTGCTATAATAATTAAATAGACTGAAGAGTTGTTTCAGGTAGGCATTCAGCTGCTAGTTGAAAGGGCTTGTCTATCTAAGGGTCAGCAACATAGCCTTCTACGTTTTGACCTATTTTTATTCGAAATAGTAGTCATCATGTCTGCCAATTTAAATGTATAAGTGGTTTTTTTAAATAATATTTTCATTGTGTTCGACATAAAATATTTAAATTTAATCCTTTATTCATGATTTCACATGTTGTAGATAGAATACATCATATGTCACAACCCCTTTAGATATACCAACCTTTCCCACCAAAAGTTTTTTTGTTTGGAATGTCTAATTACAATTTCCCAATTTTTCTCTGATTTGTTTTCGCTCTTCAAGGTTTAAGAATGTATTCCTGTATTCCTGAATTTTCCTCATTGCTTTTTAGCATTTTTATTCTTATTACCATGAAGAATGAGGATGGTAATATTATAAACTAATTAAGAAGTAATCGAACTATACTAAAAAGGCAGCAAAGCACCTAGGGAAGTTTGAGTTGAAACCCTGCTCCCTCCTCATTTTTTACAAAAATCAAGTTGCTCTAGTAGCTTATAGCCAGCAGCTTTTTTAAGTTTTTTTTTAAACAATCACATTTTTAGGATATTTTTTAGGCTCTTGAAATATAAAAAAATTTCTAAAAAATTACTTATTTTAAATAATATATGGTGCTTTGCACCCAAGCCAGCAGAGCACCTCATTTTTTTGAAAGTTTTTTTTTTCTAAAAACAACTATGCTACATTTTTAGGCTTTTGCAAAATAGCTATTTTTATAAAATATTTTGCTAGGTTCAAACAAACCCAAGCAAAGCACCACGATTTTTAAAAATGTTTTTTAAAAACAACCAATTTTAGAAATAAATAAATCATTTTTAGGCTCTTGAAACGTTAAAAAAAAATCTGGCACAGTTTTTATAAAAAACCTTAAAAAAAGTTCTTATTTTTAATAAATAGCAAATTTTTTCGGAATGTTTTATAATATTTCAAGAACTTTAATGTAGCCAAAATTTTTGGTAAAAACCTTAAAAATCTGAGGTGCTCTACTGACCTAGTTCGAAGTCAGTAAAGTCCATATATTATTAAAATAGCAAATTTTTTGAAGTGTTTTATAATGGTTCAAGAGCCTAAAAAAATCCTAAAAATGTGGTGTTGTTTTTAGAAAAAACTTTGAAACCAGCAAAGCAACCTCATATTTTTTAAAAATGTCCAATTTTTTGGGATTTTTTTGTAATATTTGAAGAGTTTAAAAATAACCTATAAACGTGGCAAATTTGTCAAAGAAAAAAAAAACAATGTGTTCTACTGGCTTCTTTCGAAGTTAGCAAAGCATCCTCTATTTTTTAAAAAGAGCAAATTTTTATGGAATTCTGTAATATTTTAAAAGCTTAAAAACGGACAAAAAATATAGTAGGTATAGTTATTTTTAGGAAAAACCCTAATAAAATGAGGTGCTCTGCTATCTTTTTTCGAAGCTAGCAAAGCAACTTTTTTTAAATAGTACATTTTTTCAGAAATATTTGAGCCTAAAAATGTGGTTTTGTTGTTTTTAGAAAAAAATCTTAAAAATGGAGGCACCCTGTTGACATCATTTTTTAAAAATAGCAAATTATTCAGAATGTTTTAAATATATATTAAGAGCCTAAAAAAGTGGTATGGTTGTTTTTAGATAAAAACTTTAAAAATTGTGGTGCTCTGCTGGCTTCGTTTGAAGCGCCCATAATTTTTTAAAAATAGCAAGTTTTATATTTCAAGAGCCTAAAATTAGCCTAAAAATATGGTGTAAGGATAAGATCATTTTTGAATAGGGTGCTCTGTTGCCTTCTTTGGCATAATTTTACTAAAACAAAACTAAATTTCAGATTTAAATTGACTATTTTATGTAACATAATCAGCTCAGTTAAAAATGGCAAAACCACAAATGTTCAATGTTAAGAGCAAACCGAACAGCTTAAAAATTTTCTTTTGAGCTTTTATTTTAGTCCGATTTTTGTGAAATTTTCAGGAAGTACCAATATTTAAATTTAGGGCGGAGAAACCTTGAATTTTTGTAAACCTTCCAAAAGTATTTGTTTTGATAATTTTAAAAAGAAATAAAAAATAAAATTACGCCCCATTCTGTATTAAATCTATGAAAATTGCTGCTTTTTGTTTAAATAAATATCTAGTAGTTTTTAAAGGAGAGGGTTTCCGAAATTTTTTCTTAAATGCCCCTGTATAGTGCTGCCTTATTATCATTGTACAACTTTAAGGCTCTCAATACAATTTAATATTAGAAAATCTTTATATTTTTCTTTTATAAAAAATTTTTGGAAATAGAATTTATTACCAGAATAATTTTTAAGACTATTTTATCAAATTTTGTCAAAGAACCTATTAAATTTGAAGGGCGTTAGATGTTATTTGTCCTTATCCATCTCGACCTTTTCAGATCTATTGTGGGACCCTATGATATATATTTTGATATAAGACTTTACTCTTTTAGTTCTTCACATATATTAAGAATTTATTTGTTGAAGACCAAGTTGAAATACAAAAAAAATACTATTTGTCGGAATTTTAATGATTTTCAGATTTTTTACTATAAGTTCTAATAGTAACCGCGTAAAGCACCTATTTTACTACCTATTCATTTTTTAGCTTTTATATAAAGGCTTTCTTTTTAAGGATTCGATTTTTTTATAGACAAACATGATATATATATTTAATTTCTGATCAAAAATGAATTTTTTGTCACTGTGGGACAATAACATTTAATTTGTTTTTCTTCGTTTTCAAAAATCAAATGTTTTAGGGAAACTTGTATTAAAAATACCATGGAAATCCCTTTACACAGAGAGAACAGTAATAACTGTAGAAGATGTATATTTACTGGTCCATCCTAATCAGCAGGTTAAATATGATCAAATCAAAGAAGAACAACAAAAATTGGACTTTAAACGTAAAGAAATTGACAGAATTGAAGAAGTTAAAAGGATAACAGCAGAAAAATGTAAGAAAAATGATATATATTTTTTTAATTAGGGTATTCTATATCTACCTGTTGAAATCTATTGTAAGTCAAACGAAAGCTAGACCTTTAACAGGTATATTTTTATTAGTGATAAAAAAAAAATAGAATGTATTTATTTTGAAATATCAGTTTCAAGAAAATATATTTGGGTCCTAGGTACTTCTTTTAGTAAATTCTTTTCTGATATTGCAATGATATATTATTAAAACACTTATTTTAATCAGATTATTTTTGCTAAAGTTGTGTGCATACATTTTAAAAACATTGCAGGAAACTCGGTGCTTAATTAAATTTGAACAATACATTTTATCAATTTTCCATGTACTCCTACACAATAATTCTATTTAAAGCAAACATTACCTTGAAATATTTGTAACACTATACAATAAAAAAAGGTTATTTACTAAATTTGTATAAACAGATTTTTTTGACAAAAAGAATAATATTATAAATTTGATAATACATTTATAAATAGCTATGATGTAGGAATGTTTGCTTTAATGAATAATGAATTACTGAGATTTCATCAAACTGAAAAGCTTGTGAACTGGAATATGTTATCTTTGGAAATGTGAATATTAAGACTCCTTTTAAATTTAATACAGCAATCGAAGATTTTTTAATATAAAAAATAGCCGTGTTATTAGAAACACATAAGTACATAGTTAATGTTTGATAAAATGTATGTTAATTTCATTCATTCAGGAATAAATATTTCATATAGGCTTTATTTAAAAAAATATATTATAGGCTCTTAATGTCTAATCTCGATGAACACCTTGATACACAAGCATGTATCTCAGCTCTACCACACTTAGGCCTCATTATGTGCATTGTGTATCATCAGAGAACAAAGTAACTAACTTCCTCTTGGGGTAGTTAATAACGTCCCTATCTCTATGCAACTAGTGACATTCTTATAACAGGCACAAAGTACCTATGATCTACTCTTTTAACTCCTGACACTCCTGGGAACTATAACTTCTAATCCCAATGATAATTTTGATACACAATCATGTGTACTCTGTGCTCATGAAAAATAATTAAACTATGGGGGTTATGATTGACAACCTGTGTTATTTTTAGCAGGTCTGTTATTTTATAAATACACAGAAATAACAATCTGTTCACAAATAACGTGTCTGTTAAAAATAACATTACTTGTCCATCATAACCCCTTATGTCTGATAAAAACTACTAGTTGATGTCTCTGAAGACATAATTTGACAAAAAAGTTTGTCATCAATTGCTAAATAAAGTGGCTCTTTACTCTCTTGTAATTGCATACATTAAGAAACAATATGAATCTTGACAGTGTCGGGAAAGGCTCCTGCTAAGCAAGGATGGACTGCAGAATTTTCCGAAAAACTCGTCACTACCGTGATCAAGAATTTGCAACTTAATATCAAGAATATTCACATCAGATATGAAGACAAAATTACAAATTCCAAGGCACCATTTGCTTTTGGTATCACTTTGGATGAGTTGGCTGTGGAAAGCACAGATTCAGATTGGAAGAAAGTTATTTCTGAAGATCTTGTTAAAATATATAAAGTAAGTGTTTTAGTTGTTTAGATTTTTTATAACTTTCATAACACCTATATTTTTTATTGTATTGTAAAGTCTCAAAGGATTAGGCTCAATTTATGAAATTGGATGAAAAATTCATCTATTTTTTTATTGGACAAATCCCCTTTAATGATATTAATGTCCACTAAATTTATAGCAGCCTGTATTGTAAAGTCTCAAAGGATAAAAGCTTTATAAAATTGAATGAAAAATTCTTCTATTTTTTAATTGAACAAATCCGCTTTTAATGATATTTGTTAACCAAATTTACACGTTAGTAGAATCAGTTATGGTATCTGTTTTTTTTTTATATTTCTTGATCCTATGATGTCACTTTATAAGATTTCAAAGCGCCATGTTATTTAATTTAGATGCCATTGGCATAAATCAATTATTATATGATATTTAAAAAATTGTAGTCTAATAATATCCCAAATAGCCAAAAATATTCTAGTTATCAAATTTATTCTATAGAAAATATGTCTTAGTTTTTAAAAACATTTTGTAATATGCACTATCTTAATTAAAATAAAAAATGTGGAGTAAACCAACTGCAAATTCTATGAAAAATTAAATATTTGTAAATTTCATAATGTGACTAAATATATTTTAAATATTTATTTGCTGTTATATTTTTAGATCTTGTATATGGAAAATTTGGCAATTTATTTGAATTGTAATTGTTCTGTATATGCTGATCTTACAACTGAAAAAATGTTGGAAAAACTTAACAATGGGATAGCGTCCCAAAAAAAACTTCCAGAAGGATACACTTACAGTAAGTATTTTTTTATATTTATTATATACATTAAATGAAGTAGATTATTCCTACTGATTTGTGCCTTGTATAATATAGTTTTCCAGAAGTGAAATTGAGCATTTTATTTCATGTAAAATCATTAAATTTTCAACATTTAGCCTTTGTGAATTATAATTATGACTGTCGAATATCCAATTTCGTTGATTGTTAAGCATAGAACTGACTTCTAATTTGCACATATATCTTGATAATTCTGATTTAATATTTAACATTTTGGTAAAACTTTCAGCATCTAAGTCATCATAGCGAGAGGGACTCTAAAACAGTTCATTCATAGTTAACTTGTTCACTGTCAGTGATTCGTTTGTTCTATAACTTGTGCAACTCATAATCTTGTGCAGCTCATAATCTTGTGCTCCTCATAATCTTTTGGAATTTCCATATGTTATTACGTTCTAGAATGGACATTATTCTCCTGTATAAATAATATAGATTATACATATAAACTCTAGAACACTAGAACATTACTTACTGTACATCCTTGTTTGTATTTTTTAATCATCATTCAAACTATTACCTTTAAGAACATGGTATTGTATAATTACCCGGATTTTGGTAAATAATGCACACTTGATGACTTTTTAGCTCTAAAAAATCAATGTCTACTAAATAATATTATATTTTTTTTATTATTACTAAGTTCTGTTATTTTAATAAATATTGTATTTTAAGTGCTCTCATCCCGCAAAAAAATACAGAACTTAATGTTTGTCTTATTTTTCTGCTTAGTTGTGGGACCAATAAATGCTGACGCCAGACTTAAAATGAATCAGAAGCCTAGTCTTGATAATCCAGCATACTCCATTCCCAAATTCCATCTCAACTTACAAATGGAAACCCTGTATGTTGGATTGAATAGATGTCAATATCAAGATATAATAGCTTTGGTGGATTCCATGGAAAGAATGGATCGGGGCTTGCCTTTTAGAAAGTTCAGACCGAATGTAACTACTTACAAGGGGCACTATCGTGAATGGTGGCATTTTGCTATTGACTCTGTTTTGGAATATGAAGTGAGACGAAAGAAAAGAGAGTGGGATTGGAATCACATTAAAGAATACAGGAATATGTGTAGAGAATATAAACAATTATTTAATAGGAAACTACATAAAAAAGTAAGTGTTTTGTAACTTTATTTACAAGCTTGATATAATATTCGAAACCCCAAAAGAATACTAACACAATTTAATAAGTAGCTTAAGTCAAATGTTTGAAAATACTTTTACTGAACTGTTAAATAAATGACGATAAATATATTTACTGTCAACTGATCAATATGGATTTAAATAAGGTGTACCCACTATAGCAGGGGCAGAAGTTGGAAAGGCATTTGTCAGTTCTCCCACTTCATACACAGAATTTGACGGTTTTGACGCGGAGCTAACCGAAGTGAACGCGAAACATTGACATAGAAAATTATTTTATAGATGCCAATAAAAATTTCATGTAAATAGTTTAATAAATTGTGAAATTTTGTAGAATTATGATGTGAAATAGTATTACTTGTTTAAATAATGATATATAGCCCATAAATAGATACGTTTGCCCGATTCCGCCAATAATAATTTAAAATGTTTGGTATTATTTTTATTCTATGAGACGACTATGGCGTACAAACATTACTGTGAAATAATCGAAGTCGTCCGACGGGGTTTGACTTTTACCACCTCTCTACCTACCAAAAGCCTTTCCAACTTCTGTCCCTACTATACAAATGCCATAATGAAACTACTGTATATATTTATATAGGTCTTCCTTAATGAAATCTTTGGCCTGTCTCAATCCTGGATAGTTGTTCCATCATTTCTATGACTATTTTTGTATGCATTGTTTGATGGATGTCTTGCACAAATAACGCTACAGAATGGTTAAAGCCTGTCATGGCCTTATCTGAGCCTTATCGTACTAGTTCTTCAGCCTCTTCATTACCCTGATATCCTTTGTGGTCTGGTACCCAGGCTAAGGACATTTTTGTTTTGACTACTTGTTCTGTCAGGTCTTCTAGGCAGTCTTCCACCAGTCGTGATTTGATTTCTGGTGATAGAGAATTGCTTGGCTTTTAGAGTAGATGGCACTAGTTTTGCCTGATACTTGCTGATTTATTATTTCCCTTGCACAGTGTTGTATGGCTATATAGTTGGTCTTATTGTGAGAGACCATAAAATTAAACACTTTCTACTTGGATGGCTGTTTATTCCTACAAAATTAACTGATAACAACATGACGGCATTTTACATCATAACCAAAAACATACAACTTAACCTAACCTTAAAGTACCTCGCGTTAGGAGATCATAAATCAGAATCGATCCAAGGAACGGAAACACTAGTGACGGACTGACAACTATCAAGTTTCACCCTAAACAGTAATACCAACATGGTTACTAATGTTAAGATGGCGCGAAATACAAATATACTTACATTAGGCAGCTGATACCCACCCAACCAAATCTTTATTACATTCATACCATCTTGGACGCTAACAGTGTCATCATCATATGTTAGTACTTTGCTATATATGTCGTGTTAATAGAGAATTTATATACTTAAATGGTGAAGATTAGAGGCACAACGACTGTCTCTTGAGGCACACCGACTCTCACCGGATGCAGTTCACTTAGAAATCTATAAACTTTTACATAATATTGTGAACAGTAATTTAAATAATCATTAAAAAAACAATACAGTACCACACTCTAATAGTAGTTTTTCCATGATGTACTGTGTTAAATGCCTTCGCTAAATCTTAGAATATTGCGTTACATTTTTTACTGTTATCAAGATTGATTTAAAGTTTGCAGTTTTACTGACAAGTTTGATAATGTGGATTGTATTTATTAAAAAATATCCGAGTATACAACAGCCATTTGCAAGAAGAATCATTAAAATTACTGAGCTAGATAATGTTTGACAGATGTTTTGTCTGTGAGTTTATTTAAAGTTCATGTCACTCAGATATATCACATTCACACGCTCCATCAAAGTTTATCAGTCTGATAAATTGTAATGAACATTTCTGGAACCGCCTATAAGAGTTTATTTTTACATTTTAATTTGGATAATGTTACAAAAACTTTCAATGATTACCTAACATTTTTAATTATTTTTAGCTGAAAGACCCCGACGTTGGAAGGTTTAACGAATGTGAGAAAGTGTTGGACTTAACCAATCTAATTATAATTAGAGAGCAAGTACATGCAGAAGAGCGTAGAGAGAGCACAGAAGATGAAAAAAAGGGATGGCTCAGTTGGATGTGGGGTGGGTCATCCCAGTCCAGTGATGATCTACAAAAGACATCAGCAAGTAAGTTCATTTTCGTACATGGTCAAAGAGAAAACAATAAGAAAATAATATTTTACTAATAAATAGCACATTTTTATTTCCACAAAATTTATTTATATACAAACATTTTTAGTATCAAAGATTAAGCAAGAAATGACTGCAGAGGAAAAACAGCGGTTATATCAAGCCATTGGCTATCAAGAAAATGCATCTCCTGTTATATACCCTGAAGAATATATTGATACTGTTGCTACATTCGTATTGAAAATGTTTACAATAGAGTTGAGCGATGTAGCAAAAAATAATAAGTTTATATCAGTTTTTAAATGCGATCTTAACACTGTCAAATGCAGATTAGAAACTCGACCAGCAGGACAAGGACTAGGGTAAGTTATTTCTGTCTTAAAGAAGATTCAAATCTATTTTTTTTTATTAAACTTGAAAAAACGTACATTCAGAGTCTTAATATTGACTGAATAAAAAATAAAAATAAAAAATGGAATAATTTGATTATTTAAATGTATACTTTTAGGGTTAAAGTAAAAATTGATGACTTCACTGGGACAGGTTTGTCAGATGCAGATTATGTGCCATATTTAATTTCATCTGAAGCTAGTGAAGGAGGCCTGTTAGATATTTTATATGAAAAGAATCCTATTGATAAAAACTGCGATCAAAGGATTCACGTCACTGCCCAACCCTTAAGGATTATTTATGATGCCAAAACAATTAACAAACTGGTCCAGATTTTCACCATTCCACCCGACTCTTCAGTTACTCAGTGAGTATATTAATAAGTTTCACATTAGAGAGTAGATCTCGTAAATGCTTGAAAATGCAGATTAGGGTAAATGGGTTAAAAGTGGTCTATTCAGAATGACAATAATATGGTGTAGGGTGAGCCAAAAAAACTTACCTATCAAATTTATGGGTTAAAATGAAATTTTCCCTGCAAGACAGGATTTTTTTGCTCAATTTTAAAAGGTGTCGGTGAGCATTCAAAGTTTCACATTCAAATAACCATGTTCTTTTTTCATTAAAAATACCATAACTTTTGAAGAAAAATTTTTTACGTCGCGGTTTCTTGTAGAGCATAAAATTTCCTAAAAAATATGTCCCAGGATTATGTTTTTCAATTCAAAAATTCGTATATTTGAAAGCTTTGAAAAGGGAAAAAAATCAAAATATTCAGTTTTAGTGTTTTTTGACTAAAAATGTTTATATTTAACAAAAATTTGGATTTAGATAATATAAAATAGTTGAAAAATATCGTTAAAAATCTAGATTTGTCAAAAGAAAACCTATTGTGTTTAATAATTAATTTTTTGTTGCAATTGAAATAATTTATTACAATTAGGATATTGCTGACGATGTAATTGCACTACTTGTAAGATGATTTTGTTCCTCATTTTTTTTAGAGTTCGATAGTATTTCTGTATCAATGCAATAGCTCGTTCAGCAATATCATTAACACATTTGATGCTTTTAACAATATCGGAACATCATTTGTATGAATCATCATCGGCCCTATGTTCCGGCTCAATATTTAAAAAGTCTCATGATAACTCCAGTCACTCAAAAAATTCTAACGATCTTTTTTTATGATAAAATCACTGATATCTTTCGAGCAAATCATCTCAAGTTGTGTTTTAGTTAATGTAATTTTGTTTTCATCAACTTTGATCTCGTCTTTTTTCGTAGCATTAATCATTTTCTTTTTCATACCAAGCTTATACTAGAATCTAAAAAGAAATTGCTGCAAGTCTTTCTGTGAGGTACCATAAGTGTCGCGAAAATGTTAATACAGTAGCATTTGAAATCTTTTCATTGATATTTTTATAATTCTGGAGCCTCTATCAGACTACTAGCTTCAAACCGTGCTTTTACATAAACAATACTTATAAAACTACAAGTAAATTATTTTTAACTTTTTAGTTTGATATGCTCTAAAAGCGTGTTTTTTAGTTTTTTTAAACTATATTTATTTGGGCTATATCCTACACGACAATTTACCCAGCTATCAAAACGGGAGAGTATCGTTGTCTTGCTTTTGGCAATCAGATACCCTCAAGTAATATAATTAAAATATGTATTTGAAACTTCTTAACAGGATGCGTAATCCCATTAAGGCTAGAATCACTAATCGATGACCACTTTTATTTAAGATTTTTCCAGACACACATACACACATGGCTCCCGATTCTGAGACCGCCATTTCAATCTTGACACCACGGTGTCAGAATCGGAAGTGATGTTTTTTACTCTGTTTTATTTGATTTGATTCAATCTCAATGCCTTATTGTGACGTCATCACTTCTCGATCTCCTCGGCGCTCGCTCGATCAAATCAAACGATCCTATAATGAATAAACTACGAAAACAGCTGATTTTACTTTTTACCGACAGCTGTTAAGTGAATTATGACTTGATGTCTTGAAATCATTTGAATGTTAAAAAATTTAATTTTTGTAATGAATAACGTTAACAATTGTGAGAAAAATTTTTCAAAAATAAGGCAATGCAAAAATATTTTGTTAAATTAATTAATGAATATAAGAACTTTTTTTTGACAAATCTAGATTATTAATGATATTTCTTAACTATTTTATATTATTTAAATCCAAATTTTTGTTAAATATAAACATTTTTAGTCAAAATACACTAAAACTGAATATTTTGATTTTTTTCACTTTTCAAAGCTTTCAAATATATGATTTTTTGAATTGAAAAAAAATAATCCTGGGATAGACTTTTACGAAATTTTATGCTCTACAAGAATCCACGAAGTAAAAATTTTTATCCTAAACGGTTCAAAAGTTATGGTATTTTTAATGAAAAAAGATTTTTTTTTACATGTTATTTAAATGGGAAACTTTGAATGCTCACATACACCTTTTAAAATTGAGCAAAAAATCCTGCCTTGCAGGGAAATTTTTTTCTTAGTATGTAGGTTCATTTTAACCCATAAATTCGATAGGTTAGTTTTTTTGACTTACCCTAATATGGTGTGAACAGTTCACAAATATCCAGGACAGTTTTCAAGTTGTTTACTAAGATTTTTTGTTTGGTTTCTTAATTGCTTGAAAATCACATACTCAAATTAGTACCAGAATGTTTCGTTTTTTTGTGGAGCCATCCTCAGGTTCATAATTTTAAATATGGATCAGATTTTTTGTACTACTGTTTATCATGTATACAGCCATGTGTCCAATTATGTTATATATTGTGTAAAAGAATAATAATTTTGCATTTATACAATTATTTATTTTTAGATTACAAGACGCAGCAGTAACTAGAATGACAGAAATAAAAGAAATGTCTTCGTTGGGTCTACAATACACGTTAGAAAAGCACCAGATACTCGATATCAATATCGATTTTCAGGCGCCCTATTTCATCATGCCTTATGAAGGAAAATATACTGGTAATGAAAATGTCATAGTAGTTGATCTTGGTAACTTAAAAATATTTTCTCGAGGAAGAAGGCTCACAGGTTCTGAAGTGAAAAAACAATTTGATAAAGGCCTAAATCAAGAAGAAATTCTAAGCTATATGAAGGAAAATGTTTATGACAAATTCGATTTAGTTTTGAACAATTTGCAGGTAATGTTTGTTTTAAAAAGAAAAGTTGACAGGTGTTTTACTATTTTTGTTTTGTTTTTCATATTAATGGAATTAATTTATTAAGGACCGATTTCACCGTTGTGTTAAACGAAGTTTAAAATGACATTTTTACATTAACAATGTCATTTTAATCTCCGTTTAACACAACGGTGAAATCGACCCTAAATCTTTCAAAAATAAGACTCAACGTACGTTTTTAGGATTGATCTGTTGCACTATATTGTGTATACACGGTCTGTTCAAAAAATAACTGAACTTTTTTTTAATTTCACATACAGCAAATTACTTCTTTCCTCTATACAGGCAGCTGTTCCAGCGGTGTTTTTGGAATATCCATCGAAACGTGTACAATCAGAACTGATTTTTAATTTTTAAAACAGGAAAAGTCGCAGGGAGCAAGGTCTGGATGGCAGGGAGGCTGGAGAAGGACAGTTATCTGATATTTGGCCTAAAAATAATAAGGTCGAATGGATAGGTGCATTGTCACGGTGAAGATGCCATGAATTGTCTCGACACAACTGTGGTTTCTTTGCGAATTTTTTTTACACAATCTTTTCAAAACGCCTTCGTAGTGCTGACAGTTGACTGTTTGACCTTGGGGTAAAAATTCAAAATGCACAAATTCATTGAAATCGAAAAGAAAACTATGAGCATCACCCTGACAGATGATCGAACCTGTCGGGTTTGGAGATCCTTTGCCAAATGTGATGACTTTATTTTCGTCTCAATGTTGTAACTGGAAGCCCATCATTCGTCATTTACGCGTAAGTTTATAGAAAGAAATACTGAAATGTATTTAGCAAGTGTTTATATTATATTTATACTTAAGACTGGGAAATGGACTAAAAATGGCAACTTAACAACGTATTAGTAAATCTTTTTATGATAATATAAAAAAATTACAAGGAAATTACATGTCAACAGCAATGTTGTAAGAATGAATTAGGCATTCCAACGACCTGTCAAACAATAGGTACCAGTGGGAAATTCTTGTATATTTAAGGGGGTAGCGACATAGTCTTGCAACTTGGACGCTATTTTTATTCGAAGTAGTACTCGCCAAGCCTGCCAATTTATGAAGAAATGTATAGGTGGGTTTTTTAAATATTATTTTTATTGTGTTTGACATAAAATATTTAAATGTAATCCATTATTCATGATTTTACGTAAAGTAGATAGAATACACCATATGTCGCCACCCTTAGATATACCAAACCTGCCCACTGGTAATTCATTTGTTTGGAATGCCTAATTGAACATAAACATATTCCACTAATAATTTGACATTATCATTAAAAACTTTAAAAATTTTATTTCAAGGATTAGTAAGCAAATTATTTTCAATGCATTCTCTATATTTTTTTTATTAACGTTCTCACAATATAAAGGCTGTATGTTTGATAATTATTACAAAAAGCATGATTTCAATTTGCAAATTTTGCCACATTTTAGTACAGCGTGTTCACCACCAATGCGACATGCAAGGCTAAGTTACACATCCATTGGATCTTGGGCGACAACTAATGGTTGACCAATCAGAAAAGCAAACGTCATATGTCAAAATAATGGTTGACCAATTAGAAATGCAAACGACATGTCAAATTATTTTAACGTACAATACGAACCGACCTTCAAATATACTTGTATATGATAATACGACGTTGTCGTTCTGTATATTTTCACAATGGTTTTAAAGATATTTATAGTGTGACAAAATCGGGAAGGTTTTAAGGCACAAGCAATTTTGTTTTTTTAATAGAAAACTTTTCTTCGCAAACGATTCGTCTAAAGGTTGACAAGAATAAAAAAAAATAACAAAAATATAGTTTTGCACGTTCAAAAACAGTGTGTACCATAAAGTTGGATCCATATGTTTTTTTTAATATAACGATTTAAAAAAAAGGTCGTAGGGCAATCACCTCTGGTTATTTTTAAAACTTAAAATAGCCCATATCAAATTTGACTACTGGCATAAGTTATCTGTGACTCATTAAAAGAAGGGGTTTTTAAGCGATTTTTCAAAGATTGCGAATTTGATAGATAATTAATGCAAGTAGCCAACTTTGATATGGGTTATTTTAAGTTTTTAAATAAGTAGAGGTGAATGTCCTATGACGTTTTTTTCCCAGTCATAATATTAAAACAAATTCCTATATATGGACCCAAGTTTATGGCACTCACTGTATGTCATAGACGTGCCATGAAGACTAATGGATATTTTTCTGTTAGATTAATTTTGTGTTTGCTTTTAATTGTTATTAAATATATACTGATAAGTAGTTATTATAATCAGTTTTATTAATGTTAAATGTATTGAGGGGACAGGGGTGGAAAGGAAATATAAAAATAATTAGATAAAAACGAGTAAAAAGTAGTTTATTAGAAAAAAGATGATGCATTGGTACTAACATATTATGTTAGATTAAAAACAACCTAAAATATTATAGATTTGTCAAAAATATTGGAATTTAATCCTTTATATATCTTTAACATTAAATTTTTGTTACACTTTTATTCATTGAGGAGCTTTGAACAAAACGATTTTTGGGAAAAGTCGATTTTCCAATTGCACAAAAAATACTGTTTTTTTGTTAGAAAATAATATTGGAGACATCATTAATAATACATCCTTTGAAATTACATTTTTTTAAATTTATTTTTTTAAAAAATATAACAAATAAAAATGAATTTATTTATTTTTGCTCAAATCCTTTCTACTCGGGACATATGCATGATACCCCATATTTTATAAGGTAATAGTTTATATATTAACTACTAAAACGTACTACCACTATCACTAAATATATCGTTATAACTAATAGAAGAGTCTTATAAAAGTTACAAATAACTAAAAAGCACAAAAAAATATTAAAACCCACTCAAATACGAAAAATGAACTGTTTACGTTTTACTTTAACTTTTGTTTAGGTGTTTAGACTTCAACCCTTCGAAATTTGACAGTTTTTTTGGCTTGTCTTTTGCATAGTTTCGAAATTCTTATTATAATCGAAACAATCGATTTTTAATTTTCACAAATTCTGTCTAATCAACGAAAGCATGAGCGATCATGTTCTTGTCAAATTTTATTTTTTACGTAACTAATATTATGATGAATTTTAGAGATACCTCTTACTTAATAGGTAGGTATAAGAAAAATCAAATTATTTTATTATGGAAATGAATCGAGGAAACATTTAAATGATAAAATAATCGATTTAGAAGTTTTAAAAATTTTTAGGTATAAACCCTTCGAAATAGGAAAAACCATAAAGTAATAAAATTTCTACTTAACCATAAAATACATTTCACTCAAACCCAAAAATTGCGATGTGGAAAAGTTCAATTGACCCTGTTCTTTAGGATTAAAATTATGTTTTTTTTTTGTTTTTGTCACATTTAACCTACTTACCAACTAGGTAAAGTTTTGACAGATCAATTTTTCATGTTACAGTGCAATTATTAAATTGACTAGATATCGTTGTACTGCAAAGACGTATTAAAAGTGCTCCTATAAAAACGTTAATTTAACAGTGAACTAGTGCACATATTTTCCTGGAACTTTCCATGTGAGTCAATGAATATATAATATACTTGTTTTAAGTTGTATGAAGCTTCAATATATATTCTAACAATAGATATTTGAATCTTTATATTATTTTGGGTCGGTAACAAGGCAAATATTCTCATTTATCGTCAAGAGTTTTTGTTAGATGGTAACATTTCAAATTAAAGATGGGCGACTCCGGCGATTTAAGTAACTGTGATTTATTTAAGAAACTTTTGGATGTTATTCAGTCAGAAAATAACAAATTGTCTCAGCAAATGAAAGAGGAAAACAAAAATATTATTGATCGGTTGGATGAAAACACAAATAAATTAAAAAATCTTGAAATTAAACAACAAGCCGTAGAAACCAGATGCATAACTTTGGAAAGACTGTCTAGGCGTAATAATATTATTATTCACGGTATACAAGTGCCAGAATCTGAAAATCTACTACAATTTATTCTATTAAAGCTAGAAGATTTACTTAAAGTTAAAGTATCACTTACAGATATTGACAACATTTTTAAAATTCCGAGTAAAACAAGTTTTCTTGTCAAAGTTGAATTTACAAACTATCTTATAAAGCAAGAAATACTTCGCAATTGTGTAAAACTCAAAGGAAAAAATATTTTTATTAATCAAGATCTCTGTAAAGAAGATAGGGAAACACAAACATTTCTTCTCAAGCACCTTAAAGCAGCTAGAGGCCAAAAAAAATCTGCTAGAATTAAAAATTGGTCTTTGTTTGTTGATGGAGTGGTATACACCATTAATAATTTAAAGGAATTTGAACAGAACATTAAGGTAAACACTGAAGAACCTGCCACCCCGCAAAACTTAGCACCAGCTCTGGAAACAACAAACAAAAGAGCTAGAACTTCACCAGCTGATCCTGAGCTCGAAAAAATTAAGCTTCACAGGTCCAATTCAGTGTCAAGTGATAAAAGTGACAAACAAACAAGAAGTGGTATAAGTTACTAGTAATTTCTCGTGAAACCAAAGTTATCCCATCTCTATACGCGAATTTTTTTTTTTTAGTCTAATTATCTATTTATAAGTAAAACAGGTGTTAGCTTTAGTGGAATAAACTAAATTATAAATTACTGTTTATTTAAATTAATGTTTTCATTTTCTATTTGTCATATCAATTCTAGATCTGTGTTGGCTGATTTCTTTGAGTTTAAACGTACTGTTTGTGATATTTACGATATAATTACCGTCTCTGAAACATGGCTTTCGCCCCAAATTGATGATGATTTTGTACTTCTACCTGGGTATAAATTATTCCGACGCGATCGGTTGACAAAAAGAGGAGGCGGTGTAGCCATTTATATTAGAAATTGTTTTGCTGGCTCTGTATTATTAAGTTTAAACCGAACTGAGTCTGAACAATTATGGATTTCAGTTATACATAATAATAATAAGTACGCTATTTGCTCAACTTACAGACCTAGCGACTTCTCTTTTGCACAGTTCTCAAACGAACTTGATGAATGTCTTAACTGGGTGGCAACAAGACATAATTATATTATAATTGCTGGGGATTTAAATATAAATTTTCTAGACCTTAATAATAAATGGTGCACTATGTTTTACTCAGTTATAAACTCATATAATCTAATACAAGTTGTAGACCAACCAACTAGAGGTCCTAATTTACTAGATGTTATTATTTGTTCAGAAATACTTTCTCCTAATGACATAAAAGTTTCCAGTTCTACCGTTTCAGACCATTCAATACCCTCATGTAACGTTGGATACGTTAAAAATAAATTAAAACCTTTTTTACACAAGTACCGCGATTTTAAAAGATTAAACGTAAATGAATTCAATCATGATTTGAATATGTGTGATTTTTCAGAAATCTACACAACAAACGACATTGACAAAAAAATTAAGATTCTAAATAACAATATATTGTATTTATTTCAGAAACATGCCCCTGTACGGCAAATAAAAATAACAAAAAATAAGGCACCTTGGCTTACAGACACAATAAAAATAATGATTAAATATAAAAACAGGGCATTAGAGAGATTCAATAAAACAAAAGTTCCTAATCATTGGGAGTATTACAAAACTCTAAAAAATCAAGTTAATTACGCAATTAAGAGAGAGAAAAAAGCATTCCTGGAATTTAAGTTAAGACAAAAAAGTAACATATGGAAAGAATTAAATAATCTGAACATAACAAAAAATAAAAAATCTACTATTCCCAATGAACTAAAAAATCCTGAAATAATAAATAATTATTTTATTCACGGTATTGGTGGCCTAGATAACCCAGACATACACATTTTAAATCATTATGAGTCCCATGTCCAAGAGAATCTGCAAGATTTTAAGTTTACCGAAGTTAATGAATTAAAAGTATATGAAAAATTACTCTCCATTAAATCCCATGCTACTGGTCCGGATGAAATAAATATTGTAATGCTGTTACATACTTGCCCTATAATTCTACCCTACGTGACATATATAGTCAATCATTGTATCAATAATTCCACCTTCCCATCCCTATGGAAACAATCAAAAGTATTGCCGCTTCCCAAAAAACACAACCCAACTGAATATTCTGATCTGAGGCCAATTAGTATACTTTGTACTCTGTCAAAGGCTTTTGAGAAAATTTTAGACGAACAAATTCGCTTTCATATTTCACAATTTGATCTTCTACCTAAACATCAATCGGGCTTCCGTCCAAAATACAGTTGCACTACAGCGTTACTTAAAGTATTAGACGATATTTACTCGTATATAGATGCTAAAAAACTATGTATACTAATTCTCTTAGATTACTCAAAAGCTTTTGACAAAATAAATCACCCTTTACTGTTAGCTTTATGTCATTTTATGGGATTTAACACAGCCTCAGTAAATTTATTGAGCTCTTACCTAAATGGAAGATATCAAAGAGTTCAAATAGAAGAAAAAACATCCAATTTAATACATATTACACGTGGAGTACCGCAGGGATCTATTTTAGGTCCTCTCTTATTTTCAATTTATACCTCTCAATTTTTTAAATATCTGAAACACATGAATTCTCATTTCTACGCTGATGACACTCAACTCTACCTTGACTTTAAAGAATCCGAATCGAATGGAGCTATCACGAAAATCAACGAAGATCTGCAAACTATCTCGGAGATATCTAACAAATTTTGCTTAACAATTAACGCTACAAAATCCAAAGCTATGCTTTTCGGCCGTAAACAAGTTAAAAATAGAATTAAAAATATTCTAAGGGTAAGTATTAACAATGAATTTTTAACATTCTCAGTTTGTGAGAAAAATCTGGGCATATACATTGACGAAGATTTATCCTTTTCGCAACATATCTCTTCTATAATAAAAAAATCTTTCTGTAATCTAAAGTTAATTTATTCTAATCGGGAATTTCTCAACAGAAATACCAAAAAGTTGCTTTGCGAAAGCTTAGTGCTGTCTCAGTTTAATTACGGTGACATTGTATATGGGCCTGCACTTACACAATTTCATAAAAACCGTTTACAACGAACTCAAAATGCGTGTGTTAGATTTATTTGCGGGATTCGTCGTCGTACCCGTACATCTCAACATCTGGCTAGTTTGGGATGGCTTAATCTAAATAATAGGAGATTGTTACATGCCTATGTCCTGATCCATAAATTATTGTTATCAAAAAAACCTGATTATTTGTATGAAAAAATAAAAAGGAGATCTGAAGTCCATAATGTTAATGTAAGATTTAAAAATTTCCTAACACTTCCGAAACACACTACAACCTTATTCCGATCTTGCTTTTCGTATTTCACAGCCAAATTATTTAACCTTGCCCCTAAAATATTTAATATCACATCACTCTCAAGTTTTAGACAAGTAGTCAAAAACCTTTTATTTAACGGAGATATCACTTACAATTTTTAATTTATATTGTTAATTAAATTTAGTTTAACAATAATATTTCATGTTATTTTTATTTTTTACTCGTCACTATTGACTAATAACTATAATAACAACACAGATCTAGAATTTATAAAATTTGACCTTTTTTTTTATTATTTCTAAGTTTCCATATTAATTGTTTGTTTGCTTTCTTATTGAAAGCTAGAATTTCACTTTTTTTTCATAGAAAATCTGCATGCATTACTTAATTATTTATATTTTTCTGGGTTGCGTGGAAGAGCGCTGCTTATTTGCTGGCTCAATCTTTGAGCTCGCCAGTAAGTGCGAACGTCGCCTTTTGTCTTTCAGTATTTTTTTATGTATATTTATATAATTTTGTATAATAATTTGTATGTATTGAAAGCAATAAAGTCATTATTATTATTATTATTATTATTATTATTAAATATCGCCAAATATATTATTCTTCTAAAATATTTATTGGTATATGTGTACCTAGATTTGGCAACCTGGATATAAAAACAAGTACACTTAAAAATAAAATTATAAATCGAGCTAGCCCTACAGTAATCGCCATCTATGTACAATGTATTGAATACTTGCTTTGTTACAAAACCACTGGCTCAAGTGTCGTAGCCTTAATAGCTACATACTAACCAAATTATATAATATAACTCACATTTTAACTAAAAACTCGCATGTTTGATTATCTTTTGATGTTTTTAGGCAGTCCATTATACAATCTTATACCTTAGTTTTTTTTTGTAGTGCCATCCTTCTCTTAAATTCTATATTATAGGGTCGATTCGTGCATGTAAAGTATTCATGAATGTTTGATCTGTTATTGTTTCATACAGTGCTCAATAGATAACCATTCTAATACATTCCGTATTTTAGATACAGAGATTTGTTTACTAGAATTTAACAGTGCTGACACTTGCAGTGCGGTCAACTGCTCGTCACTCCGAGGATCCATAGTCATGTAATTAAAAAAGTTCGGACGTTTTTTGAACTGGCCTCGTACATATACTTACGATTTAATCAATGAAAAATTTTCAGATTATTGTAGCCCAAAGCGAGGAAGATTGGAAGAAAACTTTGGAAAAGCATACTACAATGCAGACAAGTATGCATTTACTTCAGCCACTTACCTTGGCAATTAATTATCATAAATGTCTGATAACTGACGATCCGCGTTTACCTCATAACAAAATTCAAGCAGAAATACCATCTATCGACATCGTAGTGTCAGATGCCAGATTGATGCTGGCTATATCACTGCTTACCAGCATTCAATTCCCTGATGCAAATGCCATTCAAGAGGATCTTCCTTTAGTAAGTATTTGCAGACTACTTACTGTTAGATCTGATTTTAATTAAAAGTAATTTTCACTAGTAACTAAACATAAGTATAAAATAAAAAATGATTTGTGCTATAATATTACTTTGTCAAATGGAGTAGTTCGCAAGTTCAGATCCTATATCAAACTTTATTGGTATAACTAGATCGGCAATCCGACTTGCTTTAGGGAACATTTAAAACAGACGCGTTAGTTGCGTTTTGAAAATTCCTACGAAGTGCTATCTGTTACAACTGTACTGTTTTATTTTCAAATTTATTCAACTATCTATTTTTTTTTTTAGAAAAAGACCTTCTCTAGTACGGCTAGTTTACACTCTCTGTTTAAAGATATACAAGTACCAAACGCTGTAACAGAACTGCCAACTCTGTCTCAACCAGAAGGCGAGAATTCACATGACCAATCTACTGAACATGTCGAGTTTCAAATTCTTCTAGCAACTTTTGTTATGTCTGGTGAGTATATTTATGTTTTCTGACGAATCAACTTAATAGAGATAAAATTCATCTTATCTCTCATAAAACTTTTTAAAATTGAAGCATGTCTGTTAGTGGTTACTGGCAAAAATCACCAGTATTTTCTTCATATGAATAATTTATTTATATTAAGAGCGTCTTAGAAATAAAACATAGGGTCCAACCTTTCATTAGAACACATACTTTTTTTGGGTGGATATTCATAAAACCTTAGCAAAAGCAGTGTGCTTTAATGTATTGAGTATTCAGGTGATCACAGCTCAAATTTATCATATGAAGACAGGTTTTAAGTTTCACTATTTTTTTTATTCATTTATAAACTTATCCTTATCGAGTAACTTACATATCAAGTAAATCACATATTGAGTATCTGTATCTGTAAGTAATTAAATCACATATCAAGTAAATTACATATTATCAACTAAATCCTGTATCAAGAAAATCACATATCAAATAAGTCACAAGTAAATCACAATTCACTTAAATCAACATTTTTATTTATTTATTAACTTATGCATGTTATAGTAAAATTACGTAAATTAATGATCATATATCAAGTAATCACATAGGTATCAAGTAAATCACATAGGTTTCAAGTAAATATCATATCAAGAGAATCGTATATCAAGCAAATCACTTATCAAATAAATCACAAATTAAGTAAATCATTTTAATTAAATCACATATTAAAATTAAACTATACAAAAACAAATTATACAATTAACTTTTTATATTGCAATCTTGTAATGGATTCTTGAACTGTTTATTATTTATAAAGAGGTTTAGATTCATGTTTAAAAATTTTTGGTTGATATTTTAGAGTTCTCTGTGACCATATTGAAGCAAGAAATAATTTCCGAAAGTGCTGTTGAATTGGCTAAGTTTACAATGAATACAATTACATGTGACATGAGCCAATTGACTTCCGTAATGAATGTAGAAGTTAAATTGGTCAATATGCAGCTCGAAGTGAACAGAGATACTGACAAAATCACAATAATCGACACACTTAAAACTGACAGCTGGAAAAATTCATTGTTTAATATCGTATATACCCAAGTAAGTAAAAAGTTATATTTAAACAAAATTTTATTTTATTTATCGTTTTTTAAATAAAAAAAATCAAATTAAATATGTTGTGTTACAAACCAAACTATGGAGATTGTTCATATTCTACCTAGAAAATACAAGCAGAATTAAAGATTAAAGAACATTTACAGCCGTATGCATAGTCGATTGCCAGCGACTCGCCAGAGATTCATTTCGGCGTATCGCCAGCGATTCGCTGGCGATCCGCCGGCGATTCGCTGGCGATCCGCCGGCGATTCGCTGGCGATCCGCCGGCGATTCGCTGGCGATCCGCCGGCGAAAGCCCAAGAAGGTGGCGACTCGCCGGAGATTGTCATTTCACGCAAGTTTTTATTTTCTTTTATAGGTATTATCACCGGTATCTCTCACATTTTATTCATGATTCATTTCTTAAAACTCAAAAAATAATGAACGAATATCAAATTTTTCCCTATAAAAGAACATGAAAGACCTGCGTGAAATGACATTCCGGTGACAATCTCCGGCGAGTCGCCAGCTTTTTGGGCTTTGACCGGCGGATCGCCAGCGAATCGCTGGCGATACGCCGAAATTAATCTCTGGCGAGTCGCTGGCGATCGACTATGCATACGGCTGTTAGATAAGCCAGAAAACTTTAAATTTCGTTTTCACATCATTCGATAATAATAATAAAAAAAAAAGAAATACATTTACTGGAAGAACTTGAAATCATTAGGCAAATTAATCCAAATAATTGTGTTAAGACATATCAACTTGAATTGTAAATTTAAACCTATTTAAATATTAATAAAAAAAAGTATTTACACCTTTTTATACCCAATTTTTTTCTTTCCCAATATTCACACTTTTTACTTTATTTAAAAAAAAATTTTAGGTCGATCCAAAATGCCCCGACATCCACTCTTTACACCACTCTTGTGAAAGTAGCTTAGATGTGAATTTCGGATCATTGGATTTGGTAGTTCACAAAGAAGCTATTTTAACGATACTGCAATTTTATTCAGATATTAATGATCATATACTGAATGCGACTCAAGACAAAGAGCAAGCCAAAGCTACAACTTCTAGACTGTACCGTACTATTTCGACTTCGTCGAGTGTTAACCTAATTGGTGGACAAATTTTACCAAAAAGTAAGTCATATGTTTATTTTCATTTTAACTAATGGATACTATATTAAGAAAAATATTTCGAGTTAATTTTTTTTTTTGGTTTCTTTTTATTCTGTAACTGTATTTAATAAATTTGTGTTTAATCAATATAATAATTTATTTTAAAAAGAAAATAATTCCAACTCAAATGTGATCAAGACATAAAATAAAATAAATAAATCATGATGCCATATGTCACACAAAATACGAGGGACCATTCCCTTTTGGAAAATAACTATTCTTTTGGCTAATACCGCAACAGGTAAAACAGCAGATATAGAAATTTTATTTCTACACTTCCTTTGATTTTTACCGGTTTCGCCCTTATTAGGGCTCTTCAGCAAGACATAGATATTTTTAATTCTAGTCCCTAGCAAAAGCGTTATTCAATTGCCTACATTATTGGAGGTTGCGGTATTAGTATGAGTAGTTGTTTTCCGAAGGGAAACGGTCGTTCGTATTTTGTGTGACATATGGCTTCGTTATGTATTTACTTTATTTTACATCATGGTCACATTTGAGTTCATTATTTTCCTTTTAAAAATTGTCCGCCTGGCTTTTGTTTCCACCTAGTTTTTAAACTGAGTACTACAAGCGATCTTTGATTTTACTTACTAAGTGCAGATGGTGTTACCATTTTCAGTTCGTGACATGTCAATGTAGGCGATTGGAATAATGATTTTACTAATTCCATTAGAAACTGGAATTGAGAATATCTATTTCTTGCTGAAGAGTCCTAATAAGGACGAAACCGGTCCAGGAATGACGTTATTCATAGTAAGCAAAATCAAAGCTAGAGTGTTGAAAATAAATTTCTAGCTCTGCTGTCTTTCCTTTGGATATAATTCAGTGCCTGTTGCGGTATTAGCCAAAGAATTAGTTGTTTTCCGTTGTGTGTCATTTGACTTCACAGTTTTTTAATTTTATCATTATGTAAACTAGTTTTACCGGTTTTTGAATTCATTTAAACCATTTTTTTTAGATTGTTTTACTCCTGTACGGATCAATTTCATAATCAAATTAAAGGAGGCTTCAATAATAAAAGTAATATTTAAATATTATATCGATTTTATAATACAAATGTATTAAAAAAGTAAACTTTAAAATTTAATCTAATTCTGAGAACTACGCTTATTTTATTACCGCTCTTTATTGTGTTTATACTAACTTATGAACTGGTATTTTTGAGAGTTTCCTTTTATCCACACCATCCCTGCTAGGGCAATTAAACTTGATTCCCTATGCCATTGTTCTTTTAATGTTTTATCACAAATAGTTTAAATAAAAGTATATAATTAATATATAATACTTAAACAATAACATTAAAAAATAAACTGTCACAAGAGAAGGAAGTGTAGCACCAGTATGGGGAACGTGGTGACACTTTTGGCTACGTGATTGCATCTCCTTCCCGTTTCTACCTCCATGGTACATGTATCAAAATCAATGACGGAATGGTTTATTTTTGTTTAGCAAATGAAAGTTACAAAAATTGAGATTATAGGTATCCATTAACATTTTATTTCTAGTATTTTCAAGATTGTATTCATTTAAACTTTAAATATAATATACTTACAGGCATCGCAACCTAATTTGTCTGAATAGGGGATGCGCGTTAATCTCGAATTTCAATTGCCAACGCCTACTGCAACTGTTAAATAGAGATGCAAACAATAGCCGTGTTGTCGGGGGCGATCAGTAGATGATAATATTTTCTTGAATTTGTCTTTGTTTGTGTAGCGTGCAGATAAAAATAGATTCAAGTTTTGAGATTACCACCATACCAGACTTAAATCCAATAGAAATGATCTGGGCCATAGTAAAAAATAATGTAGCTGCTATAAAGAATATTCATTTTAAATTAGCACATTTACAAATGTTAGTTGAAATTGAAGTTAAATCAGTAACCCAAGAAGATTGGAAAAAAAAATATGTGTACATTTAATAGCTGTCGAAGATAAATATTTAGATCGCGAAATTATAATGGATGACGTTGTAATTCCTACAATTATTATTAATGTTAATAAAGACAGCAGTGTTAATTTGTTTATATTTATTTTGTTTGATAGTAATTATAGCAACAAGGAATAGAGGTTAGTATGAATTCAGTATTTGTTGACCTATAACATATTTTTAAAAAATCCTCGTTGTCTTATTTTAATATTTATATGCTGATGACTTTCACCACTTCTACTTCACCCTCACATTTTGTTAAAATATTAAAGATATCAAGTGCAAATCGCCATTTTTTTCACCCAATAAATTTTTTTAACAGAATACATTTTAGCTCATAGATAAAAAATAAATTTTAACAAATTCTGTATTACTTAAAACCTATTTACATAATTGCGTTTGATCCATTGTGTAGGTACTCTGGTATTTCCTATAATACCAACAAATGATAACCACTGTTGATAAAACATTCTTAGAAACGAGGGAGGACTCGATTTGACCGTTAATAAGGATTAAAATTTTATGTAATTTTCTTAAAATTTTGTGATTCACCTGACCGTGGCCGTTTTAAAAATCCTAGAAAATTTATTTTAAGCGAAAGTAGTATACGCTACTGAGCTTTAATAGTAGCCATTAAGATCGTTTGAAGGTGTGTCAGCAGTGCGCAAACTTTACCCCACTACTAGGATGCGATGCCTGTACAAAACTTTTAACTACTTTTTTACGATCTGCAAACAGTAAAAAAATTAATAATGATGTCTCTTTCTCTTTTTATAAAAATTAAAGTGTCATTGGAATACAAATTACCTCATACTAATAAAGAGTATTACATCACACTAATACAGCATATTCCTGCTTCCTGTGTTTGGTGTGCTGTGAATGTACAAATATGCATTATACTTAGCAACAAAAACAAACCATAAAAACACACTACAGTCAAATAATAAATTTCCAAACATAACCTAACCGAAGCACAGTCTTGAAATAACTGCTCTGAACTTTTTTCTCACACCGCTAAAACCTTTTTGGACACTTATCTAATTATATAAATCCAATACTAAAATTTAAAATAGAGTAAAGGCAATTATTTTTAATAAATAGGTATGTACCCAACATTTCGTACTTCCAATAAAGAGGATTTTATCATAATTAGTTAATACAATTTACCATGCTTCCTCTAAACCTAACCTTTTTGTGGCTATTGTTGCCATAAAAACATACTACAGTCAAATAATAAATTTACAAATATAACCTAACCGAAGCACAGTCTTGAAATAACTGCTCTGAACTTTTTTCTCACACCGCTAAAACCTTTTTGGACACTTATCTAATTATATAAATCCAATACTAAAATTTAAAATAGAGTAAAGGCAATTATTTTTAATAAATAGGTATGTACCCAACATTTCGTACTTCCAATAAAGAGGATTTTATCATAATTAGTTAATACAATTTACCATGCTTCCTCTAAACCTAACCTTTTTGTGGCTATTGTTGCCATAAAAACATACTACAGTCAAATAATAAATTTACAAATATAACCTAACCGAAGCACAGTCTTGAAATAACTGCTCTGAACTTTTATCTCGCACAGCTAAAACCTTTTTGGAAACTTATCTAATTATATAAATCAAATACTAAAATTTAAACTAGAGTAACCCCAATTATTTGTAAAAAATAGGTATGTACCCCACATTTCGCACTTCCAATAAAGAGGATTTTATCACAATTAGTTAATACAATTTACAATGCTTCCTCTAAACCTAACCTTTTTGTGGCTATTGTTAAAATTAACAGATCAGCGATACCAATGTGGTAAAATTTTATTAAAGCACTTTTAAGTAAAAGTAGGTTTAAAAACATTATGAAATGATTTATTTTTAAACGAGACTTTTTAAGTCTAATTGACCTTTATAAAAGCTTCCTTTGGTTAAATTCGCCTATAGGATTCGATTATGAAATTAGCACTAACATTTCTCTATAACTTGTCCTTAATTATTATATCTACATATTATATTTTTTGTTTTTAGAAACCAAAAGCAAAAAGAAGCGTGTGAACGAAACTATTAAGTTTAAGCTTAGTGCCCATTTAGAAGAAGTTTGCGTCAAATTCTCCTCCGATGCCAAGGAAATAGCTAAGGCTTCCATATCTAAACTGGACACAATTCTCATCACCAAAGAAACTTATCTACAAATTAACGTGAAATTGGGCGACTTATCTGTGCGCGACTTAAATCCATTTTCTGTTCATAAACAGGTAATTCATTTAATTTTTGCTTTTCTTAAGGATCGAGAATCGTTTATCTATACAATCTTGAGATACTTTTTTTCAAAATCGTCCAAAAGAAAATATATAAAAATATTTTGAACTTTGTAACTTGCTGCTATGTCGCGCGATATAAACCTCCTTGCTGCGCCAACAAATAGCCAAATATATTATACAAAAATAATCTCGTATCCTGAGTTGATCTGGTGTAATGTTTGCACAGTGTAGAATTATTTTTTGCTTCAATCCACCTCTTTTAAAAGCGCGTGGATACATGGGCTCTTTCAGAAACCTCAACTGAAAAAAAATAATTCGTCAATAAACCTGGTTATCTTGGAGACTACTTGATCGAACCACGCCACTTGTAGAGATTAAATGGTCTGGGAACGTAGTATCGAGAAATTTTGTCACTGTCCAACCTTTTTGCTGAACCCAAATGTCTTCAAAATTAACAGGCAGTTGCCGAACTTCCGGTACAATCTGTTTAGGCGCAGAATAGATGAACAATGTCCTCTGTAGCCACACTTTATTATCAAAGTACAATAGAAATAAATGTAGTTTTCACAGTGTAGTTTCAACACATTAGACATTCCAAACATAATGGTTGACTGATAAGAGATTGACACAAACCCAAATTTTACCAATAAAATATATAGTTATATTAATTGTCATCCTTATGTAAATCAGACAATGAAAAGCGGGTTTCACTGGTAAATTTTTGTCTTTATCTAATACATGCAATATGTTTTGTCTCAATTAAGTTTACTCAAATAATATACAGAACCGTTTTAGAAGTTAGAATCAATGAGCCCTTGTGAGGCAATTTGGCCACACGCAATGCGACCCGCTTTGAGCAATCTATATAACTGTATATGTCATTGATTGATCGCTGTTGGAACAAACCTATTGTTTTCATTAAATTATTGTCACATTATTCAAACAGTTTGTAAAATAATTAAATGGAAAAATCAACCATGTTGTATTTGGAAGAAGTTAGTTTCAACTCATATGCAGATTCTATGAAATAGTTAAGGTTTCCATCGCTAAAGTTAACATAGAGGTTTCATAAAGAAAGAAACAAACAGTATACAGCATTAGGGAAGTTATTTAAGTGACATAAATTTACTGCTTTTCTTAAAAGAATTTATCGCAATTAAGTATCAAATTATGTGAGTTCAATATGGAATATTCATGGTTGTAATACCAATTTTGTATAAATATTATTTAGCCAAAAAGAGTCATATAACCTTTATATTTGAATATAATTTGAAATGTTTTCTAATATCGATTGGTCTTTCTAACTTTGCATTGTACTAAAATAAAATGTAAGCTTACCAAATGTGTAAAAATCTCGCAGTCAAAATTGTTATACTTGTAGACACGACCTCATGTCTTACCACATCAGTATTACGAAATAACTAGAAAAAGTGATAATTGACAATATACTATTTTTATATCTTTAGATTTTGTCGCGTTTAGAAGGAGAAGCTTTATCGGCCCAGGTAGTTATGAATGTAATAGATCAAGAAGATACCTCTGATTTGCCCAATATTGTTGTAAAAGTAGAGCTAGGACGCACAAGAATTCTATTCTTAAATTGGTTTATCACAAATGTATTGGTGAGTATACTTATGATATTATACTAGTGTTTCTTTCTTACTAAAATTTATTTATTAACTTTCTACTTAAAACCGCATTGACTCTAATAATTAGTAAATAATGCTGTACATATTTTGAATACCATATTACTTTTTAGACATACATGAACCAATTTCAAGTTGCACAGGAAGCAATAATGAATGCTTCTGCTGCAGCCGCTGAAGCTGCTAAGACTAATGTGAAGGATGCGTATGATAAAGCCCAAAGAGTCGCTTTGAGTATAAAATTGAATGCTCCTGTAATTTTGGTACCCATTAATTCGAGAAGTTATGACGTTGTTTTCCTAGATTTAGGTATATACAGCTGCATTTAAAAAAATGCTATAACTTTAATTTTTTTTTTCATTTTTAGGAGTTATGACATTAAAGAATTCATTTTTAAATTTGGATATTAAAAATGCCGACGGTTTCCCAGCTGTTATTGATGATTTGGAGATCGCTTTAAAAGAATTGAAAATATCTCGAGGTACTGTAGATGATGAGTATGCTATGGTTGATGAACACCTTATTTTGGAACCATCGAATCTTGATTTATTCGTAAAGAGAAACCTATCTACCAGTTGGTATACTGCTATTCCAGATATCGATGTATCTGGTAAAATTTCAAAAATACAGGTAATATTTAACTCTCTAAAGAAGGAATTATTTTTTTTATATTTACACACATCTGTATATCTATTGTCGCTTATACGTGACTCCTATTTTAAAACAATTTGTATGTTTTGCGGTGTTGCCAGGCGCAATTAACAACACTACTATGATTTACGCGTGTACGCTTGCTCATTGTAAAGTACGTAGTCGGCTGCCATGCGGGGTTGCCACCTGTATCAGTTTTTACATACGTCTTTCCCTATATCAAATACACGTATACATTTTACTTTTTTCTTAAAAAGTAGGTAAAAACAATACAATAAACAACCGGAGTTGCTTTGTTGAAAATTGTAAAAAAAAACTAGCAAAAAAAACTAGCAAAAAAAACAGTGAAAATTATAAAAATGTGGAAATTAAATCAAAGAAATAAATGGATAGGTGTACAATAAGAAGAAAAATTACCTTTATTTTTGTAATAATAACAGTAATACTGGAAATAGTAGATATCAAAAACTTGAAAGGTTTTAAATAAACAATAAATTATCATTTTACGATGTTCTTCAACAATTCTTTAATCTTAAATGTTCAACAAGAACTATATTTCTGCCTTTGATTATTGTATGTGGCTGGAATGCAATTTTGTGACTTACTGATAGGAAACCAGTTTTATTTCTGTTTTTTTTTTTTCGAACAAAAATAGAAATATAAATAACAATCCTTCTCTTTATACATTTTTAACTTCACGCTATTATTTAATGTTATTTTTTTATTTTGACAGGATAGGTTAATTCTTCAAAGACAACTTATTAGACTTAGGCAACTTCTCATACATTTTCCTGCCTATAGTTTATTATTGATTTTACTTAGTTTTTTTTTTTTAGTTTAAGCGATAAAAATATATAATAATTAATGTTTCACTTGTTTTACAAATCCATATACTTTTATTAAAACTAACATATATACTTTTTAATTACGAATTCTATTAAAAATTGTATTGTCAGTATATGCAAAAATAGTCCATTAGTACATAAATGAATTTGCGCTGGTGTCACGCACGGAGCGAATAGGGGTATCCTGAGTATTTTTTTACCTTTGTCGCGTATAGGCGACGTCCGTACTTAAAGGGTTAAATTAATAAATTTAAGATATATAAAAAAATAGGGAGGGTGGTAATTTTTATAAACAAAAATAAAATATTTCTCAACAAATCTACGTCAAATACATTTACATGACTAGATATAGAATTAGTTACAGAAATATTCAACTGTAAATTCTGACCTATTATGTGTATCAGGTTTGCAGCTGACAAAATGATAAAATAGACCAGGACATAAAATGCAATTTTTCAGCGATTGTCGGAATTTTACCAAATAAAGCAAACATTGCAAGTGTAAAAATGTTAATTTTTTAATAATGTCTGCAGATAAATAAGCGAAAAATTTTGAAACAAAATTAAAAAAATTAATACAGCACTAAACAGTATAATTTTAAATTAAAAAAGTAATGTATTATTAATAACTACAATATACATTTTCATAATGAAATCCAGCAGCTGCCATATTTTTTTGCGAATTGTTAAGGGCTTTATTGAATTTCGAATAATAATAATACTCTTCCTATAATTCACCCCCTTATGAGTGAATGTTACCCCCAGAAGCCGACTGAGCTTGTGCAGGAATGGGATGGCTATTATTATTTACCAGACCAGAGTTTTATTGTTTTTCAGATATTATCCATAATCATTATGGTTTTTTAATTGAAACTATAATTTTGAATAATTTTTATAGCGCGTAACTATGCGATTCTGTGTGAATTACATAGTATGTACATAACTAGTAATATTGAGACTGTTAGGGATAGATATAAAAAACTCAAAATAATTTATGATAATAATGTCAAGTCAGCAAAACTTTCCTGTAACAATAAAAAGATAATTTAAGCAAAAAATATAACAAAAGAATGTTTGAGAATTGTAAACGAGGCAAAAGGAAAATCAGTAGAAAAACTACCCATCGAAAAGGCAACAAAATGTATTGTGTAAAAAATATATGTAAGGCGTTAAATAATCAGTTTACTAACGTAGACTACCTTGAACTACCTTCTTCCAAATTATAATGAAGCAAAACATCAAGGTTTTTCTATCACATTTTTAACACCAACTACCCCAACAGAGATAACAAAAATTATTCAGAAAACAACTGCCGATATAGATGAAATAGATGGAACAATATTGTGTGTTATTGCTGAAAATATTAGTGTACCTATTTTCTACCTCATAAACGAGTCTTTTTTATGTAGTGAGTATCCTAGCAGATTAAAAAAATCAAAATTCATTCCTATATATAAAAATAAAGGGTCCATAAATGACATGACAAGCTATAGGAACATCTGCATTTAAAATCAACTGGTTAAAGTATTCGAAATGGTCTATAATAACAGATTAATTAAATATCTAGGACATAACAGACTTTTCAAGTAAATTTTAACACGGTTTTCGCAGAAATAAGTCAACATCTACTGCTATAAGAGAGTTCTATTTACAAATCTGTTAATTCAATTGACCATCGTCTGCTAGATAAACTGTACTGAAGGTATAAGGGGCTTGCCTATTAAGTGGATACAGTCGTGTTTAAATAACCATGAACAAGTTGAAACTATTGGAAGTAGCAAATCAAATAGCCGAAATGGGACAATGGGAGTACCGCAGGGCTCATATTCGGCCTTGTTCTATTCCTATTTTTTTATTAATTACTTAGCTCTATCTTGCAAAACTCAAAATACCAATATTATATATTATGCAGATGACACAACTTTTGGAACATCAACAAAACATGCATCTGAACTTCAATACATTGCTAATACTGCTGTAACACGGCTTAACTGTTAATATATAAAAAATCTGAAAACATGACCTTTTTGTCAAAAAATATAACGAAGGACATCAACTGAATTGTCAATCATTAGTAAAAACAAATTCTAGCAAATTCTTAGGTCTATAAGCAAGTTGACGTGGGAGTACAATATAGATCACGTATCAAATAAACTAAGCAATGTATGTTTTCTAATGCGGCAATAAAGAAACACTGTAAATCCCGATATTTTAAAAATTTACATATTTTGGTCTGGTTGAATCAATTATTTCTGCTTTTTTGAGGCTGCTCAGCTCATCTAGAGCGGGCATTTTGAAAACAAAACAAAGTTATGAGATGCATGGCTGGGGTTTCAAGAACAACTTTTTCATGATCATAAAATCTTAAAACTTCCATCTTTGCATATATACTTAATACTTAATATAAAAACACAGGAATCCCAACTATTAGATCATAGACAGTCACACAATTATAACACAAACAATCACAACAATCTACAACAGTCTTTCTCTAGGCTTTCAGAATTCCGACATCTATAGAGGTATTGAATGTTTCAATAAATATATTCATATTGATGGCAACGAAAAAATCTTGAATAAATTCAAATATAAGTTTTATGCATATCTTTCGTCTAATAAAGACATATCATACATATGTAGAATTTATGTATACTATTTTAAATTTTAATTTGTATTTCATTTTTAGCTTATTTTTAACATTTTTTTAAATTTGTATGTGTTGACAAAGCTAATAGGTCTTATATGTTTACAAATGTTTTAAACCTTTAAAGATTGTAAATAAGTATGTCTAGAGTCGAATAAATATTATTATTGTAAACTATTTAAAACTAAATAAAGCTATTTAAATGTAGTTTCAAACCATTATTTTTTTTTAGTTTGTTATAAGCAATGTTGACTATCAAGGAATTATGCATATTTTGAATGGGAATTTAGCTGAAGGTGTAGTAGAAACTGTATTAACACAACGTGAAACATCAAAGGAAGAATCAAAATCTGAAACAATACTACCTTTATCTATAGCGTCAGGTGTGGAAAAAGCTGAAGTAGCTAAGGAGATATGGATAGGAACGAAAAAGGAAAAACCGCACACATCCTTAAAGTTCACTTTCTCTATGGACCAATTTATTGTAAAAATGTTTTATCAAGCCGGAGCTACTGTAAGTTTGAAAAAATGTATATTTTTTTATAAAATTAGATCAAATTTTAAAGAAACAGTTAAGTTTTTTTATTATTAACTCAGTATGTTAAGTACAAAACATTTTTCTTTTACAAACATATAAAGTATCATCGTAGAAATCGAATTTCACCTAATCTAAATTTTATACAATACTTTTTGGAAGTGGAAATAAATAACATGAATTGAATAAAATAGAAACATCAAATATCTCAGAAACTACTAATTTGATTTTAGTAAATATAATCAAATAAAAAATCAAGAATAGCTCACAAGATTTTACTGAATCGTTGGAAATTAAAAATAGAATATCAAATTCATATTTTTACTTGTTACTTAAAGTCAGCTTCTATTTTTTTAAGATAAAAAGTGGCGTGAAACGTACTGAACAAACACAATTTGCTAGATTCGCATTGGAGGGATTTTCATTAAAGGGAAGAATGTTATCAGACAACTCAATGGTAACTTCAGTATTGTTGTTAAAGTGTATATTGGATGATATCCGTCCAGATCGTCAAAATAAGTTGAATAGAATTATAGATAAATCTCCAGAAAAATTTGAAAATGCTTCAGATGCTAAGAGTATGATTGACATTACTTATCAACAGAAAAACGATGACAGTTTTGGTAAGTATCATTTCAGCAATGAGAAATTATCTCAGAAAAGATTATTCAAACTTATAGAGCGTACTTATTTGAATAATTGAGCCGAAGGTACAGTATATCGTTGTCACAATGTGGTAATATGATGTAAAAGTAAATTGTTGTGTATACATGGGATGTTAAATAACGCAGCCAAAATAATACTGTAGAAATGTACACAGATAAAAAGATACCCCTATTTTACATTAACGAACTAGAATTCTGGGCATCAGTTGGGGCCCTTATAACACTATTTTATTATTTCTCGAAAAATAATGATTCGATTTGTATCAAATTTTGTCATCGGACGTGGGTCTAAATTGTCTCAACATATTCAGTTTTTCATTTGCTGAAAGAGGGCACCACTTATACATATGCTATAATTGTTTTTTACCCGGATTCGTTTTTCAGTGGAAGAATATCGCATTTTTTTAACATTCTCAATCAAAATTATTCATTTTTTTCGCTACATGGCACCGTTTTGTGAGAAAAAGAAAGCGATTTAACATCACGTTGCACTTTTTCTTCTAAAAAAAATACTTAAACATAGGGGTATCCCTAGCGCTTCTCACAGAGACCAGGCGAGGCATTTGCATGAAGCTTGCAGAGTATATTCTATGTATGCCCTAACATTTTTCAAAAAAAAGAGTAAAATATCGCTAGCTGCGAACATGCTAACTGAATGTTTAGTGTATTTTCTTTAGATGAGGCAACATACTTTCAGTCATTTATCATCTTAGACACCAGAGAAAAGACAGTCTTCCTAATATCGTCCCAAGAGCGCCCTCTGTAATTCATTCAAACCTTAATCCCTGCTTCAAGGACTACCTTAGAGGTCAGAGACATGTTTCCCATAACTCTTCAGTAGGAAGAGTGATTGATTGACAAGCCATTAATGTACCTTATTATTTTGTTGGAGTTATATCAGCACTAATTATTAATACAAGACCCTCTTGCCTTTAGAACGTCTAAAAATGGTTATGTCTTGCACCGCTTTTGAAATAAACTCTTGCTATTACAGCCTAAAATGTCTTATTTTTGTTTTAATTTAACCTATATTTTGTTTCTTTAATATTTCTCATTCTGTTGTATATATTTCACCAACAAAATATTTTTATGATTCTAATTATTTATGTATTTTTAGTTGACGTGCGAATTTTCAGTTTTACCATCGTCGTTTCTATGGACTACCTCATGAAATTCTCAGATTATTTTACGATACCTGAACAGGAAACATTAGCTCATTTAATGAAAGCCTCAGAAACAAGTGCTTCAACAAAACCAGTGAAGCAATTAAAAGAAAACAAACCACCTGCAAAAGGTCAAATGACATTAAATTTGAAATTAGAAAAACCTGACATCATATTGGTGGAACATATGGAACATATTGATGCAAAAGCTATAATATTTACTGTAAGTAATTTTTCGAGACATATGATAAGCATTTTCCGCTGATACAATATCCATGATCAAAAATTAACCTATACGGATTAATGTTAGCAATGTAACATTAAAATTCTATGTTCGAGCGTTTAAAGCTTTATTCAAAATGTTAACAATATATTTTATTTATTTAGGCTGAAGTTCTAGTCAAGTTTCGTCAAGCAGGCACACATCAAGTAATTAACGGTATAATTAAAGAGTGTGAACTTTATAGAAGTGTTTTTGATCCTAAGATTCGACTTGATAATAAAGTCACTATCCTTCATCCTTTGGATGTCAGTTTAGCAGGTTCTACACCTCCGGATCAAGGACTACATTTAGAGGTAAGCAAAACTATACATTTATACACCCTTGTGATATTGTGAATATATTTTTTGATTTTCATGTCGAAATAACAGTATTATTTCCTTGTAGCTCTTGGTTACAAATGTATATATTAATGTTTCGCCGACTTCCATAGAACTGCTTAATCAAGTTATGGTTTCATTGAGTTCTGAATCAAGCACCAAATTAGAAACTGAAAAGGTGTTTGACTACGAAGATTTGTGGAATCCCAAGCCTTTTAAAGGAGAGGATTATTGGTTCTTAAATACAGGTAAGATAATTAACTATAGTCTAAGCTTAGAGAAAAGAGGAGTGTAGAAATTATTTGAATATAACGTCACAACCCATAGGAGTAGATATTCTGCCATAAAATTCCATAATAGAGATTCTATAATATAAAATAAATTCGCGGTTTTGTAGAAATTCAATTTATATTTTATAACATTTTGTTTCTAGTTTTATATGTGACAACGTTGTAAAATAATTGACAGTCATGTAAGGGTTTAACATCAATAACCTGAAATAAATTATATACAGTCATTAACTTTTACATTAATAAATTTGTACTTATCAAAAAAAGAATTAAGCCATCAATAATCTCTAAAAATAACTGATTGCTTTATTTGTGTTAAATGAAAAATAAAATAAAGGTGTTGATAAAATATAAACAAAATATAATATAAATATCGTCAATCCCGGTTCCCCAAATGAACGCCAGTGACATTTCTGACAGGTCTGACAGTTTAGTTTAGTTCCTTTTACGTCAAATCAGGCCCTTTCGATAGGTTTTTGATGGTTATCAGATCACGTGGGTTTCGGATATTGTTGAAGACCTGGTATATGATTAGTTGTACATTTTGTTTACAACTGGCTTGTTAAAAGATTCTCTTTTCTCAGAAATTATATTCACACAAGCAACATTTTTTAAACTCATGGTGTTGTGTGGTGTTCAACAGAGGAAGGATGAATAAAATAAAATTTAAAAATTCAATTCACTACAGTGATGATAAATGTTAGATTACACTTGGCTTAAAGATGTGTACTTGGGATTTCCTTTTAGTATTACTATATAGTTCGTGACCGCATTATATAATAGATCGGCAACCCACCTTGCTTCTGAGGGCAAGTATATCTACTTAACGGTTAGGTCACATGAAAAGCGGTAGTGGCACCCTGAAAACGTTTACTCCTAACATATGTACCACGGTTTTACTGATAAAATTAAATATTTAGTTTCAAATAAATATTTAGTTACCATTTTGCAAGTAATATATTGTTCAGCACAGTTATTAGTCGTTCCATTCTGTTTTTGCATTACTAAATTATACTGCGATAGAAAATATGTTATTTTTTCAATGTTAACATTTGTTTATTTCCTATTTTTAGAAGTCGCGGCTGATGTCTTAGATTTAATAACGGAACCCAAAGAACTTCATAGGACGTTAGAAGAAATATGTATTGTTTCTATACCGTTGATTTCAATAGTCGTTGAAGCAGGCGGAGGCAACAAATCTTTGCCATTGATAGTGCTTGAAACAGGTTTCAAGGGCACTGTTAGAAATTGGTCTAATGCCGTAAGTTTTTCCAAAATTTTTATATTGTTCAGTGTTATATAAGAATGTTAAATCATCTCTAACATAAAGCATTCTTCAATTTTTGCTATGGTCCCGAAATTAGAGATTCAGGGGTTCACTCGTGAAAAGCAAATTATAGGGAGAGTATTATTTTTCACTAATCTGAAGAATTTGAAAATTTGCTAGAAAAATTAGGAAATAAGTGATCTAGATAATTTTATGTCAGTTTATATCACTATCCGAATCTGAAGTCAACTTTTTAACAGCTAGACAAAGAATTTTGTTTTTTTTTAAATCGCATCTTTCAATTTCAGTTGACATTGGAAGCTAGTTTAACTATCCAGATGGGTTACTACAATAATAAACTGGCAATGTGGGAACCCTTAATCGAACCTGAAGTAATAAACGAACATACACATGCTCCGTGGGAATTGAAAGTTGAGGTAATTTTTTTTAATATACACCACCTCCACCGTGTTTAAAATTAGTTGTACTTGATTTTACTTACAGTTTTTTTAATAATTACAATTAGTTGAATATTATTTATTTACTTAATGTACAGAGTAGCTTCAATATTTTTGTCTATTTTTTTTTATTTCATTCATGTTCATAACAACACATACCACTATGTTTCAAAATTAACAATTTTTCCACAATTATTCTTCTAATATACATGTGCTATTACATTAAACTGTTTACTGCTTACACCAACACTGACAACTAAAAACAATAAAAATTGGAAAAAAAAACATCAATACCATACCCATTTAAAGTTTTAAGGTTACAGATCTCTCACTGGGGTAATAGTTCTACATACTTTATATATCTTTAGGTTGCTATTAACGAAACTGTAGAGGATACTACATCCAGTCTCCCTTCTACAGAGCTCGATTTAGAAAGTGAACAACAAATAGAGTTACCAAAACCTGTCATGAGCATAGGCCTTTACTCAGAAAAAATACTCGAATTAACAGTCTCGAAAACTCTACTGGAAATGATCGACTATCTACAGAAAACATTCTCTGCTGCTTTGGTTAAAGACAGCGTTAAAGACACTAAAGGCCTAGATGCTCCTTTCCGAGTTATCAACGAGCTGGGGGAAGATATTACATTGGATTTAGAAGACAGTTCTTTCGCTCATATTGGACTTTTAGAGAGTGATGCAAATAAAGCTGATGTTCCGTTACAGTTGAAAGATATATACAAAGGCGATGAAAAGTTACAGATGTCTAAAGAGATGCTAGGTAATTCTCATGGAAAAGCTTATTCTCTTAAAATCCAGGTCAGTATAAATATTTTTTGAATGGAGATAAAAATAACTCGAAAACTACTGCTGTATTCTTTGTCTTAAATCATATTTAATGCCCGTTTCAGATAAATAGTTTAGATTCATCTCTATCTTTACCAGTTGTTAGAGCTGACAAACGATACTTCCCATTAAATTACCGAAGCAATATACATGAAAATTGGGGTATTATATCCGACATCACAGTGGTAGAAGCAATCACCCATATAGTATTAAGGAGTATTATACAGGTAAATTACACTATATAATCTATGCCAATATTTAGTACACCTTATTTGGTGCCTTTTGAGTTAACGTCAAATAAATGTAATACAAATCTTAACCAAACAACTATCTGTCATTTGGCAGCTAATTTCAGCTATTCTGCATATATTTTTAGGTTCACAACCACTTTGACGTCCCAATAGACGTATATTTTATGACTTCAAAAGGAAATCAATTACAACTAATAAGTCAGATACAACCAAAAGCAAAATTAAATGTTCCTTTAAAAGCAGTCTACACTCCTACCACAGAATTATTCTTTGGCGTTCCAGATTTTTCTGTGACGGCAAAGCCTTTTGCTTGGAAGGATCTTCAAACCAACTTGAAAGTAACCAAAGTACTCAAGTGTTTCCCTAAAAGTATGGAGCGAGAGAATGTACCCTTTATAATAGAAGCGGTGGGTGAAATGGAACAAGTTTATTTTGAACAATCTAATCGACACACGATGACCAGTACTTGTTATAACATTCATTTAAAACCTTGTGTCACCTTCATGAATTCTTTGCCTATAACAGTCGTGTGTTGTGTTGATGAGTCACCTGACGAATATACGGTTGAAGCTGGAGAGACTTTGCAACTGCCCACTGTGGAACCTGGTTCAAATTTCTTAGTTATAAGGGTATGTATATAACAATTTCTATTTTTCAGTCAACTTTACCTTGAAGTTCATAGGTTCACCAACCTACCAAACGACCAACTTAAATACTAAATAGATGTTCTATGTCATTATGATGAATAATTTTGCTTTGATTATATTTGTTCATATAGACGGTGTTATGTATGGGGTATTAATATACTATACTGCAACCTAAAAGATCTATTGAACCCCCTTCTGTCGCTAATGCAGCAAGGAAATAGTCTCGGTGTCTATAACGACCCTTCCAATCCAATCTTCTCAAGGAAATCTAGGATTTGAAGTGGCTCTAAGATAAGTAGGTCGCCCTCCTCTATTTGGTATTCACTTAAGTATAGTGCCCTTGGATTCTGGAATGCTACACATTCACTCAAAATGAGAATGAAGGTTTCGTCCTCTTCCTCACAGAATCTACACTTACTGTTTTTTACTAATCTCAGTTTACCAAGGTGTCCTTTAAGTTGGCAATACCCAGTAAGGATTGTTCCTGTTATCGGTTCTTCTACTGCCTAATTCTTATTTAATCTCTCCTAATATTGTGTTACTGCTGATACCGCAGGTGCGTCAAAGGGTGTTTGAGCTGAAAATATACAAATGGCACCACAGCTTCTCTGGCACCAAAAAATGGCGGCAGATCGACATTTGGTCGCAGTCATTTGCATCTGTCTGAAATACGAATTACACGTCCCCACTCTTTTCTATTCAAAGATTTTACTAATCACAGTTATTCTGAATTGACGTTCACGTTTCTATTTTTAAGAATTTGCAGGCAGGTAACTATTAAAAGTTTCTTTGTGAATCCTGATGTTATTAAAACTGTTTGAGGTGTACTTTTTAGTGTAATTTATAAACCTAATAAATGACTTTGTTTGTTCGGCTGATACAGCCTTTCTTTCATTTCCTGATATTGCATTTATAATTTTTAGATTCCGCAATATTTGGAAAAAGATTGGTCATGCAGGAACGAGATAATCGGCGAACCTGAAGAATTCAGTGTTTGGACTTTTAACAGTTACGATAGTGCTTCTACAATTGCTTTAGATTTAGGAATGCATGTGGAAAAACATAAGGGAGCTTTAGTTTTGACGTTGTATTGTCCATTTTGGATGATTAATAAGACTGGACTTATGATTTCATACAGAGTGAGTATATTGTACAATTAATTTATAACTTTTTAAAATAGTAACGTCTTTAAATTGTTTTTCATTATAATAGAAGTTTTATTTAATTAAAAGTATTCATAGCAGATATTTAGAAGTATTTATGTGCAGATTACTATTTTCTTCTTATCTGTTTGTGTCATTCTATTTCTATTCTAATAAGAATACTTTATAACATATTAGTAGGTTTTGTGGAAATAACCAAAATGTATAAAGTGGAAAATCACAATAACACAAAATATGATTTACTTGTTGGCCTAATCACGCAGAAAACATTAAATTGCTGAAAAACCGAGTTCTAAGCTATTTAAAAAATATGAAAAAAAAGTCTGATACGACGTGGAAAATTTTTTGTATTGCAATAACCTTTGTATTCAAAAATTACTGACTTTTCCATAAGATTGAAATCGCTACAATGAGAAGTAGCTACTTTTTTTTCTTATTCTGGTAAAGTCTGATTTGAATATTTTTTCACAGAAAAATATAGTATCTGTACTGTTCCGGTATATAACAAAAATACTGATTATCTTTTGATAAACAGAAAATGTTAAAACTGATTTGAATAATAAAATAAAATGGAACCTTTGCTTTGGTGCAATTGATAATAAAACCAAATAATAATTTTAGAATGTCATTTGTGTTTTTCGGATCAAAATTACAGTAGTAAATAAATCATGACATGACGCTTTTTAAAAACTTGAGTTAAAAGAAGAGGAAATCGTGGTTTACAACAAGGGACCAACTCCAACCCTGGACAAAATTTTAGTAGTATAAATAGATGCTTTCGAGGGCTAGTAAAGCTGTGGCTTCTAACTAAACAATAGTCGCTAGGTCGTGTCCAAAGCGTTAGTCGGGTCCTAAACATTTTCACACTAGACGGACGTACCACCATATGTAATTTTTCATGTATATGCCGTTCAGTTTATTTTAAAATTCAAGGCAATTTGTCACATTTTAAGTATAATTTATAACCACCGTAACGTAACTTAACGCTGTAGAAACTTAACCTAACATATAAAAATAAAGTATATTTATAAATGTCCGTAACGTAAGAGTTGAGCATGCGTGTTGATTTCAGATATTATTAAATTACTGACAACCTTATGAAATAAACAAGCGTAAACTATGTACCTAACCTCTAAATAAAACTTATAAATTATAATTTTGCTATATAGAAAGAATATTTTAACTACTTTAAAAGCAATAATATAAAAATATAATAAAACAATAGTTTACCGAAGATGTTGATTGTTTTTGAGCAATAATTAGAATTTAATCTTTCCTAGCAAACTAGTTTTGTGTCTTATTTCACTTTTAGACTTGATGTTATTAGGCATATGCATCAACTCATATCTCATAAATAGTTTATTCCCAATAACATAAACACAAATCATTCATGATAATGTATGTCCATCAAAAAGGAGAATGATAGTTTACAAATGGTATTTGTCTAATCATTAATAAAAAAAAATAAAAAGAATAATTGACAGTTATCACATGCTGAACTCAGAATTATCTCATTGGCTAACCGTAAGGTCTTAAGGTTAAGTTGTTAAGTTAAAAGTTGGCGAACTATCTACGGTACGTTAAGTTCTTAAGTTACGTTACGAACATTATAAATAAGTATACGTAAATTCAATATTTCAACTTCTTACGTTAAGTTCTTAAGTTACGTTACGGCGGTTATAAATTAAGCTTTATTGTGTATAATATTAATATTTTTTTCGAGGTTATGTATTGTGGTGATAATCAGTCCATTATTGACATAAATGTCATTAGATTGGCTGTAAAAATCATCTTACTAATAATACTGGCCTGCATGAAAATCGGCCCTGACACCGTTCCTGCTGATTCTTATGTAAAATTACCTCCTGAATCCGTTTTCGGTGGTATTTTAATGACAAAATAAAATTAGTATCTGTAAATAATGTTGTCAGTAAAATTGTAAAGTGCTCATATAAGCAGGTAGAGTTAGATTGGGGCCAGAACACTGCGACCTCTTGGGTCTATTGTATTCCCCTACTTTTCCTGTATTCAGATACTATCTTTGGAATAGTCCTGTGCTTTTGGTTAGTTTTACTAAGTTACCTATCAAGTGTTACTGTGGAGTTCTTTTCGGTTCTAGGCCGAAAAGGATGAAACACCGCCTAGTAAAAGCTTCACATGGTATGAGGTTTCTTCCTCTTCCATGCAGAGTCTACATGTGATGGGATAATTGTGTAATCCCGTTAGTAATCCTACAACGGTGGATATCTGAGGTATTGCGAGCTGTAGTACCCCAGCAACCATGCGTGCGTTTGGTCCTCTTAACATGAGATTACTAATTCTGTGCCCTCTTAGCTGTTGCCAGTGAAATTGGTGTTTTGTGGTTATTCACCTGTTCACTGCCTGTCTAGCAGAGGTTTTGCTTGTCCCAAAAATAGGTTCGGGTCCTGTGAATGGTAGTTCTGATCCCTCTCTGGCGGGTTCATCGGCCTTTTCATTTCCTTGGATACCTTTATGTCCTGGTACACACGCTAGTTTTACCTTATTGTAGGTTGCCAGATCATTTAGTATTCCAAGGCAGTTCCAGACCAGCTTTTACTTGATTCTTTTTGAACCAAGGACCTCTAAGGTTGCTTGGCTATCTTAGAGAATTAAGATGATTTGTTTGCTGTACTGCCTTCTTAAATTCTCTCGTACATACAATTCGATTGCATGTATTTAATCCTGAAATACAGTGGTATGTTTTTCCAGTGAGACGTATTTAACTCCATGTACGCCACAGCCTGTTCCCTTGTTAGTTTTAGATCCATCCATATACCATACGAGACCGCTAAGCAAGTATTTCTTTACCTCCTTATTTACCTTGTTCCAGTTGCAGTTGACCTGGAAGAGACTGTTGAAGGTTAAGCAGGGTGTCATATGATCTGATCCCATGTTTAATATAGGGTCATTTACCTCATGTGTTATTCTGGTATATTTTATGTCCCAGTGGGTTCCAGTTGTTGGACATGCGCAGCCTGTATGCACTCATTCTGCTCCCCCCCCCCTTATGACTAGGGATGGGAGGTTCAGGATGATTTCTATAGAGGCTGTCGGTGTACTTCTCAGTGCTCCTGTAATACAAAGGCATGCCAACCTCTGTACTGCTGAGAGGGTATTGAGGGCTGTTTTCTGGTTAACTTTTGGCCAACAAACAACCGCTCCATAAGTTATCATGGGTCTTATTAAGGCCGAATATAGCCCGAAGAAGGTATTAATCTTTGCTAAAGCGATGTCTCATATGGTGTACTCATAGTGTTTGGAAATTGTGTTCTTTATTTTTTTTTTATTCTACGTCATCGGCTTCAATTGCTATGGTTATTAATCTCGTGTTCTGTGTAGGCTTTGTTACTGTTTCCCAGTGCCACTTTAGGAAAAGCACTGTTAATTAGAATCCAACAGTAAATGGTCGAGAGGTGAATCCTACCTATACATTAGAATTAATTTTTAATTTATTAAATTAAATAAAAATTCCTGCCACCGTCGGCATTCGAACCCGGGCCCCTTGAATCTAAAAGTCCATACTCTAACCACTGAGCCACCCATTTAAAATAATCGATTATTTTCAATTAATAGAACATTTTCGATTAATCGATAATATTTGAATGATAAATGATTATTTTCATTCAATCGATTGTTTTAAACCAATCGACAGATCGATTATTTTTCACTAATGAATTATTATCGATATAATTTAATCAATGTTTAATCGTACATTGGATTGTTATTAACTTATCAATGAGTAAATATCTAATCAATTACATATTAATAAGTTAATTTATAATATGAAATTATGGAGCATATTTATTCGAAAAATTAGTTTTGCTTATACAAGTGTGAGCTGAAAGCTACATTTTGTACTTTTTGTGCATCATGTTAATTTTATTTAACCCAAGATTTTGCATCATCAAAAAGTTTTTTTATGTCAAAACTTTAATAAAGAACAAATTTTTTATGCACTTTACGAACTAAAAGAGTAATAACTTTCGCCTTTGAATAAAAAGTGTTATTTCAGTCTGTTAATCTGTTAGTTTTTAATAAACCCCGCTAAAAAGAACTTTTAATAAAATTTAACTCAACGGAAAGCGACGTGTCAACGTTATATTTGTTTTGATTTATGTTTCTGAACTAGTAGAACTTTAATAGTGTTACTCTTACTCTGCAGAATTAGTAATGTTTATCTTTCATTTAAAAAGGTAAACCGAACGGCATATAATGAGATGTTACAATATTTCGAATTCCCAACATTATGAGGTCAATTCTGCAATTAAATTAGCCAATACTATTTGTTTTTTGGCGATATCAAGGCTTCATTATTGGAAAAAACATAAAATATCGATAATTTGATGAGGAACATATTGCTATCACGTACCTAAAAATTTACAAATACCAAGTAGTTAGTTCATTTATATAGAAATTTCCTAAATACGATCATTTATATAGAAGTTTTTTAAATACGGGTAAATTTACTATTTTTCTAAAATACGTTTCCAAATCTTTCCTCTAAAAAACAATTGTTGACTTTCATGTAATTATTTTTCAGAAATCTAAAAAAGGAGAAAAGGTCGATACAACTAGTAGTCCACAGGTAGCCAGTTTTGAAAACATGCTATTTTTGCTTATTTTAATTTGAAGCAAATTTGTTTCCAATTATTTGAACCATCTTTGTTAATTTTTGCTGCGCGTTTATTTGCTGTATTTAATAATAGTAATGGAAAGAGCAAAATCAGTTTCAGAATTTTTAAAGAAATTAGTTGAAAGGTTGATTACAACTGGCATCGATTATTTTAAAACTACAACTAACTAAAATTATTTTTATCGACCCCATTACTATTAATTATAATACGTTTTTTTTTTGTTTTACTACAATTAAAATTTAGCCTTTATTCACAACTATTTCCACTTGTCTTAAGAGCTCTGAAGATAACGTAAACGTCCTATACCATCCTGCAAACTTCGAGGGTCCAATTCTCTTCTCTTTCTCGGCCAAAAATTTCTTTGGAAAAAAGAAAGCTGCTATAAGGATAGAAAACGGTGTTTGGTCTGATAAGTTTTCAATTGACGTAGCTGGATCATCAGGAGTTGTTAGCTGTAAATTCAAAGAACAAGTATACCAGGTAAAAATTCCATAAACTTAAATTAAAATATGGCGATTTATTGACTGCACTGAAACTTTCTCAAAATTGAATTTATGGCTATTTTGAAACAATTTGTCGTAATTTTGGATAAATAAAAAATATATTACATGATTTTCTTTAAAAAACACATTATTATGTAATACTGCGTAGCTTTGTACACTTTATTTTATTAATTTTGAGATGTTCAGAATATAGTTTTGGATTTCGCAATATTTTACAAAAAAAAAACACTAATTTATTACTTTTTTATATACAGAGTCTTCAACAATATCTGTATCCCACGTGATCTGATAAAACAAATGAAAACTTAAGTGCTAGTTCTATCAAATACGTCCGCTTACTGATGAAGTTATTAATGTTATTTTTCGCCAACTGATAACATCAATTTGGTCACGTGGGATACGCGTAAAGTTGAAAACTCTCTACATTGTATGGCTCTATACAAACTAATAAATTTATTAGGTTGGTGTCCAGAATAAGTTAACTTATAACGGGCTAACGAAACAAATTACATTCGTTCCTTATTACATCATCATAAACGAGGCACCGTTTGCCATCGAATGTCAAGAAAATAGCAGACCGGCTGACCCTTGGATTGTCGTCGAACCAAAATCGTGTTCACCTCTTTGGCCTAAAGATGAGGCTCAGGATAAATTGATGAAAATACGAGCAAAGGGAACAACTCAACATTCTGCACCGTTTATGTACACTGACAGCCATACGACTTTATTAAGATTAAATAATAAGGTAATAATGTTTTTAAACATGTTGCTTTTTTTGCAATATATATGTTACGGCAAAATAGTGAATTTTAGTGAATTTGTACATTCATAGTCAATGTATACATTTGCGGAGTATATTAGTCAAAGTATAAACTAAATATTAAAATGCAAACATTTATTAAATTGGCAATTAACTATAAAATAGAGAAATAGAAATACAACCAAAACTTTTACCTAACCTACTGACAACAAACATAATAGTTATGAATGTACCTAATTTGGCACACCTTTAAGCTAATTTAGCTAGGTCATTTTGAATAGATATTGTTAATAATAAGTTTTAGTCCAAATTGAATTTAAGATTTAGGCTAGGCAGGGGCGGATCCAGACCAGATGTTGGAGAGAGGAAATTTTAGATAAACGAATACAACTGGAAGTCTGAGGGAGCATAGAATACTTTCAGTTAAAAGGAGGAGCCCAAGGGTGCTCCTAAATTTTTTTATTGTAAATTTAACAAATAAATTTAGTAAAGCAATAAAAAAATAAAAATTTTAATGCAATATTAATGCTAAAAGAGTAACTTAAATTTAAAATGAATGAGTGTGAAATTTAAATAGATAATATGACAATTAGAAACAGATGAAATAAATAATTAATAACTTGTCATAGCTCCATTATCATTAATAATTTCTTGTAATCTTCCAGGCACTAAGTTAATTAAATTTATTGATAAATTTTCATTTTCTGCCAAGCTTTCCCAGGTTTCTTCAATAAAGTTCAATACATTTTCTCTGTTTTGCGGAAATACATTTAATTTTTGTAACTTGTTTGTCACGTTCTCGATTATATTAATATCTGGACGCGTTTCAATATTATTTTCGACAAGGTAATCGCGTACACGGTGAGCGGTGTGTAATGAGCAATTGTCATGCTGGAAAATAAAATTACGGCTGGGGAAGATTTCTCTAACTGGTGGCAACATCACATCTAAAGTGTTTAAATAGTTCCTCGCATTTAATCTTCCTTCAATTCTCCAATACATTCGTAAAGCTCCTCTATACATCCAAGCCCAAACTTTTATAGAGAATCGTCCGGAATTATCATTTGAAACAAACAATTTTCATTGAACCTATTTCGAGGTGGTCTATAAACTTTAATATGGCCATAATAAGGTGATTGGAACACTTTTTCGTAAGATAATTCTACTTCACTAAAAGATTGTCGTTCTAGCCCAGTATATGTATCAATCAGTACTGGCACTCTGAGGCGGCACGTTTGATCTTTAAAAGTAGAAATTTCAGTTGACACTTGACGTTTTCAGGATATGAAAAGTTTCCTTAACAGGGACTTGGTTATACCTGGTTAGTTGAATTTTTGTTCTGCTGTTTTTCAAATTCGTGTGTATGATCGAGATGTGAGATACCTTTATAGACAACGGTTGAACAACTTAATTGCTTTGAAGAATAAAATCGATTAGATATCAGGGCAGTCTTCGTAAATGTAAAAAGGATAGAACCGTTTTAAAATTTTTTTTATGTATGTGATTGAGTGTCAAAAAAGTTTGAATTTCGAAACTGAAATATTACTTTTTAGTGAAAAGTTTAATTACTTTTAGTTAAAAATATAACGTTAGTTTGTCGAGGAAAATATATAACACACAAGGTTAGAGTAACAAAATAGAGGTTTTGCTTTATTTTTTAAGATTTACTCTAATCTAAAACTTTCCTAGTATATTGTAGAAATTTATTCTATACGTTATTTAGGTACTGCAAAATCTATAGGAAAGTATGTAGTTTTAAATATAAAAATTTATAACGAAGACATTTAGTGTAGTTTTTTTTTACAAATATATACTTAGTGACTTGTTTTTGTGAATGAGTTCAAGTATGGCAAACGAAAATCGTTACTTTTTATTATGAATTAATTTGAATTTATTTAAAAATGGGAACTATATGTATATGATTTTCGTAGTTTTTACACTTGTAATAAAAATTTCAAAGTTATGTATATTGGCCATTTACTAGACACAGCAAATTCATAGACACAATACATATCACTATTTGACATTCTTATTAAACTCACTAATTTAAAATTGACTTTAAACTAAGTGACTTCACACAGAATTGTTTGAAAGCAGCCATAAGGTATAATTTATTGGATAATATAAAAAAATTAATAGTAGTTACATGTAGAGTTAAAGCTGCGTGTCTTTTTCCAGCTCAGGGAGTGTCATAGGTCTGGTTGTAGTCAGCTCTATTAGGAAAAAAAAAGCATTTAAAAAGAACGAGTTTATTTTATTTATGCTTTGACTAAGTCGGGTTGGAAATGTATGCATTTACTAGTTAAAGTGTGAACTAAATTGAATGTGTATACTTTCTCTTAAAAATTAGTCAGTGTATACATTCTTGTATATACATACATTCATGGAGTTTACTATTTGACTGAGACATATTAGCTTTGTTCGCGGTAAGAATCCTGAACCGAATTATTACTAACAGTAACGATTTCGCAGGCGCAGTAGTGAAAAAGCATTCGCGGAACAAAAAGAACTGAACTATTGGTTCTATTCTGCGTTCGCGGTAAAATTATTATTGGTTTTGAACCGCTTTTCTATACCTAACATACCGATATATAATAGGGATTGCGCGCGCGGTAAAAATTCAGAATTGATAATGATTCGGGCATGCGCTGAAAGTATGAATTAGTAATTTTGAATCAGTTCAGGATTGTTACCGCGAACGAAGCTAATATATTAAAAATCGAAACAAGTAACAGAGTTAGTTACAGTCAACAGTCAATAACTAGTATCTTAAAAACAACCCTTCCCTTCTAGCTAGAAAAAAGTATCTTTGTTTTTAAAGGAGTCTAATGTTTACGTATCATAAATTTTTGAAAAATTGGTACCCCTTCCCATTTTACACTTCTTTTTCAGTACCTTTGGGACAGAATTTCAAAAAAAAATTCTTGGCGGGTGTAGCGGTAAAAATCGTTGCACCCTTCAAATTTCAAGCTCTTATGTTAAGCAGTTTGATCATAGATATATAAAGAATAGTTTGATCTATGCGGTGATAGGTCAGCCAGTATCCTTTTATATTATTACGTACATTAGTTGAATTGAGTCTTAGTTTTCACAATCCATGTCTCTTCAACTCAAACGTGTATATATTTAATAAGTTTAAATTCCTTTTTTTTAGTACGGAGGATTGAATGTCGACATTCAAATAACTGAAGGTAGTATTTTAATAAATGTGGTTCCGTATGAAGATGGATCAGCTCCTGCTTTACTAATAAACCATTCAAAGTATGTCATCAGTTATTGGGAGAAGGAATCAATTCAAAAAAGGTTCGTATTTACTTAGATTAAATTTTATTAGCATTGTTGGCTGTGAAGCCTCCCCACTAGAGTCTACATCTGAACTGCTACTCGGATGCGGATGTTTTTGCTAAATCTGTTACAGGGTGTTAATCAAGTATGTGCTTTAACTTTAAAGAACGATTCTTTGAGTGATGCTAGGATAAAAAAACGGTTTTTCGTAATATCATAAATACCCTTCAGCCGATTTTCTTGAAATTTGGCAAAATTATTTATAGTGTTTAGAAGCTAATTTAGACCTAAGTAGATTAAATTTATTGAATCGAGTGGCGTCTCTCGACGAAAATTATTGATTAAAAAATTAATGCACTGGCGGTTTTTGAATTTTTAAAATTTTTTCAGTTTAAGAGTAATAATACTAATTTTTTACCTCTTGAATTTTTGTCGTATCGTGTTTTGTTATCAAAAGATAAAAATAATGAAACACTTGTCCCTAGACCACAGAAAAAAACATGGGGAACAAAACAAGAAATTTTCTTTTTTAATCAAAGCATTTGTTAAACAACGTTTGTCAAATTAATAAGGTAATTTGTTATTTTTATAAAGTATTTTTGGTGATTATTTTGTATCCAAGATGGTTCAGTTTACTGAAATGGCAGGTATGTATTTCTGTTAGTGATGGGATTTTTCATGAAAAGTAGTCGACCTTAAGCATGGAAGTCACACAGTTAGTTTTTCAAAAACACTTTAGGAACAATATTTGCATTTGTATTTTCGTTCTTTTTTAGGCAAATCATTCGTAAAATACTTCCAACCTTTGGATTTTTTGGTAATTTTTCCCGAGTTTATTTTAATAAGATATGAAACGAAAATTCGAAAACATCGTTAAAACATTACAAACGTCAGTAAATATTTGTCGTTTCTTCTTTTTTAAACTATATTTTGCCTTTGTAAGAAATTCAGACGAATTAGATAATTTAATTTCGTGCATGTGCAATACACTTTTGAAAAGTGTGTGTGGACTAGTCAACTTTTCAGACTAGTCCGTCGAACTTTTCCAAGCGACCTATCACTAACTTCTGTTATGGGATGGCTCATGGATACTCTAGTGCTGCAAGACGTATTTATTATGAAATGTTTCCTCAACGTGTAGTGCCTAACAGAAGAACATTTGTAAGTCTCCATTCACGACTTTCTGAAACGTGTAGTTTTAAAAGATCGAGGGTTGTCGTCGGAAAGCCTGTAACGTTAAGAACAGTTGAAATAGAAGAAGCTGTTTTATATGAAATTTAAAGAAATCCTAATATCAGTACCCGGAAAATAGCTAACGATTTGAACATTAACCATGTAACAGTATGGCAGATTTTAAAAGAACAACTGCTATATCCCTGCTATATCTTAAGTCAGACATTGTTTACAATTGAAGCTTGCTTTTCTTGCAATTCAATTATTAACTTCCACAACAATCACGCATGGGCAGAAAACAATCCACACGCCTTGATAGAAAATAATTTTCAAGAACAGTTTTCTTGTAATATGTGGGTTGTAATTGTCGGTGACCACCTCTTCAACCTAGACTGAATGGGTGAAGAGTACCGAATGTTTTGTAATACGTTTTACCTGAACTATTAGAAGAAGTTCCAGTCACGGAGAAGTTTTATGTGTGGAACATGTACGATGGTGCTCCATCACATTTTAGTCTAGTGACGCACCAATTTTTGAATGAACATTACCGTAATCGTTGAATCGGATGAGCAGGCCCACAATCATGGCCTCCTCGCTCGCCTGATCTGAATCCTTTGGATTACTTTCTCTGGGGGTACTTTAAATCATTGGTGTACTTAACTCCTATTGAAATAGAAGTGTTAATGGATGTGATATAATAAAAAATACGCCAGGAATTTTCCAGAGAGTGCATATTTCAATGATGAGGTGGCAGGACTGTTGTATCGAAGACGACAGGGGCCAGTTCCAACACTTAATTTAGTAAAATTGGCTAGTTTAGTGTTTATTTGTTTTGGTTACTAATTAAAAAAAATCATTTTCCAAAGCAAACCTTATTTTTTCTGCTCAATTGTTTTTCTTTTGATAGCGAAACACGATACCAAAAAATTGTAGAAATTTAAAAAAATGTATTTCAAGAAAATCACCCAAAGGGTATTTATGATATTACGAAAAACAGATTTTTTTTAAGAAAACTTTAATACCCTGTATCTTCAATAAAAATAAGTTTTGTCATTTTCTTTATATTTATTTATCAATTTCCATTATATTACACTTTAATTGAGTCTTTTAAAAAGGTTTATTTATGGTAAGACACTGACCGTTTACTGTATAGGTATAGTCCAGGCATTTTCTATTGTGGAGTTTGTGTAGATTTCGCAAAATTACCAGAATTTAAAAACAACACTTAAATGATTTGCATATTTTAAAGAAATTGTATTTTAAATACATCTGTTAGCTTTTGTTAAATTTATATTAACAATAGAAACATATCTGAATATAATATTTATTAAATTAAGTTTTTGTACCTATTGTAGGTAATTTATTTATACATTCCTGTTTAAAAAGAATACGAGTATAATAAATAACAGGCAAGCTTTATTATACTCGTTAAAGCAGTTAATAACATTTTTATATGGAATGACAATATTTCAAATTTTCAATGCTTTTTTGGCAGGGTCAGTAAAAAGAGCCTTTAATAGGAATTTTAGGTGGTATATTTATGAGGCACATCTTGTTTTACTATCAAATTTTTACCCATATTTTGAAATGGATCCAGTTTTCTGCATCTTCTTCTACCTAAAAAGAAATGCAAACTAATTAGTACCCTCGGACTCAGTGTTATAAAGTGTTTTAAATAATTGATTTGAAAGTGAACTTTTATTATTTATTATTTATTTAAAGTTTTTATTACATGAAAAAAAAAGTATTTTTGTGGTTAAACAGTTAGTTAAATTCGTTTACACTGAACACGTCCATTGAAATTTTAAATAGTTGTAATAAGTAGTGGCTTAAAAACAGAAGTTAACTAATAGAGAGGAAGGAACTTTCTAGTACCCTCAAGTGGGGTATCAAAGGAACACTCTTTGAAGCACGTTTTTAAAAACGTATAATACATTCTTTTGCGTCACTTTTTCTTTAACACATTTTTGACAAAACACTAAAATTGCTGTCCCCTCCCATTATCTCTAAAAGAAAATATTGTTGAGAATAAGATTACGTTTTGGATTATTATTATTTTTTATTTTATATATAAAAAATCTACTTTATTGTTGCTTTGTATCAGCGCCTGGTCTAAGTATCAACTTTATTTACTATGAAACAACTGATTGCATTAGTTTAATTTTTTTTAAATATGGGTACTTTACACTACATCTAATTTAATTTTTAGGTTACTAGAACCAAATCATTCTATCCTATACACTTGGGAAAACCCATCTGGTCCTAGAGAAATAGTCTGGGATAGGGGAAACAAGAAAGAAATAGTAGAAGATCTTCGCAAAGACAAGTACGGTGAATTTACCCCCAGTGACGGCGTTACTGTATATTGGACGTCATTTTTGGATGGTATGCAAAGAGTTCTTCTCTTTACACATGAACGTTATTTGGCTGAATCTGCACAAGCAAGTACTATTCTAGAACAACTCCAACAAGAGATTACTGTCTCTATACATGGAATCGGCGTATCATTGGTCAATAACCTTACTAAGCAGGAGCTTATGTATGTTGGAATTGCTAGTTCAGGTATAGTGCAATTTTTTTAAATCTGAATTATGCCCTTTTACCATATTTACTTTTGATACACACCACGATACACAAATACCGGTATGTCCCTGCGTATGTTAGCTCTATCCTTGTCACATCATATGACGTCACGTAATATAAAAATCCGACGCATAATACAAGTAACGAGACGTTTTTGATAATAAAAAATTGTAACATTACTTCATTGTTATAAGTTGTGGTTTTCAAGTGAAAGTAGAAAAGTTATTGTATAAGTACAAATATTGCATAAATTTTATTGCGACTAAAACAAAAATAAGGTATGTGATAAAGTACAATTAGCAAAAACATTTTATTTTAAAGAAATGTATCTTACATAAGTTCATAACAAAGAACGTCAAACAATAATGCACAATTTGAACGAACAAGATTCGAATAAAACGACTGCACCTGGTGTCTGAGATGCCTGTTATTTCATAATTTGTCTAGTTACGATATTAAAGCAATTATAGTGCGTTACGTTAATAATAGACAGTGGGAAATTTTCAGGAATGTGTAACGGAGTGCTGACATCTGTCACTGCTCCAAAATTTGTAGAGATTTTCGGAGCTGATGGGACAGTAGAAAATGTTTCTAGTGGTAGGCAGTTTTAATGTTTTACATAGGTATACGATAAATATGCATTTTAATTTGATACAAAAATCATTTTCAATTAAAGTGAGGTCATTAATTGTTGGTACATTTACCGCTTTACCATTTTTTTAGTTCGCCAGTAGCCCTATGATGCCATTATCAAATAAATACAGGATGGTCCGTAATTAGTGGCCCATGGCGTAATGGAAATTTTTGGCTTCGAACTATTAAGATCTGATTCATCTTTCGTTAATAAAATACTGAAAAATAAAAAATACAGGATGTCAAATTTGGCAGAGGGTATATTTTTGCCAATGAATATGATTTTACATGACCAATATGTGATGATTAAATTGGATTTTTTTTATGAAATTTTTTGGTAATTTTGACTAAAAAATAATATATTTTGTAAACGTCATTATTATGTAAAACTGTTTTAATCTCTCAAAAAAAGAGAAAAGGATTAATAAATAACGGTAACAAACAGTTCAGAGTCAATCGGATTTAATTCGCAGCGATGATGTGGGAGTCTTAATACACTGAAACCGCGTTCTTTAGCTATTTCATCTACGACCAATTTCATGATTTTTTCTTGTGAAGTCGAGAAATAATAAGTAATTACGCTTTCAACATATTTTCGGTACAATATATATTTCTCATATTCAACCAATCGAATATTTCAGTGACGAGTATGATATGATGAGTTATCTAAAAGAATGACTCAACCCGTTTCTAGACACGAAAGAATAGATTGAAACCAGATTTTAAATATATTTACATCCATGTCCTCTTGAGAATCCCTGGTCTTTTGTGATTCAAAAGTAACTTCAACAAACCCGGTATGACTGCCAATATGCTTAATTATTAAACGACGTCCTTTACCCGGAGGTCATTTCAATCTCCTAGAGAGCCTTTGTAGGAATTCATCTCTATGATTTTTAATTTCTAATTCTTGCCAATCTTTTGTAACAGTGCACCCTTGATTAACTCAGGTTTTGTCTAATAATAAATGTTTGATTACCATCGGATACATTACGAAAAATTATTCCGTTTCGCAGCTGAGTTTTGATACAGCTGGGAACTCCTGGTTTATTTTTAAAAAAGTTCAAAAGAAAACAATAATTAAATAAAAATACCGCAATATACCTGTTATCATATACAGAGAGAATCTGAGTCTAAGACATATGACAACAAATTGAACCAGACAGGTTAACACGGATGTCAGATGTACAATGGTTTACATACATCTCAGTTTTGATCTGTTATAAAAAAGGTTTAAATACCGTGCCTCAAATTTAAATATAATTTACTTCTTAGATAAATGATCTTAAGTATGATATATTATAGTATTAAGCAACAATTATGTATTTTAAACATTTTATTTGCATAATTATAAAGAAAAATATTTCTCTTTCAATATATGGCAACTCTGTTACACATTCCTGAAATTTTTTAACTATCTACATTTATCGTATTATAGTACATCCAATTAAGGGTTGATATCCCTTTTTATAATCCCCTTTCCTCTTGTAATATGCATCTTAACTTCATTTTTCGAATTTAAAGAGATACAAATATTAACATTATCACCTACAGTATATTATTTTGTTTTATAGGTGTGATTTGGGAAACGGCTAGAATGCATTCAGAACGATTCAAATACTTAGACAAACGGACCTCAGATTTAATAGAAGAATCGTTCCAGGAATGCGTTCGCCACACTGTCATGAATCCCAAACATTCTTGGTTTGTGAAAGTAGACAGTAAAACGGAAATTGACTTTAGATCCGGAAAAATGTACAAACCGCAGAAGAGGAAGATCCGTCGTACTTTCTTGACCGGACTTTGGTTCCAATTGAAGACTAGTCCAACTCAAATGCAGGTTCACGCCAAAATCAATCGTTTACAAATAGACAATCAATTATACGATTGCTTTTTCCCAGTTGTTTTAGCTCCAGTGCCGTTACCAAAAAGTGTCGCCAGTGACGGTAAGAAAATTCATGATTAGTGATACTTTTTTTAAATTTCTATACACTTTAGGTTCTGACTTAAGTTCGATATGTAGGGATTTCGTAAACCAGCAGAAAGTGGGGTCTATTCTGTAAGGTCATACTTAATTTTAACCGCAATACAAATAGTTTTGCTGAAGATTTATTATATGTGATTCCTAAAGAGAAATTATCTCAATCAAAGAATTACAACAATATGACCAATCGGTTGGCCACGCAGATCAACTTGTTTATACTCTCTTGATTATTTTTTATAGGCTTTATTGAAAACCATGGGATGACCTTAGTATATTGCCATCTTAGGTTATTTTTTATACGAATAGGTGGCTATTTTAAAACATATAGCATAGTTGAAGGTTTTAACACTACTGTATGTAAATTTCATTATTTGGTTTTCGTTTTTAGCAATTAAACCATTTATTGAAGTCAGTATAGTTCAGTTGTTAATGAAAAACAGCCAAATCCGCCAGTTTAAGTATTTCAAAGTATTGGTTCAAGAATTCCACATCAAGATGGATATTGGTTTTGTGAATGCTCTTGTAGAGATGTTTTCAGAACAAGAAGTTACACCTGAAAAATTGGTATGGAAAAATGTTTCATATTTCAAATATACAATATAGTTCTTTTCAGCGTTTTTGGCATTTACGTCATTTGAAATAAGTAAAGAGACGCGATGCTAAATATTCAATTTCTCTAATTTTTTCACAGTGCAATATATGTCTGTTTGAGGTAGAGATAGTACTCTGAAAGTGATTTTTAATTTAATACTGTAACCCATTGAATATGTCTTTTTAGAAACAACAATTCTTATTGGATAGACAGAACGTTGGGGAAAATTTGTACAAGCTGGCTGCTACGGAATCCATTCAACAACAGAAAAGCTTCTATGATTTGTTACATTTTTCGCCACTGAAAATTCACATAAGTTTTTCGTTGGCTTCCAGTGGTTCTTCTACTGAAAGCACAGGCGCCCCTCCGTTCCTTAATGTGTTACTTCAAGGATTAGGAGTAACACTTACAGATGTGAATGATGTTATCTTTAAGTAAGTAGAAAATACATTTTTAAAGAAAATTTTATTATTTCTGTATTCATGCTCGTATAGATTTTTTGAAATAAACCTTTCGAGTCTAATCCAATAAGCTGCAAATTCTTCTAATATAAGCAGAATGACTTCTTTTTATGAGGTGTAATTGAACTACATCGACAAACTGAAACAGATCTGTTCAGAAAAAGATCCAAATCACGTGACTTAAAATGGTATATGATTGGCAAACACTACAAATTCATAAATTAACGTATGATCGATCCTTTAAATAATCTAATCAACAAGAAAATAAAAAATTTGGTGTGATTTACAATAAAAATAGCCAAAACCAAACGAAAAACTTAGGTTAACAAACTTTCTTTGCCACATATATATTTAGTCAATTTTAAACAAATAATCAAAAGCATTTTGTATTTGGTTATTCGCGATTCAAATTAATTTTCGCGCTCCTGTCATTTGTCACCTATAAGTAGGATGTTTGTTTATTTACATGTGTTTGTTTTGGGCGGATTTTGTATTTGTGATTTTTTTAACTGTTTTTAGATAATATTCTCATTGTAATAGTGTTTCTGAGTTTCATTTAGTGTTAATTTAAGTTTAAGTCTCGTGCTTTCGTCATAAATATAATATTTATCAGGTGTATCACTTAATTTATTGAAAATAGTTTCATCATGACCATCGCATAGCGTGGTGTCGCGTTTGAACAGTGTGCATGTATCGTACATTTAAAATGCCATTAAATTCACTTGCTTACATTTATGGAGGTTCATCGAAAATTAGAAGTCACAAAGTTGTCATCTGCGCTTACTAAGCAAAATCAAAGTTCGATTGCAGTACCCAGTTTAAAAACTAGGCAGGACCAAAAAGCTGAGCGAGCATTTAAAAAAAAAGAAAATCAAAATTAAACAGTTAAAATTAGTTTTCTATCTTTGCTGTTTTATTTTGGACATAAATCAATTCCTGTTGTGGCAATAGCCAACGGAGTAGTTGTTTTCCGCTTTTTTTATTGTGTGACACATGGATTTAAAAATATCTTGTTTTCATTTAGTTTAGTTATTTATTTATTTCATATAATCTTCTAAATCCCTATTACAGGTGTAAATACGGATTTGATTGCAACCTTAAATACAAAATGAAGTTATGAGTGCGCGTAGAAAAATGGACATAAATAATGAAAAGTATCCTATTTTTAAATTTTTGAATTACCCTTTTAACTTTTACTAATTAACCCGTAAATATACCAACAAACGTTTAGGGGTGGTAGGGGACAGGGGGCTTATTAAGCGCGTGTCCAAAAAATATCTGTTTCCGAGATACTGAGTGATACAGTTAATAAAATATTATTAATAGTAAGTGCTGTTGGTATATATCTTTGGGTTTTTTCTGACCAGCAATATTTGTCTACGAAAGGTAGAGGCATAACGGTTTTAATATTTCGATGTATTTTAATTATACCCTGTATTATCATTAGCTTGAGTTATGAGTAATAAACCCATATAGTTTTAGCAATATTCTTCTGTATACAGGGTGTCCCGAAATTAGACGGTCATGTTTTAACAGCGTAGTCTACATCCTAAAATAGGACTAAAAGTTTATATAAATATAGGTCCGAAAATGTTTTGTTTCCGAGATACAGAATGTTAAAAGTGAAGTCCTGATGACACATTTTTGTAAATATTTTCTAAACTTTTAAAGATAACTAAGTGAAATTTGGTACAAATGCCAAACTTTTTACGCTCTATTTAATAGACTAAACGCCAGTTTTTGATCATCTTCATAGGTGGGTAAATTAGAAGAGGGGCTTAGAGTTAAATTGTCCTAAGTTTTTTTGTTGACTGTTTTTAACATTTTTGACTACAAAATTTGGAAAACCAATATTTTCTTTATAATAAAGCTACTTTTTTTTGTATCTCGCTAAGACGCACCATTATCAAGAGAAAAGCATTTGAAAATTTCATGATAATTTGATGTTATCTTATTCGAAAGTGTAAACAATAATTAGTAGGCCTGTGGAATCCAATATTTTATTTTTTTTTTAACTTTGGAAAACCGGTGACTAAAGAAATTTTAGAAAATATTTACAAAAATGTGCCATCAGGACTTCATTTGTAACACCTTGTATCTCGAAAACGAAACGTTTTCGGACCACATAGTTTGATTTTCTTTACTATATGGTGCAAGAGAGAGGTCCGACACGCCCAACATAGGGCGCGGCCATTTTGATTCCTATGCCACAGTTTATAGCTAAAGAATCAGATCGCTCACTCTGCGTCGGCACTTTTGATTTCAATGTTCCAGTTTATACACTGCGCAACTCGGATAATACAATATATGACAACCGCCTATAATAAAACAGCAGTCTTCTGCGTATCCTGAATTTGTATCCCTGGAGTGGATGTTATTTTGGAATTTTCAACTGGTCCGAGTGAGCTAACTGATTCTTTAGCAATAAACTGTGACTCCAAAAATAATATTCACTGACAGCAGCAAGCAAAATATCAGGTGCGTTTTAATCATCCGCTTCTGCTTCCGGAATTGTCGGTTTAGTCGTTTTAACCTGTCAGATTAAAACAAGAAAACCGACAATTCCGAAGCAGAAGCGGATGATTAAAACGCACCTATTAAAAATATTGCGCCAAGATGTAGGCAACACGTAATAAGGGATCAAAATGGCGAAGTTTTTTATCTCCTTTTAAAATTCACTCAGAAAGCTGCGCAGTGCGACCATTCTCCGTATAGTAAAAGAAAATCAAAGTATGTGGGACCTATGTTTACTTCAATTTTAGGATGTTAAAATATAACCGTCTAATTTCGGCACACCCTTTGTATAAAACTTTGACTCGTTTCTGATAATTATCTATTTATTACCCTTAATTAAAACTCGGTTTTTGTTAAATTCATGCGTTTTTTATTATTATTTTAGGCTGGCATTCTTTGAAAGAAACTTTAGTTTCTTGACACAAAATCAGTTGATTAGTGAAGCTTCTACACATTACATAGGACAGTTCATAAAACAGTTTTATGTGCTAATATTAGGATTGGATGTGATAGGAAACCCTTATGGTTTAGTTTTAGGCATAACAAAAGGAGTAGAAGATCTGTTTTATGAACCATTCCAGGTAAATCGATTTAAAATTAGTTATATTTCAACCATAAAAATATACATAGAACTGGATGAGTTTTTAGAATAATTGAATCAGTGGATTCGAAAACCGTACATATCTAAAATCGGCCTTCCGAGAAAAAACAAAAACCTTTTAACGAGTCACGAATATGTACAGTTTTTCGCCTAAATTCACGTGTGTAATCAGCTGTACTACGTTAACGGATAGGTATCTAGTACGGTTTTTAAGCTCAATCGATGAAGAGACAAATTTTAAAGAAAATGGCTATTACTTTAAAATGTCAAATTTTGGACTTGTACGGTTTTCGAACTCACCGATTCAATTTGTGCCATCTCTAAATATTATAGGACACCAGTACTACTGCCACAAAAACTATACAAACTTTTGAAAGAAAATACTTTCATTTCCACGAATCCAGAAGTTCTAGTCAATAATTGAGGATGAAAAAAATTATACAAAAACAAGAAAAAAAATTTTTATTCACATGATTTTTGTGTTATCTATCAATCAATAAGTATTTTTTTACAGCCATAAGTATAGTATAAATATGTTTTTTATAGCTATAGATATTTCTGTACAAATATTGATATTATTTCAAAGTTAACATTACGGGGAATAAAATAGAACATTTGTTTCTCTGATAGGCCTCATAAAATAATAATTGCCCCAACCATTTTTGCAATAGATGGGGCTTCAGTTCTTTTTTATAACCTTTGCCTTTTCGATTTTGCCTTTCTTTTGGACTATCTCTTAAAATACAATAAATTGTTCTTCGAGCTATACCATTTATGAACCTGGGTCCGAAAATGCATAGTTTTCAAGATACAGTGTCGAACTTTTTTTAGTATTAATGTCTTAAATATCCTTTGCCCATTTTGTTGAAAATTGTTTTGAGGTAGGCTGCTATTTTGTGGTATAATATGGGAATGCAAGTAAAATAAATTTAACAAATTTAATCAAAATGTAGTACTTACAGAGACATGTTCCTTCTCTTTTCATGCATTCTGCGAATGAATGCAAGTAAAATAAATTTAACAAATTTAATTAAAATGTAGTACTTACAGAGACATGTTCCTTGTTTTCACGCATTCTATATAAAGTGTCACAGATTTAAAATACATTTATATATAGATAAAATTGGTAATAACGAGCCTTTATTGGCTTTGGCATCTGTAAAATAAGCATGTAGTATTTAATATTAATGTATATACTTCTATATAATGTCTATACGCAAACAAACTCTTTGAAATCACATTCTGTACTATACGATATTACAAACTTAGATCCTGTTCATTCCGGTATTTTTTGACTCGATGGGATATATCTTAAAGGGATATTATCTGTTTAATGATATGATTCATAGTAATAACATTAGTAAATAGATGATGCAGAAGTATAATACAAGAGTTTCTTAAAAAAATAACAAAAATTACATTTTTTCTACAAATATTAGAGCAATTTACTTTCGTACTTCTTAAAATAAGCTGCACAGCTGAACATTTGTTTTCGAGTTTCTAACGATAATCCAAAATAAGGGCAAATTGATGGTATAGAATGCAATCAGAACATTTTCATTGCTAGCTTCACAACAGTTTACTTGATTAGTTACTAAATGCGCATAACTGATGGTACATTTAATGTTGCAGGATTGCAATTGAAAACCGTCAAAAGATTTAACATTTTACGTTATTATTTTTTTTAAACATATATTGCCTATAAATAGTTGATAATCTATTACAGTCATTGAAGCAATACAAAATATTATGCTTACAATATTGGTTGATTCGTTGCGTTATTTTTATTTTATATTTTAGGGCGCAATTCAAGGTCCAGGAGAATTCGTCGAGGGTCTAGGTTTAGGAGTTAAGAGTTTATTCGGTCACACTGTAGGTGGCGCAGCTGGAGCTGTGTCTAAAATTACCGGTGCCATGGGTAAAGGTATAGCTGCTTTAACATTCGATGAAGATTTTCAGCGAAAAAGGAGAGAACATAAAAACAGAAAACCTCAGAACGCCCAAGAAGGATTAGCCAGAAGTGGGAAAGGTGTTGTAATGGTAAATATTTTTAATATTCTCTTTTTTTTAATAAAAGAAATTATTCTACAAAGAACATCTGGTTGACCGTTAAGTGACAATGCCTCTAACAATAGAATTATTAAAATGTATGTCTTCCCACTAGACGTGGAATCCCAGCATCGATGCGTCTATAAAAACTCGAATTAATTAAATATTATGATCTGTATTGGTCGAAAATAAGATTTAAAAACATTTAGTTTCACTTTTTTTTTTAATTGTTAACTTATACACCAGATTTAAGAGTTTCTATCTACAAGGTCACATTTCTAGGAGGTGTAGAATTCACTGCGACTTGATAGTTCTTATTTAATTAAATTTGAAATCTGCACATTTATTTTTAATCCTTTTATATAGAGAATGTACGACTTTATATGCTCTGCCATTTTAGGGGCCTTATACACAATGTACAGCTCAACATGGATTGTTTTTCAGTCAAATTCCGTCATGTATGAACAATCGGCATGCATAAGTTTTCTAACTTGTTGTTAATTACTTCAAACATGGACTTGTGTAATGTATATCTGTAACTGTACGGTATAGGGGAGGTGGATTACTCCCACGTCACTTATGCCTCAATACGCCCATTGTGCATCCTCCTAAACTTATAGGCCTCTGCTCTTTAGCCAGCCTACAGATTATACATAGGTATATTCAAATATTTTCTTTCAATATTTCTTTTAATTATAAAAATACATCATTCTTTAAGTACAAATTTAATCGAGATTAATACTAGTTTTGATTTATTTTAGATTTTCTAAATGACATTCTTTGTTGTCTAGATTTTTTAAATATTTTTGATTTTTATTAAAATTATTGATGGTTTAAAAATAGGGATGTAAATTGTAATTATTTATTTAGAAAGTCATGAGTAATTATTGTATTTAAATGGCACCAATAATGAGGTTTTAACTTTAACACAGTACTATCTCACAGAGTAGGTACTAGGAAATTTATTTTAGATTGTTCATTTAGAAAATTATGTTTAAATAGGCGAAGTAGGTAAAATAAGTATAGAGGATTATTTTCAAAAACTTTGTATTAATCAGTTTCTTTTATACCAGATAATTAGTGTCAGGATCATCTCGTCGTATTGGTGGTGAAAAGAGCTAAGCCACATTTTTAGGCAAAATGAGCTAATTATATCACATAAATAAAACAACTTTGAAAAATACAATGGTGAAGAGAAATAAGCGATTTTGTAATTATAACTTTAAAATCCCACAAATTGAAAAAAGCTAGGTGAAAATTCTATATCTCTTTCAGTGGTAAAATTCTGTAAAATCACTGTAGCCGGTCCCTAAAGTAATTATACTAATTATCATGCTGTCTAGGACTATGCATTGCAGGTCTTCTTATCTTTTTTCTTAGGTTTATATGGGCTCAATCCTTCAGGATTATTTACCCAGCTTGTTTTTTGTAAAATGAAATTTCATGAAAAAGCTGCAACCTTGTGCGCCTGACCATATAGTCGTCACTTTTCCACTACACTTAATATTTAATTTTACTAAAATATGTATTTGAAACTTGGGCATAGGATGCACCAAAGTATTTAGTAATAATTTAAAAGTCGGATGGTCACTTTAAAACTTGACAAATCGGTGTCAGAATCGGAAGTCGTCCATTGCAGGTTCATTGGCTCTACATTCTTCTTTTTCTTCTTCAATTATGAGGATATGATTAGCTCGTTTTTCCACTCTTCAAAAAATCATATAGTTTCTAGATATCATTATTGTTAAATGGATATTATTTTTTGTTGATACTTCATGTTTTAAAGACGCTCATACCGGTTTTATTCGATTTAAGACTGGATGTTATGTAGGTAACCTTCAAACATTGTGCTACCCATTGCAAACTGTTCATATGCATGTTTAGCTATTTTAATTCTGGCTTTCGTTGTGATTCACAGAAAGGAATATCTTTTCGCCTCGGCCAGTATTGCATTTCATCCTTTCTACTTGAAGTTATCAATGACTAGAAACGAGTTTCCATTTGTGGTAATTGAAGTTGATGTCATCAAAGTAATCTCCTGTTTTTAAATGAAACTTCCGCGATAAATAGGGTCTATTTTTTTGAATACTGTAGCACCTCCATCAAACTTGAATTATTATTAACCTTCGACCTTTTGACACCCTGGGTTTACCGGCAAAGCTACATTCTTGTTGAGCTGTAATGTAAAGTAACGTTTTGCAAAAGACAAAAAAACTTGACTTATTTTTTAATTGTCAACCAATATTTTTAACATTTCTATAACTACTTCTACGTACTACAAAAATAAGAATTGACAGGAGACAAATGATCTCTACTGTCAAAACAACACGTAGGATTGATATAACATATATTTATTCTTTTTTAGGGATTCTATTCTGGAGTAACCGGAGTATTTACCAAACCTGTCGAAGGTGCCAAGGAAGAAGGCGTGGAAGGCTTCTTCAAAGGTCTAGGAAAGGGAGCAGTGGGTCTAGTCACTCGACCAGTAGCGGGAGTCGTCGATTTCGCTAGCGAGTCATTCGATGTGGTCAAAAGAGCAGCCGAAGGCCAGAATGATACTCTCAGGCTTCGCGCTCCCCGATTTTTACACAACGATGGTTTATTGAGGCCTTATAATAAAACCGAGGCCTTGGGAAACAAATATTTGTATAGTATTTCAAAAGGTAAATATGCTAAGACGGATGTCTACGTAGCACATTATGATATTGTCGAGGAGAAGGAAGTTTTGTTGTTGACGGATCGGAGGATTGCTTACATCACACACAGCGACATGTTTGGAAATTGGCAGGTAAATATCATAGATCTACGAAATTAGAGATTTCCAATTTTAATTTTTTGTTAAATGTTATAAATTAAATTCAATTTACGTCTGGTTTTCCACTGACAATGTAAAATTGTGGATTAGATTTATATAAACACTGTCAAGTTTCGTTTTGGCTTATTATTTTTAGTAGATTGTCAATAATTCTTGCTACCTTTAGAATTCTAGCAATATTAAGCATGGATGTCTTACTATTTTCAGCTCACAATTATTATATACTAAATACAACTGAATACACTGGCGAATCAAATATAAACCAGAATTTATTTTTACCCGTTGATAGGTGAAGGGAGGGGCTTGACCTTTCAGCCTTGTAGCATGACTGAAGAGGTTTGCCGGATTCATCCCTAGGGAACTACCTCGAATTAACGTTTCTTAAGCTAGTATAATTAATATCAGAGAAAGAGTCGCACGATGAAATGTGTAAAACCGTAATAAATTTTGAGAAGACTACCGCTATATTCACACTATTAGGTTTTAGCGATCAGGTACGTGGTCGCATAAAAACGTCAGGTTCCTGAACGGATGAATTAAAACGTCGGGCAACTGACAATAGCGTTAGGCATAATTCGAGGACAACGCCTTTATGAGAATCAAAATGTGCAAGCCAGTATGGAGTGGCGAAAAAAGAATCAGCACCCGTCAAAGCCAAAACTTTGAAAGGTCCTTGCAACTGTATTTTTTTGCCAAGGAATTGTTCACATCGATTTTCTCAATGTACATCGTACTTTGAACTATTTCATCACACTTTTTAATGAAACCCACTCTTTACAGTATTTGTTTAGACCACTAAGAAACAATTGTAGAACATACATTTGATGACGATTTTTCTATCATTGCATTTGTGTCTCATTAGCTGCTGTCACATCCAAGTGCATTTTACATTTAAACGTTTGTTTCTAATTCAGATTAAAGTAGAAAAATAACTTGGTATTTTTGTATTTCAATGATGCTTCAACAAAAAATAATTCGAGGTTTATATTTGTTTCTCTGTCATAATTGAGGCAGATAAATTTATGAAATTTGTTTTTTTAGATTGAATGGCATTACACCTGGAACGAAATTCCATCACCTGCCAAAGTATCTCTCAAAGGTGTCCTAATTCAATTCTCAGAGAAGAAAAAGAAGGTATTTTCATCAGGTGAATTCGCGAAAATGGTACTTATACCAAATCCAAAAGTCAGGGAAGAAATTTGCCAGAAAATCGAATCATTAAGGGGTGCCTAATTATTTGCTTCCAAATGCTTTATGTAATATTTTTTTCTTAACGATCTACCATTATTTTCTACTGAATATTTTTGCACGTCTTTACACTTTTTGTTGTTTGTTTCCTTGCAAAAATTTTATATATGTTTTTTTTTTTTCATTATATAATTAATTTAAGAAGCAATCGTTGTTTTATTTTCCCATTCTGACTATTGAATTCATAAAAAAATATGTTGTTTTATCCGTAATTTAAAAATGGGGACATGTTAGAGTTAGTGAGCATAAAACGATATCTTTATCTATGATATAACCTGTATATAAATTGAGAGTTAATCACATATATTTCTATTTGTGACACACCTAGGCAAGCTTAAATTAACTATAATAAAGAAAAATGTGTTAATTCAATTTTGAGTTCTATCGTTACATTTTATTTCTATAATACAATTTTCTTTAAATACATTAATCAGGAAAAATCCAGTAAGTTTTTTCTAGCTCGTTTTTTTTAAATTTTATTTTTGTACATATATTTTAACTCTTTTCGTCAGAGCTTTAATTTTAAAGAGTTAACATAATTATAAATAATTTTGTATATGATTGGAAAGAAATTATTGTCTGTACTTCATTTTCTGGAATCATCAACGAAAGTCATGGTCAAAATCATTACCGAAATCAATAAGTTGCTCAAAAATGTAATTGCAGTTGCTTGTGGATCAAAAAACAATGAAATAGTCCAAAAAAGGTCATTGCTTAAAATTAAGGGGCATTTTCAGCGAAGTCACCTAGGTCCTTCTGCCGTGCGTCTAAAAAAAAGTCCTCAACTTATATTTTTATAAATCAGGTCTTTTTTTCACGACGAGCTTCTAAAAAGGACATTTTAAGGTTTAGAAAGTCACACGGACCTTTTCAAAAAAGGTGATTTCCGAAATACGGGTACGTTTTGACGTTCTGGTTTCCCCTTGTTTTACCCTTTTTAATATTATTTCATGGCCACTTAAGCGATAGTCAGTATTAAAGACAAAAATGTCGCTAAGGTTTTCGTAATTATATTTAAGAATTCTAGACATTAGAATCAGGTACTCTCATAGTCGAATCGCAAAAGTTGGTTAATTTGCCAATCGTAGTGTTTCCATGTAAGATGGACGAGTCGCGCCAAAGGTTATTCTGGTAGACCAACGTTGAACATTTTTAGTTTTCCGTACCCGAAGGGTAATCAATGGGACCCTATTCCTAAACCTCCCTCCGTCCGTCTGTCAGGGGGCTGTATCTCATGATCCGTAATAGATACACAGTTGAAATTTTCACCGAAAGTGTATTTCTGTACAACAAATAATAAAAATAAATTAAAAGGGGGTCCTCTACTAGAAACGTTTTATTTTTGGCTTCTTTGCTCGATCTTAATAAAGTATTTAAAAAGTACCTACATAGTATTGTACGATGGTACCGAACCCTTCATGCGTGAGTACGACTCGCACTTGGCCGGTTTTTAAATTTAATTCTGTTGATCGGTTAGAACTAATCGAGATACGGCGATAAGAAAATTTCATTTTTTTTAAACCGTCCCCTTGTTCACAGTATACCAGAGATAACAGATGTAACTGCAAACAAATATCGTCCTGTCGTGAATATTCTACGGGACACAGGAGGGTATAATATCCGCTGTGGTCATGCCTATTTTATTATTCTCGTTTTGTTTGTAAAATTATTTACAAATAAAAAAATTAAATTAATTCAACCAATTGCAACTGAACCCAAAAAATTTTGAACGTTATATCAAATTTGACTAAATTAGATGCAATAATTTTCAGTAAATTCCCAAACCCAGTTAATGTCAAGTGGATATTAAGTATTTTGTACTAGATATGGAACCATGACATTCATTGATAAAAAAATTGTACGGCCGTCAAATCCTTCTATATCTCACATTACATGTCTTTTTACTCCTGATCTACAACTGGATCGTATCGATGTAGGCGTCACGTAAACAAAATGTAAAGGATTTTCAAACAAGTTACACATGAGTAAGGCTAAGATTTGCGGACGTAGATAAGTCAAACATTCAAATATGGACTTATTTTAAAATATGACAGCAACTTTATGCTGTTTATTATGTTATCGATTCGTTATAATTTTGTAATTGGTCTCAATATATTCTAATAGTTTGCTTTTGAGCCCCATCCAGTTGCTTTTAAACTACCTCGTTTATGTTTAGTGATTATGAATTATAATGTCAAAATAACATTCAAATCCTAAACTTAGTTATTCAGCATTTACTATCACGATTTACTATTTATAAATATGACAGCTTACAACAAAAATGAAAATCACTTGCGAATAGTAAAATAATCTAGCATTAGAGAACACAATAATCACATGCTTGTTCGTTTTGGCAATCGAACTTTGTTTTCGGCTGAAAGTTAGAGAATAACCCCTGATCTTTCATAAGAAGCGGACACCAAACTACATTTTCATAAGGCGAGTTCGGATAGTCAGGGGCTGGAGCGGGACAAAAACGGAGTTTTTTAGAGTGCTTTTAAATGACATTTAAGCGTGTTAAACTGTCACTAATCGGACTAAACCAAACGCTAAAAGGGTCGTTTAGAGTAAAAAGTGTTAAAGGGGTTAAAGGAACTTGGCAGACCGAACGCAATGCATGTCTAACAAAGATCGAACACACGAACACAATGGATGTTTAAAAGGATACTTTTGCGAATGTTTTTCGAAGTAAATATAACATCGAATTTTCAGGCTTAAGATTAGAATATTAGATTTAAAAAGGAGTTGGATATTATTTGTCCTTGTCCACCGCGACCTTTTCAGATTTATTGTGGGACTCCGTTTTTTTACTGGTCATCTACCTTGGTCTTTTTTATTAGACTTAGTAGCTTTGACAGTGGCTCCCGCACGTAGTTGCATGCGTTTGGCTTTTCTTCGCCTAATGCTAGAAACCTCATTCTAGCTAGGCCTTCACAATGGCACAGGACGTGGATTGATGTTTCCTCTTCTTTTTCATAGAACCTGCACTAAGTTGCTTCTTCTGCTGGATTGATGACAATCATATGCCTTCTAAGTAGGAAGACCTACTATTAACCTAACCATTTGACGTTTTTGATCTAGTAGGTCTTTCGTGAACTTGGCCGATGGTCCTTGATGAACTGTTTGGTCTGTCTCTGTCTTGGATAGTTGTTTCACCATTTCTGAGACTCTTGTTGCATCCACTGTTTGATGGATACCTTGAACAATGCCTTAGCAACTCCACAAAAGAGTTCGGGGCCTGTCATTGCCTTATCTGAGCCGTCTCGGGCTAATTCGTTGCCCTGATATCCCTCTTGGCCTGGTACCCAGGCTAGATAATTTGTAGGTTTACATGTTTGGGGATATATTGCGACACGTCAAGTGTCTCCTCCAATTCTTCTTAGAACCTTGTGCCATGTTCCTCACTCAGACGCATTGTGGGTGGAGTCACTATATTTCCCGAAACTATTCTAACATTTCAAAGCATTTAAATGAATAAGATAATTTTTGTAGTCACCAATCTAACGATGATTATACATCAGTCTTCAAAAATACTACTCTCCCTCGTGACTAAATTCAATCAATAACATCTTATCAGTTGGCTAATAATATCCTTAATAAATCCAAACAAAATGTCACTGACCTATTTCACAGAACTGATACTAAGTTGTGATAAAAGTCACTAAGAAATGCAATTTTCATTAGAATTAATTTATTTAAATTTTTTTATAAATATCTGAAATAAGCCAAAAATGTTTTATTTTTTTTTTATTTCCCCCTCCCTCTATCATGTGATAATATTGAGACGTCTCGTCTAGCCAAATAATTATTCTGAAGGTCTTTTTGCTCTATCTCCCCTTTTAAACAAACTTTTTCCTGGACAAGCGTTTAACCCAAAATTTTCCTTAATTTTCCTGGGAAATAGTTTGAAAATTTCGTTGCCAGATTGTGAGGAACATACATTTTTAGTTTTTTCGGAAAAAAACGTCGGGAAAGTCGGTAATTAAACAAAAATATTTTCTTCAAATTGAAGGAAATTTCCAGAAACTTATAAATCTGCTGTCGAAAAGTTTTTTGGCCGGAAAATTGGTGGAAAACCCTTTAACCGTAGTTAAATTTCAAATATACAGGTCTGGAACTCTCTATTAAAGAAACAAGCTAAATAATTAAATTATATTTTTTAATATAAATTTCAATAAACATAATACTTATAACTATTTTGGTGAGTTAATATCTAAAATATATTTTTATGAGATATTATTATTAGAAATTCAAAAAGTCATATCAATAAATTAAATAATTTTAGTATCCAAATACATATGGGTTTTAAAATTGCTTATACTAAATTATTAAACTAGTAAGGCAGTGTTATAGGCACTTTTAAAATCACGGAAATTACAGAAATTATTTAAATAAATCCAATATTTATTTTAAGTACATTCTTAAATGCTTGGGATGTTTTTATTTGAGTAATTCTGCAAATCTTAAAAAAAAACATTAACGAATTCGTGATACTTTTTTAGCTTTATCAACACAAGGAGAAGGAATAGCAGGTTTATTTGTGGATAATCTGCTGTATAACCTAAAAAATAAAAATATTGTTATCAGGACTGCAATTTTGAATGAATTATGAACATATATTTTTATTCTACTTCTTATAATACTTACACTCTGTATGTTTCACTCTTCAAATAATCTTGAAGATGGCTAACTCCAAGCTGTAGCTGATCAGCAATAGGTGCAACCCATTCATTTCCTTCAAATCTAAAAGCAGATTTGTTGGAAGACATATCCAAATTTCCTATTTCTGGCGGTAAAATAGTAAGACGGTTTCCTTGCAGATGAAGTTCTCTGAGACGGGTCAATTCTCCAATTTCTTTTGGCAATTCTATTAGATCATTTTCTCGAAGAACTAGCTATAGAATATTTTTTTATTTTAATATAATAGTTCTTATTTTATCATGTGCCAACATTGCTATATATTCTAACCCTAATAATAAAATGGAACATTATATATAAACTTTTCCATTTAAAAACAAAATTTTTGGTTTTCACTGTACAACTCGAGAATCTATTACAGTTTAGAATATAGCAATATTGGCAAAACAACTGGCTGTATTATTTTATTAGTTACAATTTCTATTCTTATTTTCATAAAATTGTTAGAATACTTTTTTGAATGAGTCAATTATGATAATAAATGAGGAAGTGGTTAGGTTTATAACTTACTATTTGTAAATTTTTGAGATTCTTGATATCAGGCGGAAGATATTCAAAATCATTGTCACCCAAATATAAGGCACGCAGGGTTTCTAAAAGAAAATAATTTTGATTTAAAACTGATAAAAACTTTTATTTACAGATTAGATCATATTTTAAAATAAAACTGTTCATTGTTATCAAAAAAATAGAATAAAATAAAGTTTCTGCTTAGGTTGATCTTAAAAAAACCACTAATGAGGTTTTTAGGCTTCCCAAGGAAGTTTCAGTTCTACTATGAATTTAAACCATGAAGAATTTTATAAAATAAGTTAAAAGAAAACAAAGTTTATTTATTGTACCACCTGTTTTAGGCTTAGATTGACAAAGTAACAATTTTCTTGTTATAATGTTTAGATGTTTAGAAAAATATATTAAGGGATATGGCTAGCACTGAAGGAAACATTAAATTATATTTTATAGTATAAAATTAACAAGTATTTAGAGTTGTAAATGATGTAAGCACTTGGACAGTTATCCTGTCAAACTAACAACTGATAGTATGTGAATGTCATTTCAAAAACCACATAAGTCAACATTTGGCAAAATTAGATTTATATCATTAAAAATCTTGTTAGGGGTACATACACCAGTGGTGCCCAAACATTCGATCGTGATTGATTGTTCAATCGAGACAAGCATTTAGGTTAACCACCAAAGAACCTTGTGTGTTTATAGTTGCGTCGTCTTTTGCCCTGTCCACAATAAAAAAGAAAAATATACTATCACCATTCTATTTTCATTTATAAAATTATTTCTTAATATTATTGAGGAAATAAAAACTTTTATAAAAAAACTGTTAGATAACTAAATCATTTTAAATTTTTACATTTGTTACAAGTGCCACATAAAATGATGACTTATGTTGTTTTTGCAGGGACATAAGTCTTTTTTTTTTAAATTGGCATCATAGTTTATATTGACAGCTTATTACCCAAGCTTAATGTTACCTTTTCCTTGCATTAAAAAACAATTTTTATTAAACGATCAAAACAAAAAGTTTATTTCATTCAAAAACCACATAAGTCATTAACAAAAAAATATTAATTTCTTTTCTTTAACTTGCATTTTTAGATCTTTCATTCTATTTATATAAAATAGTTATTTAAATACATTATTTAAAAAAATATATTTCTTAAATGAAACATAATTTTTGTATAAAAGTTTTTTGTCTAGTAAAAAAAATTAAAGTAATTTGAATTATAGTGTTTTAAAAATCATTGATTCAATTATTTTTGGGGTTATTTGGATGGATGTGAAATCCATCCTATTTTTGATCCTATAATCAACTTCATAGGTCATAAAATACCTATACTGGTAGCAACTGGTGACTAGTTCTGCTCCCCAGGAAATTTTATCAAGATTATTAGAAAAAACTTATTGTAAATTTAACAATGCAGTAGTCAGGCCATTTTAAAATCCATGGATGGACTGAAAAGGAGGAAAAACTTTTTTATTTTCAACTTTTAGAAAAAAATGTGATTCTTCAAAAAAGTGTTTGCTTGTTTCAAAAACAATAATAATTCAAACAGAAGTAGAATATCTCTTTGCATTAGTGAAATAACGACAAAACAAATTTTCATTTTTTTATTTTTTACACTGTTTCTCTAAAACCATTTTCGTTTGGATGATTATTAGTTTGAAACAAGCAAAACCTTCTATGAAGAATATTTTTTTTCGAAAAGGTGAAAATAAAAAAGTTGTTCCTCCCCTTTTTCATTATTTATACACAATTATACATATATAGTTACTTACCCATCATAAAAAAGTTTCCTGGCAAGGCATCCTCTTTCAAATTGTTATAAGTCAAATCTAAAACTTCTAAAACTGGAAAAGCACCAAACCCCCTTGGTAAACTATACAATCGATTTATAGACAAATTTAATATTCTCAATTTGGGCATTGATGATAGGGAGAGAGGTAGTTCTTCAATAAAATTATTTGCTAAATTCAAAATTTCCAAATTTGTTAAATTTGCAAGCCCTGGAGGTACAGCTGAAAAGAAATACTCCGTAGCTAAAGATGACATCAAAAATTAGCTGTGGGTGATACTTACATTTAATTTTGTTGTGACTTAGAGTTAACCTTGTTATGTTTGTCATATTTACTAAAAAAAAATAAAAATACATTTTATAACGAACATATCATCCTCTTAGTTGTGAAGACACAAAAAATGGTTTAGGACCATTTTTGATACAACTATAGATTAATTTATCATTTGTGAAAAGTTCTATCAATCACATTATTAAAAATACACAAAGTAACCGAACAATTTAAATTTTAAATTTGTCCAAACTCTTTATTTGTGGGTTAGGACCCTTCACAACTAAGACAACAATATATCTTGGGCTTTAAAGAGAAGTGACCAAGTTCCAGAATTTGATGGGTATTTACTAATATTCATTTCCTTAAAATTTAGTGAGGATGTTTGTTTATTATATGAGTATCAATAAGCATACACATGGATTAACAAAACCATCATAAATAGAATTATCCTTAATTATAAGAGTAATTAATCCTTAAGAAATTAAAATAACCTTATTGGTACATGAAGTAACCAAATAACAGTTCTGGAATAAATAACTCTGATGAAGATAGTAGAGAGATATTACAAGTTCACTTAAAGTCAGTCACTATTCTAAACCTTCTAAAATGGTAATTTCTAATGCATCTTCCATATTATGTACTAATATAGACAACAAAACAATTAGGTTACAAATTTGTATAAGGACAAGGACTCAAAGTTAAAACTTTAGGTTTGCAATAAGTCTTATTTTAGCATGGAATTTATTTGCCTCTAATTACATTGTCACTATTTGTGGCTGACATTATAGAAATTTGCAATACCTCTAGAGATATTACAGGTGGTGGTAATACCAAAATAATGATTATTTTATATTTAAGAATGTCTTTTCCATCAAATTTTGCTAACTGGTTCCAATGTAATTAAAAAATGTAAGATTAATATAATAACACATTATAAACTAAAGAATTAATCAAAAGTATTGAAAACATGTCATATTGACTGGACCCACTGCTTGAAAAGGAATACTTGTATACAGAAAGGGATACATCTTGAATAATTTCAGTGAAATTCATGTGTATTAAGTGGGGAACTTCAAAGATACATTTCAAGTAGTGAGTCAAGTCTACCTTATTTGATATAATACATTGAATCTTAAAATGCAAATTGTTTGAATTTATTCATAATGCCTTGTAAAATTTCTCTATATACCTACACAGAAAACATGTGTAAACTATTTTAATACATGGAACATAAGTTTTACTTTACATTAATTTTAAAAACAAGAAGTATTTTAAATATTTGAAGAGAGTATAGAATCAAAAAGCATCAGTAAACATTAAAAAAGTCTTTTTAAGTAAATAATCTTAATATAGTTCATATAATTAATAATCATTTAAAACTATAAAAATAATAAAGTGTATACAAAACCCCACCCAAATAAAGAAATCACCAAACCTTATTTGGTAATTTTAAAGAATTTTGTTTGCTTACATAATCCTGGTAGTTCTTCAAATGAAGTAATATTTTTATCAAATAAATCTAACTCGGGATTTTGAAACTCCCGAGCTTCCTCTAGTATCTTCTTGGGCTTGGACATTTTTGTTTGTATTTCTAATTTAAAGTTTACACTTCACCTATTTTTAACAAAATATTGACATTTCTTGCCTGACACATAAAAATGAGGTTACGATTTTGACTTTGACATGGGTTCAGTTTGGCCAGGTTCGAAAATCTAAAATCACCATATCGTAGCCAAACAAGTTGCCAGATTTACTTACTTTTCACCAGAATTTTTGTATTATCAAAAATAAAAATATTATTTTTTTTTTTTTTTTTTTTAATTTGGTGTCATCGGCGTCGACTACTACGGCCATTAGCCTCGTGTTCTGTGTAGATTATTATTATTATTATATAAGAGCATATAGTTGCAAAACACACTAAACTAAATTCCAATAGATTTATTTTAAAATAAAATTAAAAACTTCGTATAAATAAAAAACAAATAACAAAAATAAATATCGCTGAAACTACATCATGCATATTAACCATGTTAACAGTTTTAAGTACATGCTGTATATGTTAAGAAATTATTGTTTTTGGAATTTCATAATTGTAACAGTTTTTTTGTCTTTTTGCATGTAAAATATCGCTTACCGTTACTTCCCCTAACCTTAGTTTTATTAACATTTACACACGCATTGCTTATATATTAGCTATGGGGTAAACAAATAATAATTGAACCAAGTTTTTAAGTTCGGAATATTCATATAGCTCCCCTTTTTTAGTGAGCATTCCTTTTTCCAAAATTCTAAATGATCCATTGTAATAATTAGAGCTTGGATTATATGCAAAATGCATATAAAGTACATGCCTGCATATTTAGTGCAGAATTTTATATTGCATATCTAAAATAATAATGCAATCTAAAAATAAAATATTGCTTATTTATCATTATTTTGTAAACATTACAATATTTTTCAATTGTACCTGCATTTTACCACGAAATATTAACCAAGTGGGTATTTTTTCTTTCTAAACTACTAGGTATTAAGGATTAGGGCAATTAGAGGGATGATAGCGATAGCAAATGGCTTCATAAAATTAATCTGTTTTTGTGTATCAGGTAGTTCATTCAGTATTATTCAATCAAAATTACTGTTATTGGTTGTGTTCCTGCAAAAGTGCCGAAAAATGCAAATGATGAAAAAATGGATCTATGGAAAAAGTGATTTGAGAATCGTAGACTCTAATCACTTTTTTGCTCCACCTGCGATAAACTGGTAAGGATATCTAACATTTATGTTGTATTTTTTACACTAATAACTTTTTTCAAAGACATCTGAATCCTATTTTAGAAGTAAAAAGAAATAAAATCAAGATAATATGACATAAGAGCTATACTAAATTGTTTATTCGGATTTCTTCAAATTTTTTAAAAAATCAACAATATAATAGTTTTTCTTTTTTTTTTAATAAGGAAATGTTTTTTTATTTTTACTCAATAGCTTCTTTCTACCAGCCAGATTTTTTGAAAATCATCTAGATTTTATTTTTATACATAAAAATTCACGTATTTTTGGATTTAAAAAAAATTCTTTTATATTTGACGATCACGTTAGATCTCTTTTTGCAGATCAACATTTAGGAACAACAAGTCACTTATCCATAAAACATCTTCCAAACCATTGATTCAACAGTTAATAACATACCAAGGAACCACTTTCTTATCATCAAAAAGTCACCATGTCTGGTGAAATTTCAGCAGACCCGGCAAAATAACTGACATGGGTTCTGAATCTGAACAGGTTCTGAACGCGAATCTTTACTCTTTACCTGTTAAAAAGTTAACACGTTAACTGCCAAGCTGATTTCCATAGTTCATGGCGCGATTTTATTTGTGTCATCGGCTTCAACTACTAAGGTTATTTCGCCTCGTGTTCTGTGTAGGCTTTGTTACTGTTTCCCGGCGCCACTTTAGGGACATCACTGTTAATTAGAACCCAACAGTGAATGGTCGAGTGGGGAATCCTACTAAGGCATCATAATTAATTTTAAATAAATTAAATAAAAAAATTCCGGCCAACTGTGGGATTCGAACCTGGGACCCTTGGATCCACAGGCAGAGACTACCACTGAGCCACCCATTCCCCTCGCGATTTTTTTTATAATTATTATTGAATCACTTGCAAATAAGTAGAAAATATTAAAACATTAATTAAAAATAAAAATCTGCCTATTTAAAAATTCTTTTAAAATCTGCTTATTATATGAAAGTTACTGAATTTATTTCTCATTTTATCTTCGCACTGTATAGTTTTTAGCTTTTCCTTGTGCTGAGAGTGAAAAAGCTGACATTTGACTGTCGATCACCAATGTTTTTTGTTTCACCATCAATATTTAAAAGTACAAGCGAAAGAGATTTAATTTTTGCAGAAAAAAGCTAAAAAGTAAAACAGTAAACTTGTAGTTTGGGCGGATACTAAATTTACGTCTCTCGGATTCGGAATTTCAAATCCTAACCACTAAACCACTCGCCCCATGAAAGTATGTAGGTAATTAATAATAAATTGTATGTTTTTTAGTATTTGGACTACGATTACCTATAGAAAAGTATTCATTTGTATTTTAGTGGCAAAAATTTGTAACTGACCAAATAAAAAACTGTTTTTGTAACTATGATAAATAATACACATTTTTGTCAAATTTCACTCAAGCTTTATTGATAAATAATTTGTATAAAAACTAAAATGTACCTATACTACATGATAATTTAGATGGAATTGTATCACAACATCTCGTTAACTGGTTGTATGGTAAGTTCTGATATCTGAAACAAAATAATTCCTATTAACATTACTCACATTACCACTCTATTATAACTACTGCTATCAGTATGTCGGCTATTAAACGCTTTCCAAATCCGCTTATTTGCTCCACCGTAGATACAATAATAATATTTTATCTGCAGGTTCACTTGAATGTATCAATATTTACAATGCATCAGTGTCGATCACTGGGATTACTGGGATAGTGTGACCAATTTAAGGAAACTCCGCGTATAATGCTCAGCAACTGCTAAAATAGTTGCATATGACAGCTGAGGCAGGCACTATATCAATGCTGTAGCCATCTTTCCGAGTAAATGTAAAGCCGTTGTTGGTCCCTAGCCCATTTGTATGTTGAGCCTGGTTGTAACATCTGAGGTTTCGGCTAAATTTCTATTATATGGGTGTAGCGTGCTCATACTAGTTTCGATTATTAAAATGTTGCAAACTGTTTAATATTTGTCCCATTTGAACAACTTTAGAACTTAGTATAGTTTGAACGGTTTCCGAATTGACTGTACTATTATCATATTAGCGACCAAAATCTTTGTCAACCAATCAGATATTAACAGATGGAAGCAGGTAAATTAAATCTTAGAAGAAAGCCAAAGCTAAGCGTCCCTCTAAACAATCAAAGAGACAAATGCTTGAATGCACATATTAACATCTAATGATGAAATTTTTCTAAGTATGTAATCAAGAATGCGTATTTAAAATTCAGCCCGACTCTAATTCTTAATTGAAGTAAAAATAGTCTTTATTTGAATCCTGACATTTTTCAATTAAAATTGAATAAGTTATAAGTCTAATGGTTATGATATTGAGACGGAAACTCGGAGGTGAAAGTTCGAGCCCTGCTTATAGCAAATTTTTTTATCAAAATAATTTTTCAATTTTTGTTTGGAATCTGGAATTTATTCCTTTCACTTGTCTTTGTTTCTGCAAATAAACAGACAACCTTTCTGGGATAAACTTTTCAGATAATTTCTTCATTTTGTAAATAAATAGTAATAAAAATTATGTATTTTAATTTATTGAAATAAGTTGAAAAACCGCTGCAGCTTAAAGATTTTTTTGGATAAAACTAGCTTATACTCGTATAAAGGTGTCTAAACACTAATCTTGCTTCAGAGATATTATGAAATTTTACATTTTGATGTGGTTTTTTAATAGAATGAAATTAAAATTTAAAATAAAAACTTGTAGGCTTTACCAATGAAACTTTTACTTTAAACTGTAGTCTATTAATACCTAATTATTTATATGACTGATATATTTTCTACAACTTACGTTTACTATTGGCGGTGTAGATAGAATATATCCTATAGCATCAGCTATATCTTCTGGTGCAAGTGCTGGAACTGCCTCTTTTTCAATACTCTCTTGTATATCTTGCAATCCAGAAACTGCAAAGAGTTCTGTAGCAACCACACCGGGACTTATACTCTGCGGGAATATACAGTGTGTCCAATTAAGTTGGAACCATATGGGAAACTTTTTATTCTTAGTTTTACTTTAATAAAAATAAGAATAAAAAAGTTTCCCATGAGGTTCCGACTTAATTATTAGGTTTCAGAAATAAAAAAAAATAGATATATTTCGAAGTATATTTTTTAATTTAATGAAATGTTTTATTTTAGGTTCATGCCTTCGTTTTTTAAAATAAACATTTATACTTACCGTTACTTTTATTTTTCTTTTACTTTTGGCCAATTCCTTCCTCAGTGTGTCTGATAGTGCTGTAACGGCAAATTTACTTGCTGGGTAAACATTAAGATTATCAATGTTAACGCTGAAATGACCTGCTATGCTATTTACGTGAATTATGTGACCTTCTACACTGTTATTTTTCATATCTTTTACTGCTTCTCTTGTGGCAATACAAAGTCCTAAAAAAATCATTTGTAATAGTGACATAAATGCGAAAATAAATATCTATAGTTTGGTTAACAAATGTTTGCTTAAATATGAGAAATTCGTTAAAGATCTCAGTAAACGCCATTTTGACGATTGCACAATGTGTAATTTTAGTTTTTCCGAAATAATAGGTGTATTAGGTGGAAAAATGATTTATGAAGGTGGGAACGCATTAGGCAATCGCGGTTCCGTCCTATATTTTATAACGCATGCATTTTCACTTGGTCTTCCCGCTCGAATTGCAACCTCCTCCTATAGTTTCGATAGAATCTCGGGTCGCGCACGCAAAAGACTAGCACAGACCGCGATGCGACGGGACGGCGATTTCAAAATGCGTTCTCACCTTTACTGTATATAAATGATGTACGAGATGTATATTCTCAAATGAGTTCATTCATACATATTTTTTATACTCAAAACCACATTATATTTGGTTCGTTTAGATATTTATTTCCAATTTAAGTATCCAATATAGATGAAAACAAAATTAAATGCAATTTTAAAAGAAATATTTTAGCAATTTAGGTCGTGTAGATAAATGCATCGACGAGAATGGAGGACATATCGAACATTTAATGTGACACAATTAAAGTTACCTATAATGTTATTTAGCTTACTTTTTTTTTAATTTGTTTTCTAAATGCTTTCAATAATAATCATGCAGCTGATCCCTAAAATGCGATTATATCGTAAACCGTTAAGTTTTAAGGTTAAAAGGGGTCTATTCTGTAACAATTCCTTTCTATTTAACGGCCTTTAAAAATATTTTCTTCTTTACTTCTGTCATTATTTAAACGGATCTTAAAGAAATCTGTTTAAATAATGACAGAAGTAAATTAACGAATACGAAAATGTTTTTAAAGGCCGCCAATATTTTTAGAGGCCGTTAAATTTAAAGGAATTGTTACAGAATAGGCCCCATTACAAGTATAATTTTCTACTATTAAAATAACGTGGCTGTAATATTCTTTTACAAAAATACCGCTAAATTAAACAGCAAAAAAATGTAGGGCACATTTATGCCACAAATGTAGCCTATGTAGCGCCCTCTACAAATTACATCGAAGTAGGTACCAGATTATGATTTTTCGTGCCCAAAAACCTCTATTTTCAAATTTTTATGTATACATGTCCAAAAACGTAAAAGTTATTGCAAAAAAGAAATCTTAAAATTTTACCTTTAACACCCTGTATATTCCTTATTAGCAACATTTTATTAAAGCAAGTTGGTTTAAATCGTAATATTTTAAAGTGAGGAATCTACCATACTTCTATGTACAATTACTTAAGGACCACCACCCTGTATAAATAATATATTTGTTAGTATTATTTTAGGCGTAAACCGATTTTAAAAATTACTCATCCTGTACAGTTGTGTTTCAAAATGATTATTATCGTATTTTGGTAGTCACAAATAATATCCTAGAGTGCCAAATCATAACTTTTAATATTTATGAATGTCAGCAAGGTTTACGTTTTAAAGTATTTTTTAAAATTATGAGAATTCGCAATTTTAACACCCTATATTTCAAAAACTAGTCATAGGAGAACTTTGTGCACTTGCCATTTGCCATTTTGCCATAAGGAAACTGCCGGATACTTTAACTAATTATTAGGAAGTTACTTTTTTAAAATCTAATTACCCATGGAAAACAATTGAATATTGACAGTTCAACTACGTTTAGCGTCATACAGCGCGCGCCTCTGGCATTTAGTTTTTAATTGACGCCGGTAAATTTTTTTTCGGAAGTACCTACCGCGTAATACAGCGATTTTTTTGATGTGAAAAAACAACAAAAAGCCTTAAATTTTATCTTTATGTTTGTTTAAAATCATTTACTACTTAGTGTTTTCAAAATTGAGTGTTAAAATAATGAGTTTCATTATAAACATTTTGTCTTGTGAAATTTCGACGATGTGAGTGACGCCATCTTGAAGGTAGGAAACTTGCGAAAATGTATATTAATCTAATTGGTGATTATTAAAATATACTTTAATATAACATTGTACCTAATTATAAAGAAGAAATATTTCTTCAGTAATTTCTGTAAATGTTAACCTAGAAAACCATCGTTTGCAAATAGGTACAAGATACATATAGCGTTTTCTTTGAATTTTGACTTGATGAAAAATTAATCAAAAGAAATATTTTAGTTAGACATAGGTACGCTTTTTTTATATTGCTGCGCGCTCATAACTAGGTCAAACAAAGTATAACATTTTATGGAGAACATTTTTAAAGGTTTACATTGCTGAACTTTTTAGGGGAAAACTCAAAAATGGATAAAGAGAAAAACATTAAATTTTAAACTTAAGCTTTATTTCAGCCTGAGGTGAACTGATTAGATTTTGGGCAGAGTCGGAACATCTGGGGGGGGGGGGAGGAATTTTATAGGGGTCGTTTTTATATTTTATGAAATATTTACGTTTCGAGAAATTTGAAAAATGTGCAAAATTCTGATTTTTAAGAAAATTGTCAAACTAAAAGTTGTTTGCGATATCGATCTCTATAATTTTTATTTTATACATGATTTCTCTAAAATGGACCGTAATGGAAAAATTTGAGGAAAAGTGAAAAATTTATATTTTTCAGTATGTTCGTTGGCAATGAATATATACAGGGTGTCCCGAAATTAGACGGTCATATTTTAACAGCGTAATCTACATCCTAAAATATGAGTAAAAGTTCATACTAACATAGGTCCGAAAACGTTTCTTTTCCGAGATACAGGGTGTTAAAAGTGAAGTCCTGATGACACATTTTTGTAAATATTTTCTAAACTAAAGATAACTAAGTGAAATTTGATACAAATGCTTACCTTTTTACGCTCTATTTAATGGACTAAACTCCAGTTTTTGATCATCTTCATAGGTGGATAAATTAGGAGGGCTTAGGGTAAAATTGTCCTAAGTTTTTTTGTTGACAGTTTTTACCATTTATGACTATAAAATTTGGAAAACCAATGTTTTCTTTATAATAAAACTACTTTTGTTGCATCTCGCTAGGACGCACCATTTTCAAAAGAAAAGCATTTGAAAATTTCATGATAAGTTGTTGTTATCTTATTCGAAAGCGTAAACAATAATTAGTAGGCCTGTGAAATCAGAAATTTTATTTTTCTAACTTTGGAAAACCGGTAACTAAAGAAATTTTAGAAAATATGTATTTACAAAAATGTGCCTTTAGGACTTCACTTGTAACACCCTATATCTCGATAACGAAACGATGAACTTTTACTCCTATTTTAGGATGTAGATTACGCTGTTAGAATTAGACCGTCTAATTTCGGGAAACCCTGTACATATAAAAAAAAATGTTTCGAGTTAGATGTATGTAGAAAATGTATATATTTAGTTTATCCTCTAAACATTTACAGAGGTTCTACAATAGGTTGTACAAAATTACTGGAAAAAGCTTGTAATAAATAGATTGGAAAGTCATGTGTTGGACACATCAGATTTTTTTGCATATCAACCCTTTCACCGACACAAAAAATGCTTGCATTAGCATCTTGAATTCAGAAAAAAAAACGCGTTTAAGCTATATTCCGAATAAGCAATTTTACTTTGAATTTCTCAGGTAACATGAACGCTCCCAGCACCGGGACAGAGTATATGTTGTTTACCTCCTCCTACTCTGCACACAAAGAGCAAGTAAAAAATATTACGTGCCACTTTTTGCCAAAGATAAGGGATTATTTAGCAAACTACGATCGGTGGACATTCATCTTTTCTCTATACAAGGCAGGGACATTCATCCTTTTTCTCTGGCATGGGATATCTTTAATTCGATATAACTTCTGACATAGTTTTTTGCCAATTTTCAATACCCTCTCGAAATCTACTGCTCTTACACAACAAATTCCCAGGTCTAACTAAAATGAACCTGATTTTAAACAATAAACTTTTTGCTCCTGTACCGTCATATTTATCTACATATAACCCAATTAAGTTGTGCTCGGATTACAAGGGTCGCAAAAAATCCAAAGAGTATGATTTCTTCAGGGTTGCTTAGTATTCAACCAAAAGATCACACTCGAACTTCTGGTACGAATCGCGCTAGCGGGATGGTTTCCTAAATATTTTTTTAGAGCAAAATAGCCCTAATAAAAGTTGTAGAAGATTAAATTCTAATCAGCTTTTTCTTATAATTTTTTGTTATCTCTAATACTTAATGATTTTAAGAGCATTATTTAAAATTCCTTTAACACAAGACTGGTCTTCAAAAGAAGTACCTTAATAAAAATATCTCCCTCTTAGCAAGAGATGCTCAGCAGGGGGTCCATTGCCAATAAAAATTCTCTTTTTAGCATATATTTTTTTAATATGACTCACGGATTGAGGCCCGACGAGAAAGGGGGGGCAAGAGGTCAAAATCCCAGGGGCCCCGACACATAAAAGTTGTACATTATTTTTCATTTCATTTAACCAGTTGATATTTCCCCAAAGAACAGGTCAAACTTTCGGGTACTTACCTGGAAATACTCATAAAATGTTTAATCCGAAACCCGCGTAAGTATAGCGAAGAGACTGTAGTATCTAATTTGTTAATAATATAAAATAAAAATATCTACCTAGTACATTCACCGCAAATACTTGGTTCCAACTAGACGTATCTCCTTCAGATAAAGTGGTGTTATTACAACACCCTGCATTGTTGACTAAAACATGCACTGGTCCAATAGTTTTCCTGATGTAGTCAAAACAGGCTAAGATGTTAGATTCAACGCTCAAATCGCATTCCAACGGATGAAATTTTCCTGGTTGTCCTAACAGTTTTTTTGCCTGGTCCTGCATGCGATCTAATCTTCGTGCCAAACCGACCACCTACGAGATTTAAAATATACGCAATGAATCGTGATTATAAATGTTATATTACCACCCCAATAAAGTAATTTGGTTTGGTTTCTATTGGTTTTGTTATTTGCGGGATTAAAATTTTTTAATCCCTTGAGACTAAAATATTTTAGTCCCAAGGGAGTAAAAGTGGCACTTCGTTCTCTAAAATAAGGGAGTAAAATGCATGTTTTAGGCTCTGAGGTACAAAAAAATAATAAAACTACATATAAACATAATGAAAGAACCATCTTAAAACTTTATCAGCTTAAAATATTAAAAGGGAAGCCTGACTAAAAGGTAGGGATACTTTCATGTGCAGTTCAGAAATTTTGAGCTTCTTCAATATTGAAGAATATGTTGTCTCAAAGAAATTTAATAATTATGTTTTCCATGCCATTTCTTGGGCAGTCTATACATTAATACACTGATTTCCAAAGTGCAAAAGCTTTATAATAATTACAAATTATACTAAATATAAATGGAAAAGATTCCAAAACTCGCCAAATGGAGGCTTTCTAAAACCTATATAACAAATCCTCGTTTTTGTAAAAATATGTTGTATCAGTAATAACCACAGGTAATAACTGTTGAAGGACTATGTAGATAAAAAAGACATCCTGTATATGTTGAAATAATTTGTGTTATGATGTTTTTGTTTTGTTTGATGTTTGATAGTAGTTGTCAAATAATAAAAATTTTGTCATTTATTCAATATAATTTACCATTTCCAATAGGTTATGGACCCAGCGGAATAAATAGGTCGAATAATTGTTGCCAGTCGATATACATAATACTAGTTATTAATACTTGTATATAAAAATGGATCAGACAAGTCAAGGCAGTTTTATAAAGTTAAAAGGAAAAGATAACTGAAACGTATGGAAGTTTCAGAATAAGATCATTCTTAGTTCAAAAGAATTAATATCGTAGAAAAAGACTCGGTACCAAATAAAGTAGTCGAGGGAGATAATAATTATAAAGCATTCAAGGAATGGGAGAAGAAAAATAACCAAGCTAAGAAAGTCATAGTTACTAGAATAGAAGAAGGTCCCATGAATCACTTGCTTACTTGTGAATCAGCTAATGAAATGTGGAATAAGTGTTATCTGTCTACAAACAGAAATCAGATGTTAGTGTCCATGTTTTACAACATAAGTTCTTCAATTGTAAACATGAAGGTGAAGGTATATCTTCTTCGTGATATTCACCCCTATGTCAAAAGATGTTAATAATGATATTATACCTGATACATTGGAAATAAATTCTGAAAATTTTAAATATATAGAAAATCACGAAGAAAGTAACTCCAGAGAAGAAAATTATTGTGAAGACGAGCTGCTTCAAAGCCAAGAAAAAACCGATGAAAGCGATAAAATTATTTAAAATAGAGATACTTATCAATTAAGAGATAGAAATAAAATTAAAAAACCTGAACGGTTAGGCTACGAAGCTGACGAGGCGCGTTTTCTGAACGTTCACGGTTGTGAAGATACGTTAGGATATCAAGAAGCAAAAAATGGCAAAGAAAGTGATTTTTGGCAGGAAGCATTTACAAAAGAATTTTTTGCACTTCAAGAAAACAGCACATTGTCAGAGGTAGAGTTACCATCGGATAAAAAGGTTATCGAAACTAAGTGGGTATTTAAGAAGAAGAAAAATGAAAAAGGTGACGTGATAGAATATAAGGCCAGGTTAGTAGTTAAAGACTCAACAACAACAAGAATTTGATTTTTCTGAAATATATGCACCTGTTCCTAAATTAACTACTTTGAGAATTATTTTGTCAATAGCAGCACAAAAAATCTTCCTATATACCAGCTAAATATTAAAAGTGCATTTTTTATGGAGATATTAAGGTATATGTCTATTTGAAAAGGCCTGAAGGAATGGATCTACCAAATAATCTATTAAAACTGAAGAAATCTTTATATGGCTTAAAAAAATCCCCACGTTTTTGGAATGAAAAATGTAATAGTTTCATAGAAAAAATAGACTTCAGCAGATCAGTATCGATTTATTTTATGTAGAGAATTTTATGTAGATGATATCATAATTCTGAGAAATGAAGAGAAAGGAGTTGAAGATTTAAAAACGAACTTGAAAAAACCTTTAAAATGAAAGATTTAGGGAGAGCTTCAAATTATTTAGGAATATATATAGTAAGTACAACAGGAAAACATAATTGAAATTAGTCAAATAAGTTATTTGGAAAATGTCCTTAAAAGATTCGGTTTAATAGATTGTAAACCTGTTCAAATTTCAATAGATCCAAATACGCAAATTCCTGACGAAAGTTCCAACGACATGTGTCTAGAAAAAGAATGCAGACAACTGATTGGGTCATTAATGTATGCAGCTTTGGGAACAAGACCAGATTTGTGTTCCTCGGTGTGTTACTTAAGCAGGTTCCAGAGTAATAATAATAATAATAATAGACTTATGGAAAGCACTTAAGAGGGTGTTAAGATATATTAAAGGTACAATAAATTTGAAGTTAGTTTATGAAAAATTAACAAAAGAGCAGTCTATCCTAATTGGCTTTGCAGATGCTGACAGGGCTGGAGATCGGAAAGACAGAAAATCAATTTCAGTTTATGTATTCAAGCTTTATTGATCAACAATTTCTTGGGCTACACGAAAACAGCAAACAGTGGCACTGTCGTCAACTGAAGCAGAATACATGTCCCTTAGTTTATGTGTCAATGAGGCGTGCTGGATTAAGAATATTTTAGAAGATCTAGGTGTTAAAATAAATAATCCCATTACTATATACGAAGATAATCAGTCAGCAAAGTAGCAAAGACTTCTGAAAATCATAAGAGATTGAAGCATGTTGACATTAAATTTCATTTCGTTCGAGACAAAGTTTCTGAAGGTCTAATTGAAATACCTACACACGATCAAGAAGCAGACATTTTCACTAAAGCTCTTGGAAAAACCTTATTCAAAGAGACCGAGACACAATATAGGATTACGATGATGGATTAATTTTTTATTTCATTGGATGGAGGTGTTGAAGCACAATGAAGATAAAAAAAGACCTGTATATGTTGAAATAATTTGTGTTATGATGTTTTTGTTTTGTTTGATGTTTGATACTAGTTGTCAAATAATAAAAATTTTGTCAGTTCATAAATTTACTATTTATTCAATATAATTTACCATTTCCAATAATAACCCTTCAATCTACCAAGACAGATGATTCGTTCAAACCTCGTTGTGGGCCTGTATCAATGAGTGCTCGCACCTTTCGTGAAATATTGTTCTTCTCAAGTAATATAACAGCTAGTATTATTTGTAAAAATACTTGACTTGATTTGAACAATTTTGAACTATGTAAATCTGCACTTTCTTGCAATATGGCCGAATTTTAAACAAACGTATGTATGGAGAATATTTTCTTCCTTTCTGAAAATGCCATTCAGACTGCTTTGTTACATTGGTCATTGGCAGATTCTTTTTTTTTTAAATATACCACGGTGATTATTTACATTCAATAGACCAAAAGTCCTTCGACAATGACGCATAGAAAAGTGCTTATACTGTATATAGTCACGTGGTAATTGAGAAAGATAGGAATATAAGGGACCATAGCTGTTCTCAGGGGTACTCGCATTCCAGCCTCTTTACCTAAATACGCACCTGCCTCTTCCTCTCTTCAATCAACTATGTTACTTGTTAGTCTGGCGGTGCTTTCGTGATTTTAAATGACGGCTAGACGTGTATTTTCTATGAAATTATAGTATTGTTTATCTTGTACCAAATTTTCAAATCCGGGAAAATAAGAGCAAAAATTTTGTAATTTTGACAATTTTCAAGATGCCGCCAGACTCATTTAGTAATTTTGTAAATCAGCTAGATTATAGTTTATGACAGTATCAAATGATACGTTAATTTTCAAGCATGGGAAAATAAGGGTTACGGATTTCAAAAATCGGTCAAATTTTTGGATCAGGAAATTTTTAGCCAGACTGACTTTCCTCCAGTTAGGATATGCCAGACTGTTATTTCCATTAATAAAATGAATCACTTTAATAAATATCAAATATTTATGACTGGAAAAATAAGTGGACTGGTCTTTTTTTATCTAGTGAACCTATCCAAAAATTTTAACCAGACTCACAAATTGTTGTTTAGTGTTACCATCCGAACATAAAATGATACAAAATAAGTATACAAAAAATTTACTGCCTCCTGGACTATAAAGAAATGAAGATTAGTTTAAAAAATGTGGTACCTATTATTTTAAGTCGGCAAATTATTATAAGCATATTATTTTCAGATTGTTGTCATATTGTTGAAAACAGATCGAATATTAATTGACATACTTGTTTTGATATTCAAATTTAGTAAATATATCTATAATATAGTCTTTTTATATTAGTGATTTGATTTAAATTCTAGTTTTTTAATACTCATATAAAATTTGCACAAAACGAGAAGACGTTTAAGAAACAACTAATTCTTTGGAGAAGAAAACTGAATTATGAATTCTTTTAGAAAAATATATACATGTTTTCAATTTAGCCTTTTTTTCGTTATATACTATTTTATATTTCACTCAAAATAGTTGGCCTACCTACAAATATTCGCAATAAATTTACGTTTGAATTTAAGATCATTTAAGATCAGAAAATTTGATTCTTTTTCACTTACTATAAGTCCTTCCTCAACTAGTTTCTTAACTACAGCTTCACCTATCCCAGAACTGGCTCCAGTAACAACAGCAACTTTCCCTTTCCATTTGTTCATAGAGAGTACCATGACTAACGCCTTAAAACAAAATAACAAAAACAAATGATTTAATATAAATTAATTAAATGTCATGTCAATATTGAAGAATGAAATTCTTTGGGCTAATTGATTTGTTTTTAAAAATCGATTTTTCATTATACCTATCAAACAATATTTTGATGATTTTAATTGAACTTGGCAGGTTAATTAAAAAAAAATTGATTAAAATTAAGTCCAGTGACGTGACGGAGGGCAATCTGTTGATAACAATTTAACGCCCTGTATCTTTAGCACATGTTTATACGTTTTATATGTAATTTTAGTCATGAAATAGGTCAAGGAATTACCTCCTTCAATATTGACATTTAGGAACACAATCGTATTGCTGAAGACTCTATAGGTACTTATGTTATACAGGGTGTAACAAAAAGGTAAGTCATATATGGAACCACATATTCTGGGGTTAAAAATAACTTGATTGAACATAACTTACCCTAATGCAAATGTGCACACAAACAAAAGTTACAGCCCTTGGAAAGTACAAAATTAAAATCGATTTTTCTGTTTAACATTTTGTAATGAAAATGGATACATGGCTTTCTTATCGTAAGAGCATCTTTTTCACATAAAACCACAAAATCTGTACAAAAATTTTAGGAGTTTTTTACCCCTAAAACCCCGAAACTTTTCTATGCGTTACAATTAAATTAGTATTGTGACACCATTGGTTTAATATATTTTTTTTTTCTTAGCACTTTTTCAAAAAGCTAGTTTTTACCGAGATGCGGCCTCTTTTTCATTATCCTTCAAAATTTTTGAAGTTGCCTGTTCAACTCTTGTAGTTTCTACGGATAAATAACAAACGGTTATTTTAACAATTACATATTGTCAATTGAAGCATTCGATAATTGTTCATTTTAAGAGTATTAAGAAATTTATGCTTTCTGTTACAATGTTTTACGCACGTTTGCAGAAATCGCAAATATGCATTTAATTCTGGATAAGTTTGGTCAGGCTAAAACAAGGTTTCAGATAATCTGTAATTCTGGTAATCACAGGTGAATGCCAAGGGAATAGTGCAGCAGTTGTAAGGCGTTATGCGAAAAAAATATCCCAATCGGAATACATTAGACGATTATTATTTTCAATTAATCGTCCTTAATAGGAGACGGGTACTTGCTGGCAATAGTGATCGTCCAAAAATGGATACAAACGATAAGGAAATTTTAGAATTAGTCTAAGAAAACCCTGGAAGCAGTACAAGGGTAATAGCTGCTCAATTAGATGTTGGTCACATGATGGTTTGAAGAAGCTTCATCCCTATTACTAAACAACCGTTTAAGAATTACTAGATGAAGATTATCCTAAAAGAATGGGATTTTGCGACTGGTTCTTAACGGAAAACAATCGAAATATCAATTTCATTAACCATTTTATGTACCGATGAAGCTATCTTCAATAAAAATGGATTACCATACCGAACACAAATGGGCCGAAAAAAAGGACGAAGGTAATTGAGTCCCATCTACCTGAATTAAGGGGTCATGAAATTTAGATGGTCGAAATGAGTCCCGGGTCACGTAATCTTTCTAATCCTTCTGATATCGGTATTTTGGAAATTCTAAATTACTTTCTGAATTTCTGTACCAATTGATATTTTATTTTCCTATTATCGAAGGATTTCATTTGTTATACATCTATGAATATCAGATATAAAAAGGGTTGTCAACCTACAAAATGTTTAATATAGTTTGCTTGATTTGTATACGGTATTAATTTTTGTTTGTCAAAATGAGGTCTGTGAGAGTTGTAATACCTAAGTGAAAGAGAAAAACAATTGATTGTGTTAGATGGCTTCAAATATCGTTTTCATAAGTTTTTAAAAATGATGCCAAACGTTAGATTTGTTGTGCACATACAAAATAAAAATGCAAGGCGTTTAAAACAATTACTGTTAAAAACAAACCTGGATTAACGCTAACATCAAATTTATGATTAATTTACGCAACAAAGCTTTTAGTAAATACATAAAAACAAAAAAGAAAGCGCACTGGAACTATTACAAACTCTTAAGAAATTATATTACACAAGCAATTCGTACAGAACAGAAAATATATTTTGAACAAACATTTTCTAATGTTAATAGTAAAGAAAAAGGGAAATTAATAAACAAGTTCACCGGATTCAAAAAAGATACCAGCTTTAATCTCGACTCATCTATAAATGCAAATGACATTAACCAACATTTTCTACAAACTTCTTTTTTCTAAGGTGTTAACATTAACTCTGATGCAGATATTATCAGTTTTTACCAAAACTATCTTAAATCAAATTTTTCACAGATACTAGTATTTAAAGAAGTAGAAGAGTATAATATAATGCAAATAATCCTCAAAATAAAAAGCGTTGCCAGTGGGAATTAACATTACCATGATTAGATTTCTTTGCCCTTACCTAATTCCACAAATAACACATATAGTAAATTTTTGTTTAAAATATTTTGTCTTTCCAGATATTTGGAAACAGGGTCTAGTTCTTCCCATCCCAAAGGTTATGTCACCAGCTAATCTAAGTGAGCTTCGTTCCATAACTATTCTCCTGGTTCTCTCGAAAGTTTTGGAAAGAGTCGTAGAAATACAACTTAGAGAACATATCGAAAAATACAAAATTCTTCCGTCCGTTCAATCTGGTTTCAGACCGCGATATAGTTGTGGAACTGCTCTTTTCAATATAACAGATGATTTTTTAGAGAACTCGATACAAAAAAGGTTGGTGTCTTAATTTTACTCGATTACAATAAGGCTTTCGATATGATTAACCACGAGTTATTCTTAGCCATTCTACATTTTATAGGATTGAGTTGTACTGCGATAACTTTCTTTAATAATTATCTGACTGAGAGAATACAAAAAGTAAATTATAACGGAGTATCGTCTGAAATTGGTAAAATATTACGAGGAGTGGCTCAAGGTTCCATTTTGGGTCCCCTCTTCTATACAATATACTATACACTAATAATTTTTCAGCAATATTGCTGCATTACAAAGTGCACATGTATGCTGACGATACCCAGCTGTATAGATCTTTCATAAAAATAATGAAATTTTATCGCTACAGGAAATAAATAATGGTTTAAATACTCTAATAGAATTTTCGACCAAGCACTTAGTAATCAATACGAACAAGTCATCTGTCATATGTTTTGGTTTCAATCCATCTAATAACATATCTGTAAACATAAATAACTTCATATATTTTAGAAAAATCTTATTATAAGATAAAAACACTGTATCAAAGTGGAAATTTGTTTAACAAATAATTAAAAATTCAACTATGTGATTCTCTTGTTCTGAGTAATGCTTAATTACTGCGATTACTTGTACGGGCCCTGTCTCCCTGTAAATAGAATACAAAAACTTCAAAATTCCTGCCTAAGGCTCATTTATGAAATAAAGAAATTTGAAAGGATTTCTTATTCTCTAAACTTAGCTAAGTGGTTAAATATGCGAAATCGCAGAAAACTTCATGCACTAACCCTGTTTCACAAAACAATAATGAAAAAATGTCCACCATACCTTTATAACAAAATTATCTTCCGCACAGATATTCATAACAAGCATACTCGAAAGAAAAATGAAATTGATGTACCAAAACACAATACATAGCAGTTTAAGAACAGTTACTCATATCAGATATCGAAAGAATATAACAATGTTACAGATTCCCTAAAAAACCTTTCTATTACCATTACCTCTTTCAAGAGGCGTCTATTCGTCAATAATTTTAATGACCAATGTAGAAATTTAGGAATTCAGTAATTTAATTTAGTAACTTAGGAATTTAGAAATTCAGGAATTTAGGAATTTAAGAATTTAGAATTAAAATATTTTAAAAACATTTAAAATTAAGAATTTAGAAAATTAGAAATTCAGGAATGTATGCACAAATTTAAATTTATAAGCAAATATGGATAGCGAAGCTAAAACCTTTATATGAATAACTTAAAAAAAATTTTTCAATCATTATCTTTGTTATCTACGTTCCTAGGTATCTACGCTTTTAAGTAGGCAAATGAATTAGTTTTTTATTTTTTTTCCCCCCGATACTCAGGCCTTTGAGGAAGAACAGCTTATGTTGATCAAAGGGTCTATTGACATTCTTTCTTGTAAACATGAATGGATTTTTATAAGGATATGTATGTAATATGGAATTTGTATTATTTGTTTTCAGAGGTCAATAAAAAATATTATTATATTATTATTTTTGAAAACCGAATGTGCTGACATAGTAACACAAATTATGGATAACCACAATCATAACAAATTAAACGAAGAGGTACTCAGTCGCCAAATGTTAAGTAACTCTTTAAAGGGAAAAGCCGTAAAATATATTAGTGAACGCTCGATGAAAATTTTACATAAGTAGTTACGAAATGGCGATATTAATCCCTTGACAACCGAGGATGTGAGATTAGTCAGAAAAAATCTGTATAGTACCCAAAGATCTGTTTTGCCTAAATTGCCAAAAAATATGGAAGAAACTGATGTAATATTAAAAACATTCTCAGTGAAAACCAACACAGGCAAAGAGTTCCTAATGCTAAACGATATAGAAAATCAAAAAATTATGTTTTCCTGCAATACCAACTCAGAATTTTTAGTAGATTTAGATACTATTCATATAGATGGAACTTTTGAATAGTGTCCGAAGATCTTTCTGCAAATGTTCTCCGTTCATGGTCTAAAAGAAGACCATTACATACCATTTGTTTTCTTTTTATTGCCAAATAAACGAAAAAATACACACACATTGGCACTGAAACATCTGGTTGAAGAAATTGGCAAATATTTGACATTAAATATTGTGCAAATCTTAGATGAAATAAATAAAAAAAATCCACATATACCACACTGGGTAATGTGTTGTTCTTCTAAAATTCTTATGAACACGAAAAGCAAAAAAGTTCTACAAAGCTTCTATAATTACAACATTTTTTTATTTTTTTCCCCCCGATACTCAGGCCTTTGAGGAAGAACAGC